TCGCCTCGACGGACGACCTGAGGGGCGAGCTGTGGGGTGGCGGGTATGGGGGTGCTCGGTGTGCCTTCCTCCCTTTGCTCCTCCTCCTCCTTCGTCTCCCACTGCTGCAGCTGTCGCTGAGGGGGGTGGTTGTGTGGGAGACTCGGGTTTAGGGTTTAAGGGGGGTGCGTGGGAGTGCAGCTAGCGGTGTAGCAGTGGGTGTGCATCAGGGGGGTGGGACTGTGTGCGGGAGGTTGAGTGGAGGTTGTCAGTTTGTCGTTCGCAGCACCTGTAGTCCGGGGCGCTGTCATGGTAGCCCAGTCGTAGCCAGCTGTGCCAGCCGCCCGTGGGTCCGTTGCCCGTCCGCCGCTATTTGAGCCGCGGGGCCTGTTACTCCTGTAGTCCGGGCGCTGTCCGGTAGCCGCTGTGCCAGTGTGCCTCCTGTTGCCCGTGTGCCTGCAGCTTCAGCCGTCGCCTCCTATCTCCTCTCCCCTCACTCTCTCTCCTCCTCCTCACTTGCCCGTTGTGACTACCACTAGCTCTGCTCATAATTGTCAACTCTAAACTATCTCTTCTTGAACTTGTGCTCAGAATGTGTGGTGACATTGTGATCTACCCTGAGCTTGTACTGCTTTGCCTGCTCTGCTGATTACACCCCACTTTGGCTATGGGGGTGTGTCAGAATATTATCTTATTGTTCTAGCCTGTAGTGGGGTGCTCTATAGCGAGTACAACCCTTCTAGGGTTTGCTATTTGTATCCTCATTCTTGCTAGTTCAATCCTCTTTCCTCTTTCTTTCTTCTAACTTTTGTCAGGCGGCGGATGGGCCGCTGAGAGGGCGGCGTCCGGGGCCGCTAAGAGGAGGCGGCTGGGCCGCCGAGAGGAGGCGGCGGGGCCGCGGAGAGGAGGCGGCGGGGCCGCCGAGAGGAGGCGGCGGGGCCGCTTAAAGGAGGCGGCGGGGCAGCTGAAAGGGCGGCGACGAGGCCGCTGGAGGGGTAGTGGCGGGGCCGCTGAAAGGAGACGGCGGGGCCGCTGAGAAGGGCGGGGACGGGCCGCTGAAGAGGGCGGCGACAGAGCCGCAGGGAGGGCGGCGTCAGGGCCGTGCAAGGGCGGCGACGGGGCCGCTGGTGAAAGGGCGGCGAGGGGCCGCAGGGGGAGAGCTGCGACGGGCCGGGAAGGGCGGCGGATCGGGGCCGCAAGGGCGGCGGATCGGGGCCGCAAGAGGCCGCTAGGGGGCCGTGAGGGCGGCTAAGGCGGCGCGACGCGGCCGTTAGGGCGGCGCGACGCGACCGCTAGGGCAGCGCGACGAGGCCGCGAGGGGCCGCTAAGGGTGACGCGACGGGGCCGTGAGGGGCCTAGCGAGGGCGCGACGGTAAGGAAAGCACACGAGGCGCGACGGTAAGGAAAGCACACGAGGCGCGACTCGGGCCTAAGCGGAGCGCGCTCCGGGCAGGAAAAAAAAATTCGTAGTGGTGGGCCCTAGGATCGTTCCCGTTAGGGAACCTGCTCGATACCATGAGAAGAAACGAGAATGAATGACTAAGGAATGAAAGTGATACAAGTATGCAACCCTAGAATTGTGTACCCCATATAGGCTACCCCACTACAGCCTACACAACATTATAATTTGACAAAAAAAAATCAATGAAATCATCGTCGACGATCGCAGGCGTCGGCGTGATACATTGTCTTCACAGATAAACCAGATCCTGTTGAGATAGTAGCACAAGTGGTAGTTAGGTTTAGGTAGGGCTTAGGCTTAGTAGCCTAGGCCAAGGGGAGTCGAGATAGTTGTGGCAAGGAAAAGTCAAGAATGGGAATGATGTTCAGTGTGTGGTCCACTAGGGTACATATAGTAAACAGAGCATGCAAAGAAGGTGCACCACCAACAGTTTATAATCACTACACTAAACTACAGCTACAGGCAGTTACATATATATTCCAACAGATCCGCCATCAAGAGCGTTGTCGATAACTGGAGCGTTATCATCAGCCTTCCTGGATGCCTTTCCCCCAACAAGTTGCGCGAGAGGATCAGTAGGAGGGTCAGCGTCGCCGTCAACAATAGGAGGGTCGGCAGGATGCTTGGAGGGTCAGCGTTGTCCCTTGGGAACCGTCGTGCAATGATCATGCTTCGGCAGTAGAGAGACGTGCAAGTTACGTGTGGAGGCCAAATGAGTCTGATTTGCCTTAGGTCTGAGCACAACCTCTTTAAGTACTGTAGTTGATTGACTACTTCAGGCACGAGCCGCTCTTGAAGTTGGTGTTGTAAGCTCGAAGAGAAAACCTTGGGAGCGCCTTTTGAAAAAGTCATAATAAGTTCAACTCTGAACGTTGTACTTGTTAGATAGCTAGAATATTTTTAACGAGTAGCCTTGAAAGTGCCTGACAAACTCCGAGGTTCACCACCCTGTAATAAGAAGAGCCAATGTCAGCAGGAATTACAGTTTTAATAGGTCTTCTAATACCGGTAGATAAGATACAGGCAAAGTTGATGGTGAAACCATATGTTTCATTGTACTGCGGATATTGTTGATCATGAACGCGGTAGATTCCATGGTGGCTGTGTGGCGGAGAGCATCCTCCCAAGCTTCAAAATTATATGAGACTGCTTCGTGTGTGTGATAGCGGTGACAAGTTGATGTAGTTGCTACTATCGAATCAATATGCAACTCCTCGTTGATAAGCAGCACCACCCTATGAGCAGTACCATCTGCTGAGGATGAGACACGTCGCCGTAGTATTCAGTAATAAGCGGTAATACGCCACGTGTGCTTTAGGGGCAGAAGGGTGTGATGCTTAAACTGCTGTCGATCGTCGATAAGTTATCCGACGCATCACAGCTCGCATTCCAGAGTTTAGGGGCAGTTTCAAGTAACCACTGGTGCCCCGTCAACAAACCGAGTCGCTGGTGCGACGCCGCCTTCCCGAGACGCCCAAGTGATGGGTTTCCTGGGAGAATATTACTTCGGGCTGGGCTTGCTGGTAGGAACCGAGTCAACAATGAGGGGCATAAGTAAGCGTTGGTTGCACCAGCCCGTTAGCAATAGTGGTTGTTTCACATATAACGTTTTCTAACGAAAAGCAGTTCCAAGTTACTTGACTGGCAAATGTTTGGACTGCCCAGACGACGCCTTTTCGTAACCGAACCGCGATGCTCATCGACCTGAGGGCTGGGGGCAAACGACGGGCAAAGTCCGAGCATAAAATGTGGCTCTCGCATTGCTTCTCTCAGACTTCCGTTTCGAATAGAAACTACTCCATACATCGCCTCATAGAGCTATGGCTCCGATAAAGCTCCTCGCCCTTCTCATCCTCGCCTCCGCGCTGCTCATCGCCCTGTTTGCGCCCTCCGCTTATGCGGAATCCAACGCCGTCGTCAGCGCCCAGGATTCCGGTGAGTGATCCCGCCACTTTTGTTCAAACAAAGCAATCAAAATTGCTATTGCTGCTTTTGCCGTAAAGTCCCGCTGCATAAAGTAAGCCAATCTACCATCGATAAAAAAACCCCTTGCAGGCACCGCGCTCGCAGCCAGGCGCGCTTTGGGCGACGACCACCACCACCACGACGATGACGATCATCACCACGACGACGATCACCATCACCACGAGGAGAAGAAGGAGAAGCCAAAGCCCAAGCCTAAGCCGTCACCGCCTAAGCCGAAGCTGACGTGCATGCAGAAGTACAAGATCAAGTACGCCGCGTGCGACGACAAGGAAGAGAAGTGCGTGGCGAAGGCGACCAGTCCCGCCGAGAAGGCGATGTGCGAGGCGCAGTCGACGGCGTGCGAGCGCAAGGCGTACCGCTCGTTCAAGAACTGCAAGTACGGCAAGTGGGGGTGCAAGGACTGGTGCCTGTACCACCGCCGCCACTGCTACAAGAACGGCCGCGCGGACTGCGAGGAGAAGCACGGCGAGTGCGTGGAGGCGTGCAAGCCCAAGCCCAAGCCGTCGCCGTCGCCGCCCAAGGAGCACCACGACGACCATCACCATCATGATGACCACGATCATCACCACCATCACCACGATGACGATCACCACCATCACCACCACGACTAGACTGCAACTTCTTGAAGACGCCATGTTGCTGCAGCATGGAATGCGACAGTGGCGAACGGCAGAGGCGGTGGGAGTAATGGTTGATGGTGTGGTTTGCGCCGGGTATGGGATGTTTGCAACGGAGGGCATGCTTGGGGGTTCCAACTCGGGAGGCAGCACAACGCCCTGTTGTGCTGCATTGCCATCCATTTCCTTTTCAATTAAGTGCCTCATGGTTGTAGTTTTGATGCTTCACCAACGCTTCAGGCTGTGCATGGGGAGTCTAGTGCCTAGGGCTGAAGGGGTTGGGGGTTTGGGAGTTGAAATCATATTGTAGTGGTCACTGAAAGTTGAGGTGGAAATAATACCTACATGTGTGTCTTGGGGAAACGACAGCACCATAGCAAACTGCATGGAATCAGATACCATACCGGTATTCATTTTCTTGAAGGCAGTCAATCTAATCCACAAAAGCAAGCTACGTACCTGTAGTTGAAGCATGTCTCACTCTCCCCTCGCTCCCATTCTGCTTGTCCCTCCCCATCATCTGTTGACTGGACTCCTACCATATGACTCACTTCTCAGGAGCGTTCCTCTATAAGGCTTTCACGCAATCAACCTCTGGTCATTCCAGTACTGGTAACTCCTCATGACACCTTCTAAACGCCGTACACTCGAAAGCAGCCTAGCCAGCTCATAACCCCCCCCTTGACCTTTGATCCTCACCTCACCTCGTGCTTACTCTTGCTTGCTTCACCAGATGTGCTCTACTTCAATGCAACACGTACGTAGGTACATCTCATTGACAGGTTCATCCCACAAACAAGAATGCTGCTGACATGCGGTTGCACAAGCTCCTACACACAAAGAATTGGCATTGGCAGCACATGATAGTTCATCGATGAAACTGGTACCCCAGCTGTAGATTCAGCAGCACACCTCCCACTTTATTCCCCAGCTAGCATGCCTGGTCAGCTGTCCAGTCACCAGGCGAATCTGAGCAAGCAGGTAGCACCTGCCCTGAATGGCACCTGCACGGCCGCCCGGCCATCATCAGGAGTGTAAGCAACCTGTGCCTCTGCCCCGTCCACTGTACACCACAACGGCTCCTTCGACGCATACAGCACAAAGCTGCCCCCTCCCCTCATTTCCACCTCCACCGTCGCTTCAGCTGCGCCTGCTCCCGGCTCCCTCGCATCTGCTTCTCTCGCTGCTGCTTTGTGTGCCTCTGTCGTGTCTGCATTCGGTGAACCTGCACCTGCAGCATCTGGGCTGGTGGCACAAGTGCCGGCACCACTGGTGTTGCTGCTGCGCACGGACAGCACGGCACCCCCTGAGTTGTACATGTTGGTCAGGCCTATTGGCGCCACTGCCACGCTTCCCACCACCTGGTGAGGGGGGATGGCAGGGTTGACGGGGGTATGGGTGGTATGGGTGTGACTGTGGGTGGACAGAGGGAGGTGATAAGCTAAAGAGATTTAGGAGAAGGGATGCGAGAAGGGATATGTGAAAGCCATGGGGCATGCAAGAAGGGGAGAAAGGGATGTGAGTACATGGTTATGGAATGCGGACATACAGTGATGGGGGCGACAGTGTAGAGCTCAAAATCATGTTTTGATTCGTTGAGTCGACTCAAAACACGACTCAAAACACGACTCATAACACGACTCATAACATGACTCAAAACACGACTCATAACACGACTCATGAGTCAACTCAAAACGGGGGCGTACAGTGATGGGGGCGACAGTGTAGAGCTCAAACTCGAGGCGATGCAGGTGCACCACCAGAGATGTGTCTGCTGGTAGACGCACCAACTCGCCTGATGGAGGCACGGGGGGGTGTGAGAGGAGGGGGTAGAATAGAGCAGCAGGTTGGTGATATTGGCTAGGTGTTGCAGGTTCAATACCCAGCAGCAACTTACAATTCAGCGATGTGTCTGCTAGTAGCCGCACCAGAGGGGTGGGGGATTTAGATCAGTTGTGGTACAAACAAGTACAGGGGATGAATGTAGAACAAAAAACTTAACTTGGTGACGGTATGCCCACACGCCCCCACACAAAAGTACAAGCAGAGGGGATAAAATGCCCGCATCTTGGAATCAAGGGACAGCTTATGAGATGCATGCGGAAATCTCATGCATGGGATGCCATGAGAAGCGTGGGATAGTGTCACACCCACACGCATGCGATGCAAGATGGTGAAGGAGGGCTTCAAAACAAGATGACAGCGGCAAGCTAACAGAGTGGCGGAGCATGCTGCGACACCAGGCAGCACCCGTACCATGGTGCGCCCAGGCTAGTGTGTGGTGAAGGGCTGACTTTTGGATCGACTCAAAGGTCAGATGCTGCAACACCAGGCAACACCAATACCATGGTGCACCCAACCCAAGTCAGTGTGCGGTAAAAGCCACGCCCTCTGACTATGCCACTCCACGCAAACTAACACCACTCCTGAGGCGCCTCAAAAGTCAAGTCAGTGTGTAATAAAGGTCACATCAGTCTGACTATGCCACTCCACGCAAACTAACACCACTCCTGAGGCGCCTCAAAAGTCAAGTCAGTGTGTAATAAAAGTCACATCAGTCTGACTATGCCACTCCACGCAAACTAACACCACTCCACACCCTCTTAAACCCATTGTTAGCTTGCCTTTGTTCCCTCTCCCCCTTCCCCTACCTCCCTCCGTCCCTCCCTCCCCTTCCTCCCTTTCCTCTGCACACCCACCTGCATTATGGGAAAACACCGCCACATCTCCCGTCCAGTCGCTGGCCGCCACGTCAGCAAGCAGGTCCACGTCAGCAGCAGCAACAGTCCCAGTAACCGCATCAGGGTCAGGGTTGTGCATGGTGTATTTGCGGCCGTCGCGGCACCACCCCGCGCCCTGGCAGTTGAACGCCCCCACCATGCCACTGCACGCGTTCATCGTCCAGATCTTGAGCATGCTGTTGGGGATAGAGGGTGGTGGGGGAAACAAGGGGTTGAGGGTTGGGAAGGGTGGAAAAGGGCAGTTGAACGCCCCCACCATGCCACTGCACGCGTTCATCATCCATATCTTGAGCATGCTGCAATGATCATAGTGGTGCGGGGAAGGGGGGGGTGGAGGGGGGAAGGTGAGGGTTGGTGATGGGGAAAAGGGAGGGGGGCCCACAGGGAAGGAGAAGGTTGGGGGTTAAGAATCGGGTGGGTGCGATGGGACAGTATAATGCGCCCACCATGCCACTGTATGCACCCCTCAGCTATATGTGTTGAGCATGACAACAATGGCCATGGCGATGGTGCCAGCAAGGAGCAAACAAGCAGAGAAGAACAGGGGAAAGTAACAGGCATGGCGTGTGGCAAGAGGCATGGCAGAGGCATGGCAGAGGCATGGCAGTGCAGCACTACAGCACCGAGAGTGACTGCACGCACTGGGTGTGGTTGACCCACCGCGTGGGATTCCACGTACCTCGTGTGGACCCGGGCAGGGTCGGCAAAGAGGCAGTCCCTGGTGGGTCAACTGCATTGTGTGACGTTTGGTAGGGGTCGTGACTGACCCACCTGCTGCCAGTGCACGCACCTGGTGTGGTCCCGGGCAGGGTCGGCAAAGAGGCAGTCCCTGGTGGGTCGGCCAGGCAGCTTGGCGCGCAGCACAGAGCCGTCTGGCAGCACCAGCTTGCGCAGCACATTGAAGTCGTGCTGCCCTGGCTTGTCGCTGTGTGGGGGGTGTGGTGGGGCGAGAAGACAAGGAAGAGGAGCGGGTATGGCTTGGTGCGCAGAACAGAAGCATTGGCCAGGCAGCACCAGCTTGCGCAGCACAATGAAGTCATGCTGCCCTGGCTTGGCGCTGTAGGTGGAAAGGGAGGGGGAGGGGTGGGGGGTGAAAGGTGCAGGAGCAAGGGAGGTACGGGCAAGGTAAGCTTGGGTCGCAGCACAGCACACTGACGCTGTGCTGCTCAGGCTTGTCACTGTGGGGTGGGTGGGGGGAGGGTGGAAAAGGGAAGGGGAGGGAAGGAGAGGACTGGGAGCGAAGAAGCTACTGCTTGAGGGCATTGTGCCTGAGGTGCTTGAAGAAGCAACCGTGGGCAGATTTGAGCCCTTTGAGACAAACAGCTCATGGCACTGATATGCACGGGTGTGCGCACTGGATTGCACACCCACCGCACCAGTTCTTACGCTCAGCACCCACCTCCTTTGCGCAGCACCAACCTCCTTTGCGCAGAACCCACCCCCCATGCACATGCGCAGCAAGGAACACTCCTGAAAGCCAGCCATTCCACACACATGATACCCCACTCACACACACGGCTCGCATGTGACACTCACACAGCGCACACCCACCCACCTGACATAAACGGCGCATCCCCCCACGGCGCGTGCTGCTGCGTGGAACTCCGCTGCTGGATGCAGCGACTGGTGGTGGGTGAAGACACATGCGGGAGAAAGGGGGCAGGCAGGCAGAAGATGGGCGGGCAGGGAAGGGAGGAAGAGGGTAGTGGGGAACGAGTGATGCATATTGCGAGATTGTAAGGCCGGGAGTTCTTTGCATGGGTGTTTTTCACGCAGCGACTGACACACACAAATCAATCATCTACCTTCGGTCCATGTAACATCCTGCACTCTCCTCTCCTCCTCCCCCCACTATACCCACCTGGACCATGCCCAACCCAGCCCGCCCTCCCTTACTTCAGTCAAGACGCACGTGGAAAATGTCCCAGTCGGGCTGCATGAACTCGCCCAGAAACAGGCCCACACAGAAAGTCAAACACTCTACAATCCAGCTACCATCCTGCACCCTCCCTCTCCCCTCCACCCCTCACAGCACGCACGTGGAACATGTCCCAGTCGGGCTGCATGAACTCGCCCAGGAACAGGCTGTTGTACGCCACCTGGTGGGCGGGGTGGGGTGGGCGGCGAGGGAGTAAGGGGTGGGTGAGTGGCGTGGGAATAAAGGGCTCTTGTAGGCCACCTGGAGGCCGGGGTGGGGACCAAGGAACAGAGGGGCACGTGTCACCGCAAGCAGGGTAAATGACATGGGAAGAGGGATGGTGGGGGTATAGGAAAGAGGGGGGAGTGGAGGCATGGGAAGAGGAGTGGTTGGAACGGGACGTGGAGTGGTTTGAATGGGAAATTGCGTGGTTGATGAGGAGTTGAATGATAGGCGGCAGTGAGCTATAGGGAGAGGCCAATGAGGCGAGGCCAACAAGGCTCCTTTTGGATTTGGTGCAAAGAAACGACACATGTCTGACTAAGTGACAGGGAAGGATGACGGAATGAAGGGGAAAGGATGGACCCACAGAGACAGTGTGCACGGTGGATGGTGAGAAAGGGACGAGGAGCGGTGGGAATGGGTTGAATAGTGGTGGGAATGGGACGAAGAGCAGTGGGATGGGAACGGGATGAGGAATGGTGGGAACTGGACGAGGAGAAGTGGGAAAGGGAGGAGCAGCGTTGGGAATGGGACGCACAGAGACGATGTGCACGGTGTGCGAGGCGGGGTCGGTGGGCCAAAAGTCATCGGACGCCCGCACCACTGCTGTCTGCTTCGCCCTGCTCAGAACACATGTATCGTCACTTTGCGATGAGGTGCAGACAATATGATCCGGGGCAGTGATGAGTGAAAGTCAGATCAGTAATGGAAGGGCAGCGCAGTAAGAGAGGGAGACGCACAGAGAAGGGCTTGTGTGATTGGAGGAGAAAAAAGGGCGAGCGGGAACTCACGAGTAGAGCCCGTCGGTGTTGTGGCTCATGCACGCGATCACCCCATTCCCTTCAAAGTACTTCGCCACGCTACAAAGTTAACATCATGGGCATCATACAAATATTCTTGTGTAAGCTCATGCCCGTTGACATAAAAAGTTTCCTCGTGAAACCCCTCGCCAGCGCCACCCCCCCCTGTACCCCCCCTTTCCTACCCCGCCCCCCATCCCGCCCCCCAAGCGACTCCAGAATAAGAGAGGCAGCACTCACGAGTACAGCCCGTCGGTATTATGACTCATGCACGCGATCACCCCATTCTCCTCAAAGTTCTTCGCCACGCTCCGCTCCAGCGCCTCATGATACCCCCTCGCCAGCGCCACCCGTCCCCCATACCCCGCGCCCAGCGTCTCTAGAATATTCTGCACGTCCACCTTCACCCCGTCCACCCCGCACGCGGCCAGATACCCGTGCAGTGCGTCGTAGAAGTGGAACACCTTGGCGGGGCTGACCACGCCCAGCCCGTTGAGGGTGAGGGAGTCGTGGGCCATGTCGGGCTGGTTGAGCAGGATGGAGGGGGAAGGCACTGGGAAGACCAGGGCTGGGTCGAACTGCTGCATGGTGCTGGCGTGCGGGCGGACTCCTCCCCAGTAGCCCATCAGTGCGTGCCACACGTACACGTACCTGCAGGGGAGGAGGGGGGGTAATGGGGTTATGGGAAAAGACATCCCAGATTCTCATAAGCCAAAGAGACAAACTTAGAAACCCGCACGCGACCAGCATGCGACCAAGCATTGCTCATTTGAGATCAAAAGTCACTCACTTGAAACCAAGAGCCACTCATTGAAGATCAAGAGCAGGAGACTCACTTGAGGTCGTGAGCAGCCTTCACCTCGCGCACCACCTGCCCCAGCCCATGCACCATGCCCACTGCCTCGCCCAACACTCTTGCCCCGTCCTCTCCCTCCCTTCCCCTCACCCCCCTGCCCCTCCTGCCGCCCCTCACTCCCCTTCCCCTCCCAAGCTCACAAGTAACTCACTTGAGGTCGTGAGCAGCCTTCACCTCACGCACCACCTGCCCCAGCCCATGCACCATGCCCGCTGCCTCGCCCAGCTCACTCGGCCCCTCATCTCCCTGCCCCTTCTCCACCCGCCCTTCACCCTCCTTTTCCTCCCCCTCCCCCTGCTGCTGCTGCTGCTGCTTGAACTTGTAGTTGGCCTTGAGGTCTGTGAGGCGACTTGCATACCTGCAGAGTGAAAATGGGCAAGAATGACGTTTGACCTTCTGAGCTGCCTTAAACTGAGGGAAAAGATGAGCCGGCAGAGGGGTTACTGTGTCCCAACAGTGATGTTGGCGCTGGAACGATCACGCGATTCAGCCGCCAGCCACTGTCTGCTGGCAGCCTATTCTGTGCTGCTGCACTGCTCTGTAAACTCTACTCCCCCGCACTGCTGCGCTCTTCTGAGCACTCACTGTGTGCCGACAGTGATGGTAGCACTACACTGGAGCCCTCATGCGAGTCAGCTGCCACTGATTGTTGAGAGTCGTGTGCTGCTGCACCGCAATGTACTGCAGTACACTACCACACTGCAGTGCACCGCACAGGACCGTACTGCACCACTGAGCACTCACTGTGTGCCGACAGTGATGGTGGCACTGGAGTCCTCATGTGAGTCAGCCGCCACTGATTGCCATCCGTCATCGATGATTAGGAACTTGGCCGGCGTGTTGCCTTCTGCCAGACTGCATGGGAAAGGAGAGAAGGGGGGATTGGGGGGAGTTGGGATGGGGAGAGAAGGGGTGGGGAAATGGAATGGGAGTGCTTGAATGTGCCTCAGATCATGCAATTCAAATCAGACATCCATCATCGATAATGTGGCTGGCATGTTGCCTGCTGCGAGACTGCATGGTGAAGGGGATGGGAGATAGGTGGAGTGGGAGAGAGGGGATGGGTGGAGTGGGAGAGGCAGGAGGGGAGATGGGTGGAGTGGGAGAGGGGGGGTGGGTGGAGTGGGAGAGGGGGGGTGGGTGGAGTGGGAGAGGGGGGATGGGTGGAGGAGTGGGAACGGGGGGAAGGTTGGAGTAGGAGAGGGGGGATGGGTGGAGGAGTGGGAACGGGGGGAAGGTTGGAGTAGGAGAGGGGGGATGGGTGGAGGAGTGGGAACGGGGGGAAGGTTGGAGTAGGAGAGGGGGGATGGGTGGAGGAGTGGGAACGGGGGGAAGGTTGGACCGTTGGAGTGGGAGAGGGGGGAAGGTTGGAGTGGGAGAGGGGGGAAGGTTGGAGTGGGAGAGGGGGGAAGGTTGGAGTGGGAGAGGGGGGAAGGTTGGAGTGGGAGAGGGGGGAAGGTTGGAGTGGGAGAGGGGGGAAGGTTGGAGTGGGAGAGGGGGGAAGGTTGGAGTGGGAGAGGGGGGAAGGTTGGAGTGGGAGAGGGGGGAAGGTTGGAGTGGGAGAGGGGGGAAGGTTGGAGTGGGAGAGGGGGGAAGGTTGGAGTGGGAGAGGGGGGACGGGTGGAGCAGAAATTCGTTGCCTGCGGCCCCTGCTTGCCTGCACGCACCTTGCGAGCCTCCCCTGCCTCATCAACTGACTTTCCTGCCAACCCCTCTTTCACGCCCTGTGTGTCCTGTCCAGTCCACCTTGGTATACAAGGCATCCCACGTGCACCACCCGAAGCAATCCAGCAACTTCTTGAGACGTCTTAACGCTTGCCTGCACGTATCTGCCACTTCTTAAGCCCCTGCCTGGCTTGACTTTCCTGCCAGCCCCTGCCTGGCTTGACTTTCCTGCCAGCCCCTGTTTCACGGTCTGTGTGTCTAGTCCACCTTGGTATACAAGGTGTCCCACGAGCACCACCCGAAACAATCCACCAACTTCTTGAGACGTCTCACAAAGACGCATCAGCAGTTTTTTTTATACGTCGCACTCTCTCTTGGCGTCTCTCACGAACTGACGCACCTCCCAGCCCCTGCTTGCCTTGCATGCACTCACCTAGCAAGCCCCTGCTTGACGCCGTGAGCGTCCACCTTGGTGTAGAAGGCGTCCCACGTGCACCACCCGAAGCAGTCCAGCAGCCCTGGCAGCTGCTTCTCCTCCCGCCTCAGGAACGACCCCGTGTGCTGCTCCACCGCCCTGCCAGCATAGGTGGGAGGGGGAGGGGGGAGGGGGGAAGCAGAGGGAAGTTTCTGAGGCGCCTAAAAAATGGTCAAGAACGAGTAAAAGGGCGAATGGACATCAGAAGAGTAAACAGAGAGTGGAAGAATCAACGGAAGGAGAGAGGTTGAGGGGCGTGAAGGGAGAGGGGGAGGAGGGGGGTGGGGGGGGGAGTGGCAGGAATGCACTTGACAGCATCGGCAATAATGGAGTAGGGGTTGGTGCCGCTGTGCATGTGCGGGGAGTGGAGAGCGGTTGAGAGGCGTAGAGTGAGAAGTGAGAGAGCGAGAGAGTGAGAGAAGGGTGGGCAGGGTGGCAGGCAGGGACGCACTTGACAGCATCGGCGATAATGGAGTAGGGGTTGGTGCCGCTGTGCATGTACACAGGGTGCAGTGACTCATCCGTGCACACCTGGGGGTCGCCTGGTGACAGCGGGTGGAAGGGTGGAAGGTGGGGAGAGCAAAGGAAAGGAGACAAATAAGCATGGGAATCTTCCGATAGTGCATGTGCACTGTGTGCAGAGACTCATACGTGCACACCTGGGGGGCACCTGATGGCGGGGTTTGTAAGGGGTGGAAAGGGGTGGAAAGGGGAGAGATGAAAGAATACACACAACATGCAGTGACTCCCCTGTGCACACCTTGGGGCCGCTTGGTGACGGGGTAGAGGGAAGGAATGAAAGAAATGAGAGGGGGAGTAATGAGTGGGTTTTTCATGGTAGTTCATGTACACTGCGTGCAGTGACTCCCCCGTGCACAACTTGGGGTCGCCTGTGATGGCATGGCGTTTCACATGGGTTGTTAGAGCGGGGATGGTGGGTGGTGGAAGGGGGTGGTGGGTGGTGGAAGGGGGTGGTGGGTGGTGGAAGGGGATGGTGAGTGGTGAAAGGGGATGGTGAGAGGTAGAAGGAGGAGAGAGCAAAGGATATACTCATAGGCTTTCTGAGATCGTGCATGGACAGGGCGTGCATGACGTCAGCATGGAGGGCCATTTACGGTTGGCAGGGGTGGAGCATGATGGGGGGATGAAAGAGAGTTTAGACAGCTCACGAACGAGGAAGTCGCATGCTTCTTTCATATGTGTGCGGAGCAGAGGGTTCTGGAGTAGAATTGTTAGCCCGTTACACATGACACATGGTACAGGGCACAGGGCATAGGGCACGGGGCATAGGGCACGGGGCACATGGCACAGAGTCACTCATCGTAGACCTCTTTTTCACCATTCTTCCTACTTGTACACCCCCCCTCCCCCCCCTCCCCCCCTCCCCCCTCCCTTCCCCCCCACCCGGCCCCCCCTTTTAATGTGGTTCTCAGCTGATATTTGCTGCGGTTTGGAAGCACCAAAATGCCATGCTGCTCACCGCTCTCGAGGCACACTTCAAGATGGTCGGAGGGCGAGCCTTGCAGCGCCGCACGGAAGGACCCGTCCAGCAGCGGCAGCACCACCACGTACACCCTCGCGCTCGCGCTGCCGCCCGCCTCCTCCCCCACAACCTTCCCCTCACCCCCACTGTCCTGCTGCTGCTGCTGCTGCGGGGGGAGCTCGAGCAGCAGGAACTGCGTTTCCACGGGGACCTCGCGCCCGCTGCTGCCCACGCGCTGCGTCATCCACCAGAGCTTGAAGCGGAAGCAGCACAGGAACCGCGCGCCCCTGGGGGAGTGAGAGGGAAGGGGAGGGAGTGGGGGGAAGAGTGGGGGGAAGAGTGGGGAGGGGTTTGTCTGAGCCGACTCAAACGTCCACTGCGTCATCCACCAGAGCTTGAAGCGGAAGCAGCACAGGAAGCGCGCCCCTTGGGGGAGTGGTGGGTAGGTTGCCGGAGTGGAGGGGAAGGAGGGGAAAGCGGAGCACGAGTGAACGACGCAGGGCGACATGGGGGTCATATGGGAGTTCAATTGGGGTAGAGCCGCATGGTGCGCACGCTCGTTAGCGATCTAGTACAATTTCGAGACAAGATACGGGTGAGAAAGTGCTTTCACACGACTGCGACAGCTTTCCTGGGCACTCACCCCCGTTTCGCCGTGCTACCCTCGCTCCCTGCGCCACCCCTCTCTCTCAGCGCTTCTTAAATGTTACAGGATCTGTTTATACCGCGCCTCTATAAACAAGCCAGGAAACGGCGCTCGACAGCATGCGATCACACCACATTGCGCTTCACCTTCAGCGTGGGCTCACCATCGTGCGCCAACACTGCATTGCGCCTCACCGGAGCACGCCCAGGCGGAACACGTGCCAGCTGTGCGCCTCGCGGAACCGACTCCCCAGAAACACGCCCTGTGCCTCCGCCTCCCCCGCCCCTTTGCCCGAATCTCCCAATCCCCCCGCGTGCGGCGTGAGCACGAGCGACGGCGGCACGTCGCTCAGCACCACGCGATCGTGGGCGAGCAGCTGTCGCTCGTCGTTGATGCGAATGCTGGAGTGGACGGGTACATCTGGTGGCGGGTTTGATGCCGTTGAGGGTGCGACTGGTTCGGCTGGTAGAGGTTGGTGAGAGGAAGAGACGGCAGCACCGACGGGAGGAGGAGAGAGCGTGTCGATGGCTGGTTGCACGGCTACCGCCATGGCTTCCTGCTGATCTGGAAATTGTTGCTGTTGTTGTTTTGATTGCTGCTGCCGGTTTTGTCGCACGGACGAATGCACGCGGAACGGCGGACGGGGCGCAGCGGATGCACGCGGTGACAGACGAGCGGCGGAGGAGGCGACACCAGTGGTGGAAAGATCTCTGGAAACGCGAACCTCGGTGACACCGAGATTGCCGAAGTCAGTTATTCTGACAGCGGCGGTGGCGGTAGAAAGGCCTCTCGATTGGAAGCTACTCGATAGATATCGCGTCTGCGGAGATCCGATGCGAGGAGAATACAGGATACGCAATTGCGATGTGAGCGACGCGATCGGGCTGCGAGGAGCATCGAGGGTTGAAGGGGAATAAGTTATAGTGAGAGGCGACAGCGCATTTGGTGTGCGAGCGGACGACGCGGTGGGTGTCAGAAGAGGAGACGCTTTCACAAGCTTATTAGCGGCGGGGCGCGGCAAGGAACGCACCATTTTTCCTTAAGAGCCACCATCTCACCTGTTGCAGAGACTAGAAAAGGAGATGCGAAGAGGTATCAGTGGCTGCTGATGGTATCATTGTGCACGTTTAGCTGCGGCCAATCCATTTCGTATCGTGATGTGTCTGCTGACGGCTTTACACGAGAGCCACGCTAGTAAGGTGGAAGAATCAAAAGGAAGTAATGCTGGCGGAAGGGCTACCCCACGATCTAATCTGGGTGGTGCTTATGTGTGCAACACAAACTCGTTGGCTAAGGCTTTCGGTAATGGTGGTGGTGAATGGCGGTGGTTAATAAAACACAGTTTTCTTCTGACGGATTGGCAGAAGGATGGTAATGCCGAGGTGTCGATACCCTGCGAAAAGAACTGCGGAAGGGTTCAGAACTGGATCCGAATAGGCCTTTGTACCCACGGTTTGTGTGTTCAAGACGCTAGCGTTTGTGTTATGGCGAGGGTCGAGTAGATAGAACTGAGTGTTTGGAGTTGGAGACTAGATCGTCGGAGGGGACTTGCTGGTAAGTGTGGATGTAGATTGTGCAAACCTCCCCTCTCCCACCAGCTTGCTGTGACGGGTGTGTCAGCTAGGGATGACCTCGAGAGGGCATCGGTTTGGATCTGGCGCCGCGCCGTGCGTTGGGGTCTGATTTCAGGCTCACAAAATCACCTTACTGCCAATCAAGCTGAACCACATGTAACACAACCACAGCAGTAGCGGTGAAACCTCTATAGTGAGCTGTCCTCGTTCAGACCACAAGCGCGCCAGTGGCGCCTTGTACCAAGGTCTCCAGCTCACCTACCCATTACACCAAGGTCCAGACGAATGGGATCTAGCCACTGAAACGTAAGTGAGGAAAGGTTTCGTCAAAAGTTTGAAAAACTACGTCATATCCACGTCGTTGGACCCCCACAAAATGAACGTGGCGTAACCCGGATATTTTTTTTCCGGGAAAGTATATCCCAGCTCCATAGTTTCAAAAATCTCTCAAATTTAGTCCTAAATCGACTCAAAAAGTACAGCTTTCTAGAATTTTGCTCACGCGAGGCCCAGATTATGTTCAAAACTGGTCCTGCCGGGCAAAATTTTCGGCACGTGTCCTTTTTCGTATTAGCAATTTCTGACGGGGGCAAAAAACATAAAACCCTTAGGGGAACCAGGACACACGTTCGGGAGGGACCAACCCTAAACACGGGGACCCGCTTGGTGTTTGGGGTTGATCCCTCCCACAAATGTGCCCTAGTTCCGGAGGGGTTTTATTATTTTTTGCCCCGTCGAAAAGCTTTCCAAGCGAATTTGGCCACGTGTCGAAAATTTTTGCCCCGCAGGACCAGTTTTGAACATACTTTGGGCCTCGCGTGAGCAAAATTCTAGAAAGTGGTACTTTTTGAGTGAAACTGGGGCTAAATTTGGGAGAAATCTGAAAGTATAGATCTGGAATATAGTTTCCCTTTTTTTTTTTTTCTCGCGATGCAATATTTTGAAACACTGCGTACACCACACGAGCTCATTAGCGGATTCCACGTCATATCGGAAATTAATCAGACCACATTATGGATGTTCAGCGTAACGTGAAAGGCATCAAGTACACCAGAACAGTCTAGCATTTCCAGGATAGAGAAAGCTCAATTAATCACCAATTAGGTTTCCTAATTTCTCAATCAGACACTATGTTTTCACATACCGGTAAGCTTCCCCATTATGTGGTCATGTCACCTGTCGATGTCACAAAACTTCCACTCCTAACCATGAAGATTTTTGTTGTGATTCTATTTGACTTTTGCATATATCCCTCCTCTCACCCACCTCATCCACCCTCTGCCCTTCACCCGCCCTCTGCCCCTCGCCCGCCCTCTGCCCCTCGTTCACCTTCTGCCCCTCGCCCGCCCTCTGCCCCTCGCCCGCCTCTGCAGCATCAAGTCGCCGGGCCTTGCAAGCGCAGTACTTGAGTGCGCAGCGAGACACGTACGTCAGCGGGCGAGGGGGGGGGCATGGAGCCCGACAAGCCCATCGCAAAACTAAGCAGTGCCCCCGACCCATCTCTTGATCCACCTCCCTCCCCTCACCCACCCCCAGCCCCGCACCCGCCTCTGCAGCAGCAAGGCGTCGAGCTTTGCGAGCTCTCCTCGAGAGTGAACCACGGGGCACGTAGGACATGGAGCCCTGTAAGCCCGCAGGGGAATTAAGCAGCTACCTCCACCTCCTGGCCCCGACCCATCTCTTGACCCTCCTCCCTTCCCTCTCCTGCCCCCTGCCCCTCACCCCCCTCCGCTGCTGCAAGGCGTCTGGCCTTACGCGCTCTTCGCTTGAGGGCGCGGCGGGACACGTACCCCGGGAGGCGAGGAGGGGGGGCGGTGGGCAGGTAGGTGTGCAGTCGCTGGTAGGGCTCTGGGCGGGCGAGGAAGGGGCGCAGGCGAGGAGCAGCAGCACACTCTGTGCTGCAGGCGCCATTCATAGCTTGGGCACACGTGGAGCAGAACCTGATGGGGGGGAGAGGATAGGAGGAGGGCAGGGGAGGGCAAGGGGAGGGTGAGAGGAGGGCGAGGAGAGGGATGCAGGCAGAGGGCAGGTAGGTGTGCAGACGCTGGTAGGGCTCGGGGCGGGCGAGGAAGGGGTGTAGGCGAGGGGCAGCGGCGCACTCGGTGCTGCAGGCGCCATTCATGGCTTGAGCACATGCGGAGCAGACTCTGAGGAATAGAGAGGGGAGGATGGGAGGGCAGAGGAGCAGTGAGGTGTGATAACTTTCTAGTAAATTAATAATTCAGCAATCTGAGCTGCAGGCGCCATTCATGGCTTGAGCACATGCGGAGCAGACTCCGCGGGGGAAATAGGGGCATGGGGAGAGCAGGGGGGTTGGCAATGGGGGGCGAAGAGGGCAGGGCAGGGTGCAACCGCTGGGGCAGGCGAGGAAGGGGAGCAGGCAGGGGGCAGCAGCGCCGTTGGTGCTGCAGGCACTCTTAAAGGCTTGGAAACATGCGAAGTAGACTCTGAGGGATAGAGTGGGGGGGGAAAGGGAGGGTGGGGAGAGACAAGGAGAAGTGAGGTGAGATAATGAGCAGTAGAGCACTCGGTGCCCCCAGACTCTGGGGGCTTGAGCGCACCCCTCGTGGCTTGAGCGAGCAGCAGACTCTGGGGGTGGAGGGGGAGCAAAGGGGCCAGGGCGATTAAATGTGAAGCATAAGGGCAGTCAGGTTTTGACTCAGCCTCACACCATTCCCCTCACACTATCCCCCTCACACCAAGCCCCTCACACCAATCCTCCTCAGGCCATCCCCCTCACATCATCTTTCCAAATGAGATTTGATCGAAACTTACAGAATGAGGGCGTTGCAGTCCGAGTTGGCGCAGTTGCGATGCTTCACCTCCTCCAACCGCCCTCCACACCTCTGACACCCCACACTCTCCTCCTCCTCCCCTTCCACCGCCCCCATCATCCCCCCCAACACCTCACCCAGCACCTCCCCAACCCTCTCCACCCCCTCCTCCTCCGCAGCCCGCAACACCTTCCCCCCGACCTGGTAATCCCTGGGCGGCACAGCCAGCCGCGAGTCAAACACAAAAAGCCGCCCGTTCCAGTGGTCGCCGCCCTGCTCGCGCATGTACCGGGCGACGCCGCCCTCAAGGGTGTAGAGACGTTTAAAGCCCTGCTGTCTGAGCAGTGCGGAGTACACGTCACAGCGGATGCCCCCCGTGCAGTACATGAGCACCTCTGTCTCCTCCTTGTCTGCTTCTGATAGCGGGTCGTATGCACCCTCCTCCTGCCTCCCTGCCTCCTCTTCCTCCTGCTGTTGTTGCTGCTGAAGCTGCTGCTGCTGCTCTGCTGTGGTGGCTTCAGTGTGTTCCTGGAAACGAGTGTGCGGGGAGATGGTTGGCAGGCAGGAGAGGGTTGTTGAGTCAAGCGAGCACACACGGTGCAACAAAACCACCCCTCTCCCAGGCGAGGTTTGACTTGTGCGACCCTTGTTCATCCTACCTCGTCTGCTGAATCTCGCGACCTCCTCGCCTCCACACACTCACCACAACAACCTTCCCACCCTCTCGCCGCCCAACGTTCATCTCTTGCCGCCCAACCCTCACCTCTTGCCGCCCAGCCCTCACCTCTTGCCGCCCAGCCCTCACCTCCTGCAGGCCGAACTCAGTGGATCGGAAGTTGTCAACCGGAGGGCGCACAGCCCCGGCAAAATGGCCCACGTCCCACTCGTAGCCTGGTGGGAGAAGCGGGGGAGAGGGGGAGAGGGATGGGGAGAGCGAGCGAGAGAAGGAGAGATGAGGAAGGTCTGCAGTGTGTGAAGTTGTCGACTGGAGGGACTTTTGAGTCGACTCAAAAGGGCGCACAGCCCCGGCAAAATGGCCCACGTCCCACTCGTAGCCTAGAGAGGGGGTTTGGCGTAAGAGGGGGAGAGAGAGTAAGGGGAAGGACGGTGTGTTTCTGAAGGTGTCTCATGCCATGCCATCGACACACAGGCCCTCCTCACGTTGTCAACCCCGAGGGTTCACAGCCCACGCAAAAAGGCCCACGTCCCAATCGTAGCCTGGTAGGGGGCTAAGTTGGAATATACGCGTTTAGCGTTTTGTACGCTTGCTGTATAAACGCTAGAGTATATACGCAAACCGCAGTCCCTGAGGGGTCTGGTACGCACAAGAATCCGCTTGCCCGGGCAGGAAAAAAGTTTTCCCCGGGCAGATTTTTGGGGTAAGAGGTGGGGATGGGGGGGTGTTGTAACCCCCATCCCCTTTGTATTAATATGAAAGTTACAGGGAAAAAAACCCTTAAAACTAATCTGCCGCTACAACTTCACCCACCTTAATCATGCTACTACCCCCCCATCCCCTACTCTACTCAGGTCCACCCTCCATCCCCCGCCTGCCGCTCATGCATGGAGTCTTCCATCCACTAGTACTCATCTGCCATCACATCATCCTCCCCCTCCTCAGGTTCCTCCACCTCCTCCGGGACGTTAAAGCCAGCCGGAGTGGGGGGGTCCTCGATGTTTCCCTTCACCACCCCCAGCCCTTCAGGGGCCTTGTGCCAGTTGTGCACCACCTGCCAATTGTGCGTCACATACACCAGGTCACGAAGCTTCACCGCGCCGAGGCGGTTCATCCTTGCCGTATGCACTGCATCAAACTTCGCCCAGTTACGCTCACATGGAGACGCGGACACCGGCTGCGTGATGGCGCGGCAAGCCATGGTGGTGAGCTCAGGATGATCGGTCCCGTGCCATGACCACCGGTCCACCGCCGTCATCTTGCCCTCCTTCACTGCCTGGCGGTCGGCAATAGCGTCGAGCATGCCGAAGCTGCCTTGGAGGTTCAGGAAGGCATTAAGGCCTTCCTGGATGACGAGAGAGGCGCGGCGCTCGACCCCATCCTTCCTGGTGACCGTCTTGTCACCATGGTGCTTGGAGACGTACTGCTTGAAGACCCTCGTGCACTCCAGGTCGGTGCGGAAAATGCACTCTTCCTGGTTGGTGGGGTAGAGGATGCGGCCAATCACGTGCAGGTTGCACGCCAGCCCGTTGTCCCAGCGGTCCTGCACGATCTCCCGAATATCCCCCACCTCGTCGCTTGTCAGGACCCCTTCCGCATGCTCGTCGAGGAAGTCGCGGATGTCCTCGGTGAGCTGGAGCATGAGGTCGTAGAGACGACCCATCATGCCCTTCGAATCCGAGTCAGTCTTGCGCATGACGACGAATGGCAGCCTCATCAGCTTAGCGAAGAACTCGGCGCGCGTCCACCACGTGGCATCGAGGATGTTGTCTTTGAATGTGTCTGCCCCAGCCCTGTCTGCAGCCGCAGTCCACTCGACCCACTCATCGCTGAGGACCATCTGCGTCAGGCTGGCGCGCACTTCACAGAGGCGGTTGATGGCGATGTAGTTGGTGCCGAATCGGGTTCCCGCGGGCTTGAGAACCTGTTTCCCCTTGCCGCCGTTCACGAGCGGACTCCGCATGTATCCCCGGGTGAAGTGATGGTTGCGGACGAACGAGATGAGGGTGTCCCCGTGCGTGACGATGTCCTTCGCCCATCCCTTTTTCCCGATGTCCTCCATCAGGAGATCGAGGACATGGGTCGCGCAAGGGATGTGTTCAATGTGGGGATACTCGCGCATCAACACCCTGCATGCCGCCGCGTAGTTGGAGCCGCCGTCAAAACACAAGGCGACGACATTCTCGGGGCCGACCTTTTCGATGATGGGCCGCAAGATGCACGCGATGTAGCCCCCGGTCTTCATCTCCATCTTCGTGTCGATCGACTCCACAAACACTGCACCGCTATCGTTGATGAGGAGCACGTTGGCTTGCGGGCGACCGGCCTTGTCGGAGAACATGTCGCTTGCCACGGTGACACCGTCACGGCGCCAGCTTGCTGAGATAGGAGCGAGCGCCGCCTCAATGCGCGGGCGACACTTTGCATGACCGGCGCCACCGATGTAGCATCTCTTCGGCGCGACGTAATTCGGCCCCGCGCGCTGGATGCTGGAGACCACATTCCGCCACAGTGGGTGGTCCGCGTGATGCTCCGGCACATGAAGAGCGGCAAAGAAGAGGCTTATGGCCTCGTCCGCAGCTTGGTTCGCGCACGCGGCGTCGTCGCCGTAGAAGTCGGTCATCCGACTCTTCTTCTTGTCCGAACCTCTGCCGTTGACTGCGCCGACCGCCGCAATTTCAGCCACACGCTTCGCTTCACGGGCCTTCAACTTGGACTCGTAAAGCGCCTTCACGGCGTCACGTGCAGTCTTCAACGCTGCAGTGCAGAGATGCACTTCGCGACGGCGCATGCCGTTCCAGCTGGTGATATGCTGCGCGCAACGGTGAACCCCGCCAACAAACGTGAAGTTGCAGTAGGCACACACCTTGGTGTCGTTCTCGCCAACGCTATTGGCCGGCACCTTGAAGTGACGGTAGACTGTGTGCTTGCTGTCCATGCAGACCAAAGACGTACTAGAAGAGGTCCCACCAGCGGAACTACCACGAGACTCTGAGGGTGGCGTACGAGAAGTGGTTGCTGTAGGAGTGGAAGCCATGGTGGCTTGGGAAAGGAGATAGCTAGAATAGGAGGCGAGAGAATAAATGTCGAGGGAACAAACGCCTCTCTTTATGCCTGGGAGATTGGGTTGGGTTGAGCTCCCAACCAGTAAAGTAGCACTTGGAGGGGATGGTGGAATGCTGTGGTTCAAAGGGGTGTGAAACGTTTGAGGGGAGGGGTTGATGAGGTTTGGTGCTCGAAATTCAATTTTTGAGTTCATTTCGCGACATCTGCGACTCGGAATTCAGATCGCCACGTCGCGAGCTTCAGATTGATTTTTTTTTTTTCGGTCTGCCCGAAATTCAACTCGGCGAATTTTCAAACTATACGCAACGTACGAATTCGACAAGCGTATAAACGCAAAACACAAAATGAAAGTAGCGTATATTCCAACTTAGGTAGGGGGAAGGGAGGAGGGGAGGGGGAGAGGGGGAGGGGGACATGGGAAAAGTCTGCAATGTGTGTGAGGACAGCACCGCTTGCCGCACACAGACAGCAACCACTGTTTTACACATCGTTGGGCAAACTCACCACTTCAAACAGACAGCAGCGTGCCTACCAGCAAGCACCCACCATTGCGCACGGCACATCCAGCATGCCTAAACACAAAGCACCCACCATTGCGCACGTCCAGCAGCATTATCTTCTTGGTGCGCGCAACTGCCTCCTCCCCACGCCCCTTATTGTCCTCCCCTTGCCGCCTTTCCCTGTCCGCCTCCCCACCCCCCTCACCCTCCCCCCGCTGCATCTGGTCGATCTTGCTGCGCCATTCAGCGGGCGACAGGGGCGTGGCGGCACACAGGTCTGCAGACAGCTGCTCCATGCCTCCTGCCACCTGATGGGGGAAAGTCATGGGGGGAAGGGGGGAAGCACGGGGGGGGGGGGGAGAGTGTGTGGGCGAGCGGGCAACAGGGGCGTGGGGGCACAGAGGTCCGCCGAGAGCTGCTCCATGCCGCCTGCCACCTGATGGAGGGGGCGCACAGAGAGGTGGGGGGCCGGAAACATGGGAGGGTGGGATGCGTGGCGATCCTGGGACAGAGGCGTGGCGGCACACAGGTCCGCAGACAGCTGATGGTGGGGCACGGGGGAGGGTGCGGAAGCACGGGGGGGGGGGAGAGGAGGATGTGCGGCGAGCGTGAGACACGGGCCTCGCGGCACACAGGTCGCCCGACAGTTGCTCCATACCTCTGTGAGGGAGCCCGGGGAGTTGCTCCATACTTCCGGGGAGTTGCTCCATACTTCCGGGGAGTTGCTGCATACTTCCGGGGAGTTGCTCCATACTTCCGGGGAGTTGCTCCATACCTCCCGTGACATGATGGTGGGGGAGGAGAGCGAGGCGCGTGGGGATAGAGGCCAGGGGGAGTGGAGAGGCCACAGTTGCATGGAGGAGGAGGCATGGCATGAGGGCGTGGCGAAGCAAGCTACCTCACGTGCACACCACAAGGTACAGTCACCTGCAGGAGGGCGGGCATGCAGGCATCTCACCTGCACAACGGAAGGTACAGTGTGGTGCAGCCACGACCACTCACCTGCACAACGGAAGGAACAGTGTGGTGCAGCCACGACCACTCACCTGCACAACGGAAGGTACAGTGTGGTGCAGCCACGACCACTCACCTGCACAACGGAAGGTACAGTGTGGTGCAGCCACGACCACTCACCTGCACAACGGAAGGTACAGTGTGGTGCAGCCACGACCACTCACCTGCACAACGGAAGGTACAGTGTGGTGCGGCCACGACCACTCACCTGCACAACGGAAGGTACAGTGTGGTGCAGCCACGACCACTCACCTGCACAACGGAAGGTACAGTGTGGTGCAGCCACGACCACTCACCTGCACAACGGAGGGTACAGTGTGGTGCAGCCACGACCACTCACCTGCACAACGGAAGGTATAGTGTGGTGCAGCCACGACCACTCACCTGCACAACGGAAGGTACAGTGTGGTGCAGCCACGACCACTCACCTGCACAACGGAAGGTACAGTGTGGTGCAGCCACGACCACTCACCTGCACAACGGAGGGTACAGTGTGGTGCAGCCACGACCACTCACCTGCACAACGGAAGGTACAGTGTGGTGCAGCCACGACCACTCACCTGCACGAGCGCCGGCTTGTAGCGCAGGCGGAGGCGCGGGAAGGCGTGGCCCACAGGAGAGGTCGACAGCTGTCCCTGTGCTCAGGAAAAGGTACAGTGTAGTGCTGGCAGGACAGCCCACCTGCACGAGGGCGGGCTTGTAGCGCAGGCGGAGGCGCGGGAAGGCGTGGCCCATGGGGGAGGGTGACAGCTGCAGCGGCACCCCGGCGAAGCGCTGGTCGCTGCGCACCCACTTGGCATACTCCATCACGTGTGAGGCCGGCCCGCTGAGCTGATGTGATGAGTGGGGGGGGATGGGATGGGGGAAGGAAGAAAGTGCAGGGGGATGTGTGTGTGGGCGTGGGAGGAGCACATGAGGGCAAGTCAACGCCCTCGTCACCACACACCCACTCGGCGCACTGCGTTCACGTGTGAGGCTGGGTCGCTGAGCTGCGAGGGAGGACGAGATGATGTGATGGGGAGAGGAACGGAGGATTGGAAAGAGGGATGGGGGAGTGAGGGGTCGATGCACAACCAGTCTGCATACTCCAACACATGTGAGGCCGGCCCGCTGAGCTGCGCGGAAGGAGAGGTGTGTGAGGAGGGAATGCGGAGAGTAACAGGAGGGTGTGGGCGCAGATAGGGGCAAAGCGCTCGTCACAGCACACCCACTCGGCGCACGCACTCCATCCATCACGTGTGAGGCAGGCACGCTGAGCTGCGAGAGACGACAGAGAGGGGAACGGGAGACTGACAAGCGCGCGAGGCCGGACTGCTGAGATGAGATGATGCGATGCGGTGAGTTGGAACATGGATGGCACAGGCTCGTGTAGAGTGCAATGACAGGCAAGAACTCTCCCTCTCGCTCTCCCTCTCGCTCTCCCCCTCGCTCTCCCTCTCGCTCTCCCTCTCTCTCCCACTAGTTCTCGCTCTTGCCCTCGCCCACATCCTCTTGCCTTTCCCCTTCTCAAAGGCTACATTCTCGCGAGTTGAAAAGCTGAACGGTACAGTGCGGTGCTGGAGAAGAACGATGCGAACACACGGGACTTCACTCTTTGATGAAAATTGTGTAGAGCCGTATTGATATTTCCCTGCGCCCCGAATCTTAAACCCTGAACCTTGAATCTTAAACCCTGAAGCTTGAAGCTTGAACCATGAGCCATGAATCTTGTATCCTGAGCTCCGAGTCTTCTTGACCCATGCATGCTGCACCGCACCGTTGGGCCATGCCACGTCACTCCCACATCTGCACCACCAACACCCATGCTCCTGTCCCCTGCACCACCACCTCCCACGCCCCATGCCTCACCCGCTCCTGCCTGCCTCACCCGCTCCTGCCTGCCTGCCCCGAGTGACTCACCTGAGCGTTGATGCCCTGGTGGCTGATGTATATCCGGCCTCGGATGTCCCGCTCCTGAGACACACACACATGGAGGCACACGGGCGGGAATGCAAGAGGAGAGATCGGTAGGCAGGCAGGAAGGGAAGGGACAGAGTGAAGGGAGGGAGGGGAGAGAGTGCAAGGACCAGCGCTAACGCAGTGTGACTAGCGAGGCGCTGAGGTGGGCACACCACATTGGCCACTGCAGTGCTACACCTTGACATTGACGTTAACGTTAACGTTGACGTGGACGAGGACGTCAACCAGCTCATTGCCTTCCCCACTACACCACATTCTCAATCCGCACCTGTAGGAACGCACGGTGCCGCTCCACGTCACCATGGGCATCCTCCACGTCAGCAAAGTGGTAAAAGTTGAGCACCAAAAACGGCTCCCCTTGCGCGCTCCCCGCGCCGTCCGCCGCTTCCGCCGCTCCGCCATCCCTGCGCTCCGCGGAGCCTTCCCCCGCGGGAGCTGCCGCGGAACTCTCTGGAGTCGGCATAGAAGCCGCGCTATCGTGCGCCTGCGCGCGGCATTCTCCGCGCGGGCGGAACGCGGAGAGCAAAGCACGTGTGCGCCGCCTGGAGCACTCCGCGGGAAACGAAGGGTCGCGGATAAAGCCTGTGCGCGCGTGAGGGGCGGATCGGCAGCGGGGAAAGCAGCCGGCGGGGGTGATGGCGGCGGGGGCAGCAGCAAAGGAGAGTCGCGACGCTAACGGGAGAGCGGCTCGAGCAAGGAGAGGCAAGGCGAGGCCAGTGGGAAATGACAGCGACTGAGCGGTCCGCGTAGGGGCGGCCGATGGAGCCGCGCGTGCCGGCGCGAGTGCCGCTGCTTGCTGCTGCGCGCCGAGCGGTCTGCTGAGCCCCCTTATGACGTCAGCCATGGTGGGGACTCGAATGCGGAAGATCGGTAGGCTGGAAAGCGCGACTCGAAGGCGCATAGACCTCCGGGTCGCGTGAGTTGGACACGGCAGCAGTCGTTGCGATGCGAGCAACAATAGCAGCAGAATGGAGGAAGCGTTGAACGAGGGAGGGTGTGAGATGAGAATAGCGTGTATGAGAATAGGAGGGAGACGGGGTGATGTGGGAAAAGAATGATATTGATCACGCTTCTCGCGAAGATGGTGATATCGCGTAAAAAAGATTACCGGAGGTCCAGCGCAGAAAGGTCCAGGGCACGTCAGGCCACGTGTTACGCGAAAAGTGGATGGAAATATCGCGAGGACACATGTGAACTGGTTACAAAGCAAACATGTACAAGGCCAGGTGTAAGGATCTACAAATCATTAATGAGGCACTCATTAGCGAGGTCATCCCGAGGGTCACGCGACGAACCTGTTGGGCCTATTTCGAAGCACCGAACCACCCCCCGGTCGCCTCCGCACCAATCGCGACGTCACCGAACCATCCTCGCCCGACCTCCCCGCCTAGCTAGCGTTTCCCCTATTTAGTCTCGACACTTTCCTTGTCATTCTGTAATCAATCATTCTCGATATTCGTTATTCTGCGCACTCTGCAAGTTCATTCATAACACCAGGTTATAAAGCAAACATAACAGAACAAACAAATTTGTATGTACCGTACCAATATATTCAACAGGTTCGCTATACAATTCTCCTTCATGGTCAGAAGCACAACTAGCACTATAGCGTCATACACTACATTTCCCACAGCAGCAAGTTGTGCTTCTGACCAATCAGCAAGGCCAAATCCGCCAGTCCGAATTAGCCAAGGTCGAATACCGGTATGTACGCCTTCACTTCTGAGACGAGCACCACGTATAAATGAAGGGGAGTTGTTGTGTCGACTCTGTGATCCATGCTCAGCAGCAGGAATAACATGGCATGGGATGGAGCAAGACAGCATGGATGCATGCACCCCGTCATGGCTTGGTCTTCTTGGATATGGTACTCTGCTCTGCTCGCTCAAGCCACCACTCCTTGCCTGCTGCAGTTAACAACCGGCCTTGAATCACGATGGGGAGAGGAGTGAGTGGAGGGGGAGGGAGAGCGGGGCGGGAGGGGCGGGGGCATGGCGGCAGGCGATGGCAGTGCTGAAGTGCAGCAGGAGGGAGCGGGCGAGGGCGGGGGAGGGCAGGGGGGAAGGGGAGTTAAGAGGGGGGAGGGGGAGGTGGAGGAGGGGGAGAGGCGAGATGAGATGCGCCATGGCTTGCACCGTTAGTGTGGGGGTCATCTCGCCGCTGTAGATGCTGCTGCTGTTCCCTCTGCTGTTTGGCTTGTGGTTGTTGTGGTTGATGAGGGTTGGTAGTTGGATGGGAGAGAGGGGGGGGCGCGGGCGGTCGGGGGGAGGGGAGAAAGGTGGCCTGTACTGTGCAGGCTCGGGTGCCGCCGGTGGTGGTGGCACAGCAGCAGCAATAGCCGCAGCGGCGGCAGGAGGAGTGGCGATAAGAAGAGGAGGAGGAGGAAGAGGAGCGGTAGGAGAAGCAGCAGGACTGGTGATCAGGGCATGGTCTGCAGCGCAGGGGGCAGGCAGCAGGGGAGCAGTGGGCGAGCGGGCCTCACAGTGCCCCAGGTGCTGTGTGGGTGGTGGTGGCGTGTGCAAGGATACGCATGGGGGAGGCAGTGTGGAAGTGGGAGAGGAGAGGGAGGAGGGGGAGGAGCACGGAGAGGAGGACGGGGAGGATGGTGGTGATGCACTGGGAGGATGCGAGAGAGTGAGAGGGAGAGGGGTAGCGAGGGCAGGTGAGGGAGTGTGAGGGGGGGAGAAAGTGAGAGGGGGCGGGGAGGTGTTGGTGAGGGCAGGCGAGGGGAGGGAGGATGAGGGAGAGTGTGGCGGCAGGGACGACAGCCAGTCACTGTCGCTGTGGCCGCCGCTGCTCGTCATGTCCATGCTGCTGGTAGTGGTGGTGGTGGCGCTGGTGCTGGTAGCAGTGCTGGTGCTGGTGCTGGTGGTGGTGGTGGTGGTGGTGGCGGTGCAGTTGTTTGGCTGGCTGGGTTGCATGGGAAGGGGGGCGGCTCCAACATGCCCTTTCACTCCCATCGCTGCCCCTCCTCGTCCGCTCTCCTCCCCAACCCCAACCACCGCCTCACTCACAGTTGTGCCCGAATCGCCACACAGTGTATGAGCAGCAAGCGGGGCACGAGCGAGCAGAGCACCCTCAGGCTCAGAATCACACACAGTGAACTCGTCCAGTGGCAGCTGCTCGCATGCCAGCAACCAATCAACCTGCCACTCCTGCTCCCCTCCCTGCTGCTCCCCCTCCGCCTGCTCCTCCACCACCTGCTCCTCTTTCGCCTGCTCCCCCTCCGCCTGCTCCCCTTCCCCCTGCTCCCCCTCCGCCTGCTCCCCTTCCGCCTGCTCCCCCTCCGCCTGCTCCCCTTCCGCCTGCTCCCCCTCTGCCTGCTCTTCCCCCGCCTGCTCTTCCTCCACCTGTTCCCCCTCCGCCTGCTCCTGTGCCACCTGCTGCCTAATCTGTTGCTCGCATGCCAGTAGCGTTTCCAACTCATCCCCCCACACCTCCTGCTCCTGCTGTTGCAGCTTCTCCTGTTGTTCCTCCACCATCTCCTCTACCGATTCCCCCTCCACCTCCCCTCTCTGCTCATCCTCACCACCACTACCCGCACTGTCGCCCGTCCCAGTGCCCATTAAAGCAGCAGCAGCAGTAAGGCTCACTCCCTCCTCCGCCAGCGAGCCAGGGGCAGCGAGAGCAGCGCAGGGCTCAGCAGTGGCACCACGTGGCAGCGAGTCACTGGAGGAGGGGGCCACGCGTGTGTGGGCGGAGGAGAGGAGAGGGCGGAGGGGTGCCGTGCTGTCAGCGTCAGGCAGCGAGTCCTTGGAGGAGAGGGCCGCGCAGGCGTGGATGAGAGTCTCCGCGATGGCGGGAGGCAGGAGCACCTGCGGACAGTATGGGGGGAGACGGCGGGGGAATAGGGGGAGACGTGATGAGTGTGTGTGTGCAGGGGGAGCATGGTCAGGGAGAGGGAAAGGAGGGACAGAGAGACAAAGCGGGAACAGTTTTGAGTCGACTCAAAACTCTGACTCAGTGTGACTTTTCTCTCCTCGCCTCACCTTCAACCACTCGCCTCCTCGCCACATCTACTCGCCTCGTCTTTCTCCCCTCTCCTGCCTCGCCGCGCCTCACCTCTCGCTGGTCGTTAGGGAAGTTCAGGATCGCGCCGTCGCCTCGCAGCAGTCGCACGGCGACGTCGTACACTCGCGCCGCCTGCTCCGCGCTGCTGTGCGACCCCAGCCAGATGCGCAAACCCCGCCGCGGCTCGCGGATCTCCGACACCCACCGCCCCCACCGCCGCTGCCGCACTCCGCGGTACTGCCGCTCCGCGCCAAGCGGATCGTCGCTCGTGGAAGGGGATTCCGCGGAGGGGACCGCGCTAGAGCGAGGCGCGCCGGAGGAAGGCTGCACGCAGCGCCGCTTGCGACTAGGAATCGACGAGCGCGCAGCTTTGTGCTTACGGCCTGTTACTACTACTCGCGGTTCAGTGGTCTCTTGTGTAGCTAATTGCCCGTAATAACACGGTGCTAGAACCTCGAGGCCTGTGTTCGAATCGACCTCCATTCGACTTCCAGTTGCAAATGTCAAATCCCTAGCTTTGACGAGAGGCGAGATTTACAAATTTGAAAACTTTGGTTCGAGCTAAGAAATAGGAGACGGGGAAAAGGAGCAGCAGCAGATGTGGGATTGGCGAGACGAAGCAGGAGCCGTGAAAAATATGCGAATTGCCTCCCCTATTTCCCAAGTTCGTACGCGCTTGGAATAGCTCGTTTGGCCACATTTGAACTGCTGCGACTGCGACGGCGCTTGTGTTGTGCTGCACGACTGACATGTTTAGCGGTGTGCGATTCGCAGATGATGCTTCGTCGCTGTGCGAAACCGTTCAAGGAAGACTCGCTGCAGCTCCGCTGCTGTTGCGACGAGCAGACGACGACAAGCGGTGGGCATCGGTGGGGAGAAGCGCGGAACATTTCAAATAATCTGATTGGCTGGGAAGGACTGCGACGGTAAGTTAACGTCAGACGAAGAGCTCGGCGTCGCATGACCCTGTAACGCCGACACGGATTGGGTCCAGCATCACCGGAACTTTTTGGCCTGCCGCGTTTGACCAGACTCGTTTTCAAAACACTCTGAATTCCATTGTACAAGGGACTCGCTTACAGAACAAGTGTTCTATATAGTAGGCTAATTGCATGGTGCAATTCTTTGTCAACATTGGTTGGTTCTGTAACAGTTCGCCCAAAGCCATGTTGCAAAAGGGATGAGTGGTGAGCCTACAATTCTAAAATTAGGGTATATTACACGTTAGGCATTCACGCCTTAATTAAGGCAGCGGTTCTTGCACATTGGCGAGACGGTTGAGGTGGAGATAGACGTCTGTGCCATAACCCTCCATTGACACCACCTGCAGGTCGCCTCCAAAGTAGCGCGCGTACAGCCGACTGATTGGCAAACCGTAGCCGTAGCCCGCCCTGCTCCATACAAGCACACGAAGCACCGTCACGGTCAAAACAAGCAAAAGCAAATATGTGCAAAGCACACGTCCTGGTAATGGGCTGTGTGGATGGTGTGGAAGGTGAGGGTGGAGAGTGCATATACGGTCGGTAAGGTCGGAGAGTGCATGGAATTCTGGAGGCGCGATTTTGGTAGAAGCAGCACCCGACCACACACCCCACACAGCCCGGCCCACCCCACCAGCAGCACGCACATGATGGAGGGCGTGTCCTGCAGAGCGCCACATGCCTCACACATCACACGCACACCACACACCCCACCACCAGCACCGGCATGCACCCCACCAGCAGCAGCAGCACGCACATGCGGAGGGAGTGTCCTGCAGAGCGCCACATCTCTCACTCATGACGTACATAGTACACAGCCCCCCACACATCAACATTTCCCCACTCCCTCCCCCCAACCACCCCACCACCGGCACGCACATGATGGAGGGAGTGTCCTGCAGAGCGCCAGCAGCAGCAGGTGAGCGGGCTGTGCTGTAGAGATACGTCCAGATGCGCGGTAGACCACTGCGCGGGATACCACCCCCCTCGTCTGATATCTGAAAGGGGTGGGTGGGGTGGGGAGGACACACATCGCATGGGGGGAGATGGCATGGTGGTGAGTGAGAGGTGGCAGCAGGCAAGCGCGCCGTGCTGTAGAGGTATGTCCTGATGTGCGGTAGGCCACTGTGCGGGATGCCCCCTCCTTCATCTGATATCTGCAGGTAGAGGGACGCAGCACAGCATCGGGGAAACGAGGAGGGGGCGCAGCACAGGGGGAAAAGGGCGTGCTGGTGAGAGGGAGGCAGCAGGAGGCAGGCAGGCATGTCGAGCTGTGGACTCGGACGGGTTCAGATGCACGAGAGAGTCCAGTGCAGAACTCTCCTCTTGTCCAGTGTAGACTCCTTATTTGATTGGTCATTGGGACATGAGGAGAGGAGGGAGGCAGGAAGGGAGGGGGTCGGGGGAGTTGGATGCGTGCGTGACAGGCAGCACAAATCCCCATATGCATTACACGACAACCACCACTTATAATCACGTTCCCCCAGCAACCACCTACCTTTATAGTCACATCCTCGATCCCATCCGCCACCACCACACGGATGGGCGGCGGGTCGGTGTCAGCATCAGCGAATCGCTCCTGCACGGCGCGTAGAGAGTTCTTGCACAGCTCGAACACCATCTGGTGCAGATGCGTTGGCACGTAGCTGCGGTGCAGTGCGGTGCAATGGGTTGCAGATGGTTGAGAAGGGAGAAGACGGGATGGGAGGGATTGAGGGGATGTCGCTCCTGCACGGCATGCAGGGACTTCTAGCAGAGCTCGAATACCATCTGGTGCAGATGAACCGGCACATAACTGCCGTGCAGTGCGGTGCAAAAGGGTGCAGATGGGTGAGACGGGAGGAGATGGGATGGAGGGGGGAAAGGGGGGGGATTGAGGGGATGTCGCTCCTGCACGTTGTGCAGAGAGTTCCTGCAGAGCTCGAACACCATCTGGTGCAGCAGATACGTTGGCACGTAGCTGCGGTGCGGTGCGGTGAAAGAGGGGTTCAGATGGGTGGGAGAACATAGAGACCAGAATGGCAGAGCGAATATGAGGCCAAGGAGAGGATATTTTGTTGCATAGGGTTTTCTCAGTTTTGGTGGAAGAAGTTTCATCTTTGTGTAGCAGATAATATAGGGTTGCAAGAGAGCTCGTACGTACAGCATTCATGCAAAGGGTTTCAGGTTTAAGGTTTCGGGTTTAGGGTCATGTGAGTGATGTGTGGGCAGGTGGTGCACGCACGCGAATGTGAAGTCGGGGTCCCCGTAAATTTCCACCTCAGGCGCCGAGCCATACGTGCGCATGCATGCCGACCGCGCATCATCCACTGCATTGCGCGCCACATCCACTGGCGATACCTTGGTGCAGATGAGGCTGAAAGTGGCCAGTTGGGGGGAGCGGGGAGGAAATGGATGAGAGCGCGCATCCTCCCTCCACTGCATTGCGCGCCACATCCACTGGCGACACCTTGGTGCAGATGAGCCTGGGCGTGGGGATAACAGGGGGGAAGGGAGGGGGAGGGGGGGTGGAGGAGACAGGAAGTGAGGCTGACAGGGGATGGGGTGAGACCGTGTGTCTTCCACTGCATTGCATTGCATTGCATTGCATTGCATTGCACGCCATGTCTACTGGAGACACCTTGGTGCTGATAATCCTGGGCGCAGCAGCAGGGGGACAGAGGGGGCAAGCAGGGAATGGCATGGTGAGAGTGCGCTGTGCGCTACCCCTTGACTGCATTGCGCGTCACATCCACTGGCGACACCTTGGTGCAGATGAGCCTGGGCGCAGGGACAAGGGGGGGGTGGGGGAGGGGGAGGTGGAGGAGACAGAAAGAGAGGCTGAGAGGGGATGGCGTGAGAGCGTGCCACATCCACTGGCGACACCTTGGTGCAGATGAGCCTGGGCGCAGCAGCGAGCAGGGTGGGAGATGGGGGAAGTGGGGGAGGAGGTGAGGGTGTGAGAATCCGGGGGAAAGGAGAGGGGATGGAAGGAGGGGAAGGTGTAGACAGGCTGTGCAGGGATGGGGTAAGAGTGTGGATCCTGCTGCGCGTTGCATGACACATCCACTGGGAACGCCTTGGTTCAGATGAGGCTAGGAACAACTGAGGGGAGAGTTGAGAGGAGGAGTGAGGAGGTGGAGGGGGAGGGAACTGGGGAAGTGAGAAAGACAGGAAGAGAGGGGAGGAGATGAGAGCATGGATCTGTGCTGAGTTGCATTGCATGCCGCCACATCCACTGGGGGGAACATGAGGCTGGGGGGATGTGTCGTGATGCAAGTCCCGCTGAGCCTCCCTTCTCATTGAAGCCTTCCCCCCCTTTACTCTCCTCCACCCTTCTCACTTTTCTGTCCCCTTTCTTCCAGCAGGTGACCCTCCCTAACCCTTGTTCCTCCTGGCGTATGTGATGAGCTTACTCTCCTTCCCTCCGCGTGTACCAGGCGGCCCCTCAGAGAATGTGGATCAATCGCCCTGCCCAAAGCTGCTCGACGAGTCTCTTCCCCCACTCCCTCTGCTGCAGTGGCTCCTGGAAAGTACCCCATAGCTAGCTCGCGTTCCAAGGCGGTTGGCTCTTCCCACTTCCCTTTACGGTGATCATACACCATCCCTGGGCCGGGGTTCCCGTCCTGCTCAATAAAGCCTCGTGCTTTCGCGTAAGCCACTAACGTCGGCCAGGCTCTTCGCGCTTCCCCTACTCGGTTGCACTGGTACTGCAGGGGGTGATCTGGTTTGACCACTAGCGCAGCTACCCTCCCTGGTTCGAGGATGTCCTCCACAATCCTAGTCCCATCTCTTTCTACTTTTGCCAACCGAGCCCGAAGCTCCCCTTCAGGTAGGACAATTTGCCAGAAGCGCCGCACCCGATGCGTTAGTGCCCCCAGCTGCGCCCCGTCACATCTAACTCCCTTTCCCAATTCTGCTTCCACCAGCTCCCGCACTTCTCGGACCGGCTCCCTAGCGTCACCATTCATATCCACGTGCTCTAGAATGTAAGCGTACTCTCTTCCTACCTCCTTCATCCACCTCATGATTTCCAGTAGCGTGGTCACTAACCCTGTGCGCTCATCTTGCAATCCCTTCCCCTTCCCTGCCCTCGAGGTACCCTGGCACTCCCAGCCGGCCACTAGCAGGTCCACTTTTCCCCAATTCTTTACGTCTTCTTTGGTAATCTGCTTCACATCCCAGTTCTTGTTCTGCATGGCCTCCTTCACCACATCTTTCCTCAGCTGGGCGGGGTACCGCTGCTGCAATACCTGTGCGTGTTTCCAGGCCATCCTCCAGACTGCAGGATCCACCTCCACATAGAACCACCTCTTCACCCTCAGACCGGCCTCTAGTGCTGCTGCTAAACCGGCTCCCAGCCCCCCGAACAGCTCCACCAGTGTGACACTGTACTGGTCTATGCTTGCCCCCGGCTGGATTTCCATGATCTTCCCACCACTTGTACTTCCTCCCCTCCCCATGCCTCCTGCCCTCCAGGCTTTCTTTGGTTCAGTCTTGATGAAACGCACTGGCAGCTCACTCGGCTCCTTTCCTTCCTCCCAGAAATCCGAGCTGTATAGCACTTGCTCCTGCCAGGTGCATATCGTGGTCCCTATCTTGTAGAGCAACTCCATTCCTAGTAAAATGTCGTAGTCGTCTGATTCCGTCAGTCCGCACTGCACCCTTATCGTTGTCTCTCCCTCCCCCCCCCGGCTGCAGCGTGATCTCAATCAGATCCTTAGTGCATGGCATCCACTTGGGAGCCCCTCCCTCTGCGGTCATGATCAGTATTCCCCGTCTCACTGTTTCCCAACCTCCTTGCGCCTTTAGCTGCTCGGTCAGCTTTCTTCCCAGCAACACACTGCGCGCCTGTATCCACCACGGCATTTTTCTACCAGAATCCCTCGTACTGCTACAGACTTCGGTTCCACCACCAGAGCCGTGGGCTGGCAGACCAGTTGCTCTTCAGGGTGTCGCCGAGCTGCCTTCGGCTTGTTAGTCCCCTCAGGTACTTTTGAAGTCCTTCTCATTGGCTGCTTCGGCTCCGCTCTACCGTCCTTCCCTCCACTTCTCAACCCCAAACTTTCTCGGTCCCTGGGTGACATGGCCATTGTCCCATACTCAGCTTCTTCCTCCCCGTAATCTTCCTCCTCCCCGTAATCTTCCTCTTCCTCGTCTTCCCAAGCTAGTAGCGCTTTCTCCGGGTCTTCGCTGATCTCCACCTTACCCATCTGCGCCTTCAGCTTTGCTAACTCCCTCTCCAACTGCTACTGTTCTCTAGCGGATTTTTCTCCCCCCTTCTCCTTCTTGCTGTAGCACCTTTCTTCCGTGTGTCCCCGTTTCCTACAGAAGGTGCAGATCGGCGCCTTGGGACAATTCCGCCTGAAATGCCCTTTCTCTTTGCAGATGTCGCATATGATGTTGATGGCGCAATCCTTTCGCAGATGCCCGTGTTCCCCGCACTTGTGACATCGTCACTTGTCTTCAAATGGTTTTTCTCTCCGTTCTTCTTCCATCCGCTTTCCTTCCACCGCAGCCCACGCCGGCCTCCTGCGTTCGCCTGATCTTCCTGAGCTCGCTCCGCGTAACCCATCGAAGAACCTTCTTCCCTCCTCTACCTCTTTCGCCACCTGATACACTTGTCGCAATTTCGCCTTCATCCCCAGCGCGTACAGTCGGCTCCGCATATCTTGCATCAGGTCTTCATCCAATCCACCCACAAACTTCGACACCAAGGTCCGTTCTTCCAGGCAGCCCATGTCTTCGGCCAGCTCCATCAGTCGATTATAGTACGCTAGCAGAGATTCTCCTCTCGCTCTCTTAAAATCTTGGAACTCTGTCATCCGATCTGCTGAATGTCTCGGGCATTGTTCTCGCAGGCTTTTCAGGAATCGGTCGGTGATTTCCGCCGGCGCGAAGTCTCCCCGCTTACTCTGCAGCAACAACCCTTGTCTCTCCACCCGGTAATGCGTCAACGCTTCCCCCTTGAGCGTTCTCCCCAATCCTCACAAGAATTCAATGGGATCGTGCCCCTCCCTCTCCCAGCAGTATCGGATGTCATCCACCATCATAAGATAATTCTTCAGCGTGGGCTCCTCTCCAGGTGCTCCTGAGAAGCGATCCGGCACTTCAATCTTAGGTGGAGCTGCACTTGTCGTTCTGCCCGTTCCCCAGCTCGCCGTTCCCCTCTCGCCAATCCCCACATGCTGATCTCCTCTACCGGCCTCCCTGGATTCGCGTCTTCCAGCAGAGAATTCGTGAAACGCCTCTCCTTCTCGCTGGCTCCGCTGATCTTCCTGATGGTCTCCCACTCTCGGTTCTGGGGTTCCACGCTGAGATCCTCCAACCCTGGCTGATTGGGATCCCATCCCTGGCGCTGGCGAATTGCAGTTAGAGCCCAGTGGAGGCTCTTCTTGTCGGTCGCCCTCCTTTCCTGGATCCGCGCTGCTATTACCACTAGCGTTCGCTGTTCCTTCTTCTGCTCGGAACCCAGGCGTCTTAGTCGGCAGGGCTTGCCCCTCCATCCTCCGCGCAGGAAATCTGTGACCTGAACGCTGCTGATGAGTATGTAATTCTTGATCAAGGCCGCTCATCCCTTACGGTGCGTCACCGCAGGTCCTCCAGGCGTTCGTACCTGTTCTGCTGAAATTTCAGCACTGCAACTTTTTGCTTGTATGAACAAGTCTAAACCCCCTCGCAAGGGCTCCATCAGATTGCTCCTGCTTCTCCCTACTGCTAGCTTCCTTTGGCTTAGGAAAACAAGATTGCAGTAAAAAGAGAAACATACAAGCAAAAAGCGAGAGACCTGAGTGCTCCCCCCGACTACATTCCCTCCTCCTCCTGCTTAGGTTCCTCCTGCAGCACGCTAACTCTAGTGCCAGGCGTGAGTCAGCTGCACTGCTCGTGATGGCTCCTAGGTGCTAGCTAGCTCCACCGGGCCCACTAGGCATGCACTACAATCCAGCTGGAATCGAGTTCCTAGCCTGGAATCGCATTCCCAGCTGGAATTGCATTCCCAACCTGGAATCGAATTCCCAGCTGGAATCGAATTCCCTCTTCTGTATCAACCTCCTCGAATTTCCCTGCACTCGGCTCTGTAAAGCGTATGTACAGTACATACCACGCACACAAAAGAAATTAGAGTACAAGTCCAGAAATGCACAATTACCTGGCTGCTGTGTAATTCACGCCTGAGCCTGCTGGCTAGGCGTTAATAATGCGACAGATGTGATGGCAACAGGCACTTGCTGCATGCCGGGCTGCACCCACTGGGGTTACTAGTGCATGCGGTCCAGTGCATGCGGTCCAATGCATGCGGTCCAGTGCATGCGGTCCAGTGCATGCGGTCCAGTGCATGCGGTCCAGTGCATGCGGTCCAGTGCATGCGGTCCAGTGCATGCGGTCCAGTGCATGCGGTGGAAGAGAGAGAGAGAGAGCCGCAATGAAGTGGGGGGAGAGAGGCGCACCCAATGAAGTGGGGGGGCGGGTTGGGGTCGTGCAGGGCGACGTGCTGGCCAATGAGCATGCGGATGCCGATGCGTGACATGTAGAATCGGTCCTGATGGGCGGGGTGGCAGGGAGGAGCGGCAGGGGGAGGGGTGTGGGGAAGGGACAGAGAGCAGATTACAGCACTAGCAGCAGCAGAGAGAGTCTTGGCCCAGACATGCTGGCCGATGAGCATGCGGATGCCGATGCGTGACATGTAGAACCGATCGTGGTGGGCGTGGGCCGGGGAAGTAGGGAGGGGGGAGTGGGCAGGGAGAGGGGCGCATGAGACAGAGAGATGAACATGCAGCAATGAGAGACGCGCCCATGCAGCCTTCCCAGTGCTGGCCAATGAGCATGCCGATGCGTGACATGTAGAAGCGGTCCTGGTGGGTAGGGGTAGGGGCAGGGGCGCAGGGACGAGCGTGGGGAGGGGTGTGGGGCGGGGAAGCGGGCCAGGGGGGTAGCAGAGCGCAGCGAAGCACACTTTCCCAGACAGCGGTGACAGTTACACAGCTTAACAGGCACGAGGCACAACTGAATCTCTCCAACAAAGGTTGTGCGATGCAAGTTGGTGACAGCAGAGTGAGTGGGGGAGAGTGAGGGGAGTGAGGGGTGTGAGGGGTGTGAGGGGAAGAGAGTGAGGGGAGTAGGCAGGGAGGGCATTGAGAGGCGGAGAATGAGGGGAGTGAGGGCAGAGGTGGCAATGAGGGAAGGCGAGTGAGGAGAGTGAGGGTCATGAAGGCAGTGCGGGCATTGGTGACAATGGGTGGGCAATGAGAGCAGTGTGGCAGGGGTGGGTAGGCAGTGACGGCAGGGGTGGCAGGCAGGGCAGGGAGGGAGGGAGGCAGGGAGGACAGGGGGGGCCGTACGAGGAACTGGTGGATCTCCAGCAGGTCGTCGAGACGCCCCTTACGCCCCAGGTCCTGCTTCAACTCGTTGATTCCCATCGCCATCTGGTGTGCCATGCCATCACATAGTGTGCGATGATGCGCCATGCCATGCCGAGCCATGCACGTTATGCCATGCCATGCCAAGCCATGACATGCCAAGCCATGCCATGCCAAGCCATGCCATGCAACACACATTACAAGGAGGTGAATGAGGCTCACCTTGTGATGCGTCACAATGCGAGCAAGCTCATCACCACAACACATCAAGCTACCAGGTCACCGAGGGAACGGCCCTGTTGACACATGGCATTCTCGTCGTTACGACCCCCCGAAAGGTGAGTCATGAAAGGTCCTCCTGGAAGCAGCCTCATCAGCAGCTCACATTAGGGGAACAATTGTGCTTTTGAGTCGACCCAGTTGTATTTACATCCAGGGTGGGGATGGCTCACCGTGGGGATGGCTCACCGTGGGGATGGCTCACCGTGGGGATGACGTTGTTGTGTCGCATCTTGACCCGCACCAGCAGCTGCGTGAAGCTCAACTCGCCCTGTCCACAACACAGGGGAATGGCCTTTCCCCTCCAACCCAACCCAACCCAACCCAACACACAGCGACGCACCGTGAGGATGACGTTGTTGTGGCGCATCTTGACCTGCGCCAGGTGCAGCTCGTGCTGTCCTGTCCACAGCTACCCAACCCAGCACCCTCTCACGCACCGTGGGGATGACGTTGTTGTGGCGCATCTTGACCTGCGCCAGCAGGTGCGTGAAGCGCAGCTCCTCCTCGCGGCTCTCAATGGCCGGGAACCCGCGGATGTCCTTGAATGAGTCCACGTACCAGTCGCGCACCTGTCAGGGCACGCACACATGCATGGGGACAGGGTGAATGAGTAAGGGAAGTGGGTAGAGAGGGTCCAAGGGAGTGAGACAGCACCCACGGATGTCCTTGAACGAGTCCACGTACCAGTCGCGCACCTGCACGCACACATGCACGGGGATGAGAAGAATGCGCGAGGACAGAGGGGGAGCAGGGCACGAGGGAGTGAGTGAGAGCAGGAACACGAGGATGCCCTTGAACGAGTTCACGTACCAATCGCGCACCTGCCAGGGCACGCACGCACGCAAGGAACAAGCAGAATCAGTAAGGTAAGGCGGTAATGCGGGCCCAAGGGAGGGAGAAAGGGAGGCCCCGGATATCCTTGAATAAGTCCATGTACCAGGCCCGCACCTGTGAGGGAAAGAGGGGGCAGGGGAATGAGTCAGGTATGGGAGGTCAGAGTGCGAACAGCCATGGCAATGAGAAGGTGAAACCGTGTATGTCCTTGAACGAGTCCACGTACCAGTCCCGTACCTGGGCGGAGAAGAGGGGGAAGCAGCTCACCTTGAGCACGGGCGCACCTTGGACACGGGCGCACTTTGAGCACGGGCGCACCTTGAGCACGGGCGCCTTGGTGGAGAGGCCGTAGGGGAGCTTTTCGAGCTCGGTGCGCGAGGCGCACGGGCAGCATTCACCTTAAGCCCGGGGAGGGGCGACAGAGGGAATTAGCTGACCTTGAACCCAGACGCACCTTGAGCACGGGCGCTTTTGTGGAGAGGCCGTAGGGGAGGTTCTCGAGCTCGGTGACGCGGTGGGCGAGGCGCACGGGCAGCTCCTGCTGCAGGAACTGCGCGGAGGAGAGCAGATTGCGCTCCGTGGGGAAGGCGCCGTGCGCCATCATGTTCTTGAGGCTCACGCCCGTCTGCTTCTTGAACGAGCACCGGTAGATCTGTGGAGGGTGCGGGGAGGAGTATACGCGTGAGGTGCTGCAAAAGAGAGGCTGTGGACTGCGGGGAAGGCGCCGTGTGCCATCATGTTCTTTAAGCCGCCTGTTTCTTGAACGAACACCGGTAGATCTGGCCGCAGGGGTGGAGGAGGGTAAGGTGGGGGGTATACGTGTGAGGTGCCTCGAAAGTGAGGCTGCGGATTGAAAAGAATGCGCCGTGCGGGATCATGAAGCTCACGCCCGTCTGCGCCTTGAACGCGCACCGGTAAATTTGGCGGCGCAGGGAGAGGATGCGGGGAATGGCGATGATGTAGAGGGGGAAGACGGGGAGAAAGGCGCGAGAGTGTGAAGAGAGGAGGGAGAGGAAACGGGAGAGAAGGTGTAGCTTGGAGTATGCGTGAGAAAGCATACGAAATGCGATAGCAGAAGCGAGAGAAACGGAGAGAAGGAGGGCGGGGGAGAGAAAGGGTAGGGGTGTACGGCTTACGTCAGCGACGACATTTGATGGTAACACTTGCGCCAGCTTTCGCGCTGACGTTCGCGCAGTCATGACGGACATCGTCGCGGGAGCAGATGGGTTCTAATGATGAACTACTATCTAAACGTATGCAATGTACTGTACAATGCGCGGCTGAACATTCTGTGTGCGCGGGAAAGCTGGGAAAAAAACAGCGGAAGCGGACTGACTAGCACCAGCAGCCTATCCGTCTATCCTGCGCTCTGTGTTTGGAACGTAGCGGTATCTCCGCCATGGAAAAAATTGTTAAGGACACGAATGTGGGAAGCAGATGTGCTAAACTTGCAAGCAAATAGCGCTCGCACACACGCACGGATGGTCAAGGGAACAGCTATTCTTCGAGAGGGGAAAAGAAGGAAGCGTTCGAGAGATTCAATGGTTTCACAAGCCAAACTGGATGCAAATCAAGCCCGAGGAATGGCTGAAGCGTAGCTATAAGCTAACGAAACCGCTGTGATCATGCAGGATCATGGACAGTCGAATAGGTTATGGCGATCGCTTGCAGCAACTGACGATATGTCCAGGATTCAGGAAAGCCGTGTATGTGGTGAGCGGCGTGACGTGGTGCACGTGGTGAAACAATCAATGAACCGCTCTGAAACGTACAGGAACATGCTAAATCGCCTAAGATGGTACTAATCAAACATCCAAATTATTTTCCGCTCACATTCAGCCACGTGGGCCAAAGGTTCCCAGCCGCCAGGATGCCCAGTGAAAACTCGTGGTGGTGAAGGAAAGGTGGAAAATCGCGACCAGGTGGTACGAGAGAATATGTAACACTCCCTATTGAACAATAGACTCCTCAACCCATGTGGAGTGGCACTAGAAGCAAGGTTGCCAGTATTGTGCATAGACTATTGGTCACACCATCACTTATGGGTACGATCTAATGAGAAAGTGAGTGAAATATTAACAATTCCACTGCAAAAAAATATATTATATTTGTCAGATAGACACTCGTTTTGTGTCACACTACACTACACGATCTATTAATAAAAGTAGCTAAGAGCTGCTTTTAAATGAAGAAAAGAGGCACTAAGAATTTCCCCGAGTGGATCATAAAGGGACTCGCTTCCCTTTGTTGACGTGGCATGTTCAATGGTGTGCTACGCCAGTTGCTGCCAAGGCTTCAGGCAGATTTGGCCTAGCAAACTGGCACAAAGCAGCCCAGGTCATGTTTGTAAACTTCCACAAGCGGACCCTTCGTTCTTGTTTGAAGGTTTGGATCACATCGTGCTCAACTTTGTAGCAGTTTTGACAACTGTCCTTCGAGCGAATTTGCCCTTGGGATTAAGGCTTTGGCGACCCCTTTGCGCCCCGTCAGACATCAAACATTTCTTGCGCAGAGGGAACAGCGCGATTCGAAATTCGTCTGAGGCCGAAAAAATCCCGTTCTTCCCTTGCTGTCCGTACTCCCAAGGTGGAGCCGCTGCGGCGCCATGGGATTCCCGCTCGTTTCATCTGCTCAAGGCAGTCAGCGCACCCACAGCTTATCCCACAGGCCCGTTCGACGATCGCGAAATCCACTTGCTTCCTTGCATCCAGCTATCACTATACAATCTTACTTGACTTCCAACGATAGTCACCAAACCTTCACGCCTAGTGATTCCTCTCCTGTCCTCGAAACACTCTCTATACGCTCAGTTTTCTGCGACACTGACCTGAGCGCTCTCATAGAGTTTCACGTGCAAGCCACCATGAGGAGTCTCAAGTGTCTTTATCTGCTGTTCGCTCTCTCCCTTCTTCTGTCCCTCGTGCTCGCGCCACTGTGCCACGCGAATGGGATCGCGAACGACGCCGAGGACGACGACGATTTTGACGACGATGACGACAACGCCCTTGTCGCATCTTCGCCTGGTAAGATCCCCGCCGTACATTTTGTTCCACTGAACAAACAAGGACATTCCACACGAATTCCACACGTGGGCCACCACCCGCAACCTTGATTACATCATCGGCCCGGTTTTTTTAGATATTATGATTCTTCAATCCACTTCGCCTTTGTTTTATTAATTCCAGGTTTCTTGGGCGCGCTCGTCAGCGGAAGTCGCCGGTTTCTGTGGTCGCCGCAGGTGCACCGCGTGCTAGCGAGCTCGGAGTGCAAGAAGAAGTGCGACAAGAAGAAGAAGAAATGCAAGTCCAAGAACTCCGACTGCAAGTCCGACGCGGACAATAACGAGGACAAGGGCGAGTGCAAAGACAAGTACAAGAAGTGCAAGGACAAGGCCAAGAGGTGCAACGAAAGATGCGACTAGGTCAGGTTTGCCGCAGCAGGGGGGGGTTGCGAGGAGTGGTGCTCGCACTGAGAAAATTGAGATGAGTTGAAACGGTGGTAGGTTGAAAGTTGGAACCTTGCCAACTTTAGTCTCGTCATGTATTTGTTGTTACTAGTTTTATTTCCTTTCAGAAGAGAAGTGTCAGAGTATTATAACTGATGCATGTTTGTAGGCTATAGTGGGGTAGCACATATGGGGTACAGCTTTCTAGGGTTGTATTTGTACCCAACTCTGACTTAGTCATTTCTCATTCCTGTTCTCTTATCTTTCACATGGTATAGAGCGGGTCCTTCCTAAGGACCGTTTTTTTAGGGCCCACCGAAGCGCGCCCCGAGGCGCGCATTTTTTTTCGCGACCCTTCAGGTCGCCATTACTCTCGCGGCCCCGCTGTCCCTCTGACGCGGCCCCGCCACCCCTGCTTGACGCGGCCCCGCCGCCTCCTCTGCAGCGGCTCCGCCGCCTCCTCTGACGCGGCCCCGCCGCCCGCTGATCGCGGCCCCGCCGCTGGCTCTGACGCGGCCCCGCCGCCGGCTCTGACGCGGCCCCGCCGCCCGCTGATCGCGGCCCGCCGCTGGCCCTGACGCGGCCCCGCCGCCGGCTCTTAGCCGGCCTCGCCGCCGGCTCCAACGCGGCCCCGCCGCCCGCCTCGACGAGGCCCCGCCGCCGGCTCTGACGCGGCCCCGCCGCCGCCTCCTCATCGCGGCCCCGCCCCGGCTCTCTCGCGGCCTCGCCGCCGGCCCTGACGCGGCCCCGCCCCGGCTCTCACGCGGCCCCGCCGCCGACTCTCTTGCGGCCCCGCCGCCGGCTCTCTTGCCGCCCCGTCGCGGCCCGGTCGCCTCCTGACGGCCCCGCCGTCCCTTCGTGACGGCCCCGCCGTCCCTTCCTGCCGGCCCCGCCGTCCACTCCTGACGGCCCCGCCGTCCACTCCTGACGGCCCCGCCGTCCCCTCCTGACGGCTCCTGCTGTCCCCTTCTACCGGCCCCGCAACTGCACCTGCTGGCCCCGCCGCTGCACCTACCGGCCCCCACCACCCCCCCCCCCCCCCTTTTCCCGTCGCCCGTCGCGGCTCCTTCGGGGGCCGCAGCAGAGGGGTGGCAGGTGTGTGGCCTCCCCTGCTTCTCCTCCTCCTTCATCTCCCGCTGCAGCAGCCGAGCCGCTCACCTGCAGCAGCCGAGCCGCCCCACCGCCGAGCCGCCCTGCACCCGAGCCGCCCAGCAGCCGAGCCGCCCTGCCGCCGAGCTGCCGGGTCGCTGAGCTGCTGAGCTGCAGTTGCTGCCGAGCCGCCCTGCCGCCGAGCCGCCGAGTCGCCGAGCTGCTGAGCTGCAGTTGCTGCCGGGCCGCCTTGCCGCCGAGCCGCCCGCGTCGCCCGAGCCGCAGAGCCGCCGAGCTGCCGAGCCGCTGAGTCGCCGAGCCTACTCTTCCCACCACTGGTGAGCTCTTGCCCTGCTAGCACACTGCGCGTCGCCTGCTTGCCTGCCTGCCTGCCTTTTGGCTTACCTGGCTGCCTGCCTTCCTGCTGCTAGTCCTGCTCCTGCTTCTACTTGCGGAGCCAGATGCAGCCCCAGCGACGCCTGCGTGAGTCCCTCACGCCCCAGCAGCTGCGTGAGTGGTACGCTGGTTGGGGCTGTAGGGGTGGCGGCACTACTCCTACTACCACTCCTGCTGCTTCTACTCGTGGTGGCGGCCAGATGCAGCTCCCGCGACCCTCTCGCGTGTCTCTCACGCCTCGCCAGCTTCGTGAGTGGTACGCTCAGAGTGGAGGGTCTCTCAGTGCTGTTCGCTGCTCTTACGTGATTCGCACTGGTACTCGGACTGGTCAGCCTTGTGGGACACCTAGTCATACACAGTCCCGCTGCTTCGCCCGTCTGAGCGACGCCTGGCGTACCGTGTTTGGCGACGAGGCTGAGCTTCCCGACTGGGTGGAGTTGCTTAGGCAGAGGGTAGATATATTTGCTCTTGACTATGATGCTATTCTCACTGCCATGTATGCATTGCCTACTAGTGCTGACCGTGCCGGTCACCTGTGCGTCCCGCCTGACCCAGGTATAGGACCTGTTGCTCTAGCTACTGGTGAGGCTGCTGCTCTGGGTGCTAGTGAGTCTCCTGCTCCAGGTACAGGTGCGGCTGCTGCTCTAGGTGCTAGTGAGTCTGCTTCCTCAGGTGCGGGTGAGGCTGCGCTCTCAGGTACCGCGTTGGCTTCGGCCTCCCTCACCTTTACACTTGACTCTGGGGCTTCTCGCTCCTTCTTTCGGGACCGCACCACACTCACGCCGCTTGGTCGGCCGGTTGCAGTCTCCCTGGCTGACCCCTCTGGGGGTCCTGTCCTCGCTCACTTTTCCACTGTCCTCCCGTGTCCGGCTGCCCCCTCGGGCACCCTGTCTGGCCTGTACCTCCCCTCGTTCTCGACGAACTTGGTGAGTGGTGCAGACCTACGGGATGCGGGGGTTCACCAGTTCACTCCTGCGAGTCAGCGGGTGACCCACTGCACGGACGCACGCACAGGTCGGCACCTGGCCACGTTCTCGCGTCGGCCGGGGTCGAGCCTCTACACCCTGACCACTGAGTCTCCTCCTGTCCCCGCGTCCGGTCAGGTAGCAGCGTCGGGTCAGGTGTTTGCTGCTGCGTCCAGGTCTGGTCCTGAGTCTGCCCCCTGTTCGTGTCGCCTCCTGTCTCACGAGACTCTCCTGTGGCACCACCGTCTAGGCCACCCCTCCTTGCCCCGTCTTCGGGGCATGGCTTCCCGTGTCCTTGTCTCTGGTCTTCCCCAGTCTCTCCCTCCCCTTCCTTCGGGACCAGGACCTTCCTGTGTCCCCTGTGTCGAGGGGCGCCTCAGGGCTGCTCCTCACTCCTCCTAGTTTCCCCCGACAGAGGCTCCTCTGCAGACGCTTCACATGGACGTGTGGGGCCCGGTCCCCGTCCGTGGGCAGGGTCACGAGCGCTACTTCCTGTTGGTGGTTGACGACTACTCACGTTACACCTCAGTCTTCCCCTTGCGCAGCAAGGGTGCTGTCACTGAGGTGCTGATCGCCTGGATCCGCGAGGCTCGTCTCCAGCTCAGGAGGAGCTTCGGCTCGGACTTTCCTGTTCTGCGTCTGCACTCTGACCGAGGTGGGGAGTTCTCCTCTCGCCTTCTGCGAGACTACTGTCGTGCACAGGGGATCCGCCAGACCTTTACGCTTCCGGACTCTCCACAGCAAAATGGGATTGCTGAGCGCCGCATTGGCATGGTCATGGATGTCGCTCGTACGTCCATGATGCATGCGGCTGCCCCCCATTTTCTGTGGCCGTTTGCGGTTCGATACGCGGCGCATCAGCTCAACCTTCACCCCAGGGTCTCTCGGCCCGCGATGTCCCCAGTGTTACTGTGGACGGGGAAGGTCGGCGATGCGTCTGCGTTCCGTGTCTGGGGATCTCGGGCGTTTGTCCGCGACTTGTCTGCGGACAAGCTGTCCCCCCGTGCTGCTCCCTGTGTCTTCCTTGGCTTCCCCCCTGACGCTCCAGGGTGGCAGTTCTACCACCCCTCCTCTCGTCGTGTTCTGTCCTCCCAGGACGTCACGTTCAACGAGTCAGTCCCCTTCTACCGCCTCTTCCCCTACCGTACTCCTTCCCTCCCCCCCCCCCCGGACTTCCGGGTACCAGTTCCCCCCCCGGTAGACCCCCTCCCCCCTCAGGTTCCTGCCCCTTCAGGTGTGTCCCAGGTAGACACAGTCGAGCCAGTCGAGGTTGCTGCTGAGTCTGGTCCTGCTGCGGGTGCTGAGCCTGGGGGTGCTGCTGCTGGGGGTGCTGAGCTTGGGGGTGCGAGGCCGGGGGGTGCTGAGTCTGGGGGTGCTGGGCCTGGAGGTCCGGAGCCTGCGCCTGCTGGACCTGGGGGCTCTCCGGTTCTTCCGTCTCGGCGGGAGCCGCTCTCTCCACAGGAGCTGCGCGAGTGGTTTGCTCGCCGCTGGAGGCGTGCTGCTGGAGCTGGAGCTTCTTCGCCTGCTGAGGGTGCTGGTGCTGCCGGTCCCGAAGCTGCTGGGCCTGCGGGTCCTACTGGAGCTGGAGCTACTGAGCCTGGGGGTGCTGAGTCTGGAGCTGCTGAGCCTGGAGGTGCTGAGTCTGGAGCTGCTGAGCCTGGGGGTGCTACGTCTGGAGCTGCTGTGCCTGGGGGTGCTGAGTCTGGAGCTGCTGAGCCTGGGGTTTCTCCTGCTGCTGCGTCTCCCCGGGAGCCCCTCTCTCCATAGGAGCTGCGCGAGTGGTTTGCTCGCCGCTGGAGGCGTGCTGCTGGAGCTGGAGCTTCGTCGACCGTCGAGGGTGCTGGTGCTGCCGGTCCCGGAGCTGCTGGGCCTGCGGGTCCTACTGGAGCTGGAGCTGCTGAGGGTGTTGGTGCTGAGACTACAGCTGTCTGTCCTGGCGGTGGTTCTACTGCTGGTGCTGCTGGAGGTCCTGCCGCTGGAGGTGTTGGTGGCGCTGGTGCTGTCGCTAAGGGTGCTGGTGCTGTCCCTGCTGAGTCTGGAGCTGCCGCGCGGCCTCGGCCGTACTTCGTTCCGCTCCTACAGCAGGTTCTTGGTCTTTCTCCTTCGGTAGAGTGTCCACAGCCTGTCCAGTCGCAGTCACTGTTGGAGCCTTCCTCTCCTCTGCCTGCTCCCTCCCCTTACACAGGTCCTACTGGAGGTCTTGCTGAGCGTCGTGAGCCTGCGTCTCGTCCCACGTCGCCGGTTCGTGCTGCTCGCGCTAGTGGTCGCGGTTCGCGTCAGCGTCCTCCTCCTGTCCCTGGCACGCACCGGATGTCTCTGCGTCCGTCCACTGCTCCTCTGCGTGCCCCTTTGCCTTCTCCTCCTGAATCCTCTCTTCCTGCGCTTGCCGACCCTGAGTCGGAATCTCTTCGTGCTGCCAGTCCTACTGTCACGCGTCTGCTTGCTACTGTCGTCACTGACCCCTCTTTTGAGTCCACTGCTGCGTCTGCTCTTGTCGCTGAGCTCGTCGACTTTGCTGCTCGCTGTCGTCTAGACTACGCTGCTAGTCTTGTTGCTGAGTCTGCGTCTGTCTGTCCTCCGTCCGTCGGGGGTGAGTGTGCTCTTGTCACGGACGTCCTAGAGGACAGGCAGGAGGAGTTACAGTGTCTGGCTGCTGCTTCACCTCATCTCGCGTCTGTACTGCTTGCTCCTAAGGGAGACCCGGATGCACTAGACATCCCGACTCCGCGCTCTTACGCGGAGGCCGTAGAGGGTCCCTACTCCTCTCAGTGGCAGGCAGCTATGGATGCAGAGATGGCTTCCTGGAAGTCCACAGGCACCTACGTTGACGCAGTTCCCCCTCCTGGGGCGAACATCGTCAGTGGCATGTGGATCTTCAGGGTGAAGCGGGCGCCGGGCTCTCCACCTGTCTTCAAGGCGCGGTACGTTGCTCGTGGCTTCAGTCAGCGGCAGGGAGTTGACTACTTTCATACCTTCTCTCCCACCCCGAAGATGACCACTCTTTGGGTGCTGCTGCACATAGCCGCTCAGCGCGACTACGAGCTTCACTCTCTCGACTTCAGCACTGCGTTCTCGCAGGGTAGCCTGCACGAGGAGATCTGGCTGCGCCGTCCGCCTGGCTTCACTGGGACTTTCCCTCCTGGCACCCAGTGGAGCCTCCGACGGCCAGTCTACGGTCTCCGCCAGGCACCGCGTGAGTGGCACGACACACTGAGGACTACGCTTGCGGCTCTTGGGTTTGCTCCCTCTACTGCTGACCCGTCGCTGTTTCTGCGCACCGACACTTCACTGCCGCCGTTCTACATCCTCGTGTACGTCGACGACTTGGTCTTTGCCACAGCGGACACTGCTGGACTCGCCTACGTGAAGTTCGAGCTGCTGAAGAGACACACGTGCACAGACCTGGGTGAACTGCGCAGCTACCTTGGCTTGCAGATCACTCGGGACAGAGCACGCCGCACCATTACCTTGACTCAGTCACACATGGTGCAGCAGGTCCTTCAGCGCTTCGGCTTCACGTACTCCTCGCCTCAGGCCACTCCTCTGCCTACTCGCCACTCACTCTCAGCTCTGCCTTCGGATGAGTCCGTAGAGTCGAGTGGTCCGTATGCAGAGCTTGTTGGCTGCCTCATGTACCTGATGACCTGCACACGACCTGACCTTGCATACCCTCTGAGCATTCTTGCACGCTATGTTGCTCATGGGAGACACCGACCAGAGCACATGGCAGCAGCGAAGACGGTATTGCGCTACCTGTGCAGTACGTCGGGCATGGGGCTAGTGCTTGGAGGGCGGAGTCCAGTGGTCCTTACAGGCCACGCGGACGCTTCTTGGGCTGACGACCAGGCTACGCAGCGGTCGTCACAGGGTTACACCTTCAGCCTTGGTTCCGGCTCTGTCTCGTGGCGGTCTACTCGCTCGTCTTCAGTTCTCGGCTCCAGTTGTGAGGCTGAGATCTACGCCGGGGCCATGGCTGCACAGGAGCTTCGCTGGCTCACCTACCTGCTGACTGACCTTGGAGAGCGGCCTCGTTCTCCTCCAGTGCTGTACGTAGACAACAAGGCCATGCTGGCCTTGTGTCGAGAGCAGCGCTTGGAGCACAGAACGAAGCACATTGCTCTCCGCTACTTCCTTGCTCGTGAGTTGCAGCAGCGTGGTCAGTTGCGACTTGCGTACGTGGCCTCTGAGGCCAACACTGCTGATGTGTTCACCAAGGCACTCGCGCCTTGTGACCATCAGCGCTTTTGCACCCAGCTAGGTCTTGTGCCTGTCTTGCCTCACTTGCTCTCCTCTTGACTTCACTTGTACTGTGACATATATATATACCTGCTCTTGCTTGTCTAGTTTTATATATATGTCTGTCCTCCTGCATGTGAACTGGCCTCTGGCCCTGCTCTTGTGCTCGGACTGTGTGGTGACTTTGTGATCCACCCTGAGCTTGCTTTGCTTTGCTTTGCTTGACTGGTCTTGTGACCCCTTGTTCTCCCCCACTTTGCCTATGGGGGTGTGTCAGAGTATTATAACTGAAGCATGTTTGTAGGCTATAGTGGGGTAGCACATATGGGGTACAGCTTTCTAGGGTTGTATTTGTACCCAACTCTGACTTAGTCATTTCTCATTCCTGTTCTCTTATCTTTCACAAGAAGAGCCGGATCTGTTCAGTGATTCTCGCACGGAACGATGCGCAATGGATACTGGGAATTAACAGTTGCCCACAAACCCACACCTTCGCAGGGAATACAAAAAGCAAGCTGGCAGGTTGGAGCTGGTGATGTAGTTTCAGCATACCATGATAATGGCTTTGTGATGTTACGAGACTTGAAAATACGTGCAAGAACGAGGTAAGCTATGAAGAACTGGATGAGATACTGTGATAGGAAAGTGTCTGACTCTGGTTTGTGTTTTTCCGAATAGTCATTGACTTTCCAGCCTCTTGTATGCCTCAAGGTTTGTTTTCTTTTCTAATTCTGTAGCACTCTGCTGCGTCAGACATGCGTGCTCATGTAACAGCAACTGCAGATGCTGCTATTGTTTTGACAGTGTTACTAGTTGTAACTGCAGCAAAGGGCTCTACTGCACTGCAATCTGTCACAGCATCTCCAGACAAAGCAGCTATTGCGTCACCAGCAACAGAGATTGCCGCTTTTCACAGCAGCAAGTTACCATGGCCTGCTGCTCTAGCATTAGCAACATCAATACCGCTAGCTCGTCACAACATTATAAAACTTGGTGGCTTGTGTCGTGGCAGCGAGATTCAGCATTGCCGAAACAGCAGCAATTGATACAGGAGGACCAGACACCACTTGATATTGATACAGCAGTGCCAGACACTGCAGCTATTGTCATGGAAGTTAGAACAAGTACTACACCACTACAGCTGCTATCATGACGACGGCAAGTAAAACTCTCCAACAAAAGCACTTTAAACAGCATCAAATTCTGCCTTCGTATCTTACCGGATTTTAGCCTTCGCCTTGTATATTCACTTTGTCATGAGCTAGTCCATTGGTTATGATGTGAATGCCATGTATGAAATATTACTCGAAAATAGGATGGATATCCTTGCACACTGACGCTTGCGTGTACACTTTGCTAAAATCGAACTTTGGGCGGGGGTTTTGCCCCAACCAAAGGTCTGGGGCGTGGAAATCGTACGCGCTAAAGTACAGATGCGGAAAATGGTCAAACCCGTACATATCCCACTCAACACAAATTTCAGCAACGAACTCTCCTCTCCTCTTCACTCAAATCAATCCACTCCCGACATTCTCGCATCCGCAAAACTACCCCAGAACCTCATTCCCTACTATTTCCAGCCGCGATGTTTGGCATTATCACGCGCCGCTATGACTGATCATTCCATCGGTCCTAGCAAAGTTCGCGGTGGACACCAACCACCCAATTAAAGTAAACGTGGTTCTGTAGCAGGTGGTGTTTGAGAATTTGCAAGAACCTTCCGCGACGCCATGAACCATCAGATCCCTCCCTCGGGGCCAGCGGAGCTCGCGGTGGACCCCGAATACCTCCTTAAGGTGAACGCTTTCATTCGCCAGCGCCGCCTCGAGCTTCTCGGCCCCGACAACATCGCGCCCGTCTCCGCCGTGCAGGTCGCTCCGCCGCGCCACCCCCCTATCCAACCGCACCAGCACCCTATCCAACCGCACCAAACCCCTATCCAACCGCAAATAGAACCCCAACACACTGCGCTGGTTGGCCCCGCCAGCATCGCGCCCGTCTCCGGCGCGCAGGTAGCTCCGCCGCCCCATCCAAACCCTGCCGCTTTAGCCGCCAGCGATCCATCTGCTCCGCGATTCGCTCAGCCCGCTACAGTCGGCTTCGGGAATGCCGCGGCTGATGGCGCGTTGTCCGCCGTTGGATCGTCAACGAGGCCGGCGATCAACGGTGCGCCGGCGGATGGGCTAGAAGATGGCAATATGAGGGCCAACGGCGGGACGAGCCTCCCTGCTGCTGCAGCAGTACCGTCAGTGACGACTGCTGCAGTACCGGCAGCCACAGCCCCTTCAGTGGCAGCTGCTGCAGTACCCACACACACAGCCCCTTCAGCTGCTGCTGCTGCTGCTGCTGCTGTTGTTCCTGCTGCCGCAGCGGTTGCGGCTGCAGCTGCTGTTACATCGAGCGTTGCTTCTCAACCCGTCATCAATGCTGCTGCCACTCCTCCGACTCCCATTGCACCGCCTCCGACCCATCCCTCCGCGAGTGCTCACTCCGCTGCCACGTCAGCAACGACTGCTGCTCCCGTCGTGACAGCTGTCCCTACTGCCGGCGCGGACGCAGCAGCTGCGGGATCGTCTGTTGCCACGGAACCCACTTCTGCTCCGGATCTCAATGCTGCTGCTACCGCCGTCCGTGTCCCTGCGCCGTCCCTGCATGCTACTGCTGGCGTTGCTGCTGCGCCTGGCGCTGCTGTTGCGCCTAGCGCTGTTGCTGCGCCTGGCGCTGCTGTTGCGCCTAGCGCTGCTGCTGCGCGCGCCACAGCGAGTCCTGAGGCGGGGCAACCCGCTCATGCTGGCGCAGCGATGGCTGGCGCGCTGCTGCAGCAGCAGCAGGGGCGACAGGCGGAGGGAGACGCTGGCGCGCGCAGGCAGGGGAGCGCGCATGGAGGCCCGCAGGGCGATAGAAAGGCGGGTGCTTCTAACGGGAGTGTCTCTAAAGGGGGAGGTGAGGGGGGAGAGGGTGAGGAGGATGAGGGGAGTGGTGATGGGGATGGCGGGGGAAGGCGAGGAGGTGGGCGGAGGGGTGGGGGAGGGAGCGGGGGAGGAAGAGGGGGCGGAGGTAACAGAAGGGGAGGGGGAGGGGGAGGGGGAGGGGCGGGGGGTTCTTCGTCTGGGGGAGGGCGGGGAGGGGGAAGCAGGGGGTACGGGGGAAGGGGAGGAGGGGGTGGAGGAGGCGGAAGGGGAGGCGGGTGGAGGGGGGGAGGGGGGAGAAGGGGGGGAGGGAGTAGGTCGGCGGATGGGGGAACGGCCCCTGGGGCGTCGGGGGAAGAGGCGGAGGGGTGGGAAGAGTATGCGGGGGACGGGGAGGAGGATGGAGGGGAGTGGATGGCTGGGGAGGAGGTTGTGGGGGAGGGGGAAGGAGACGGGGAGGGGGAAGGGGAGGAGGAGCAGAGGGGTGGGGGCATTGATGAGCGGGAGGAGGAGGGGGGGGAGGAAGAGGAGAGAGGGAGAGAGGAGAGGGGGCATGAGCAGGCGAATACTGAGAGAATGACTTTGGGAAACGGTTTAGGGGACGGGAGAGGGGGTTTAGAAGGGGGAGAGGGGGGAGAAGGGGGAGAAGGGGGAGACGGGGGAGAAGGGGGAGAAGGGGAGACGGGGGAGAAGGGGGAGAAGGGGGAGAAGGGGGAGACGGGGGAGAAGGGGGAGACGGGGGAGAGCGGGGAGAGGGGCAAGAGTTGCGAGAGGGGGTGGTAAAGAGGGAGGAAGCGGCGGAGCAAGGGCAGGTGATGGAGGAGGGGAGGGGAGGCGGGGACGTGGAAGAGGAGGGGGAGAGGCTAGGAGATGAGAGGGTGGCAGACGGAGCATTGGAAGGGACCGAGATTGCAGGAGAGGGAGGTTCAGGCGGAGGTGAAGCAGGAGAGTGTGCTGCAGATGAAGCGAGCGCGGATGGGGAGTGTGGCGCGAAGGAGGAGAATTCTGGGCCGACTCAAGAGTCGCCTGGTGCTGCGTGTACGGATGGGGGGTGTGGGAGTGGGACGGAGGAGGAGAAGGGCGAGGGGGTGGAGCGTGAGGAGGGGGAGGAAAGAGGCGGTGGAGAGGAGATAGCAGCCGAGGCGGGGAGTGGGGAGAAGGAGAGGGAGAACGTGGAGGAGAGAGAAGGAGAGGAGCGGGGAAGAGAAGTGAGTGAAAATTTGGAGAGGGGTGTCGAAAGGGAGAGGGAGGAGGAAGGGGAACGGCAGCAGGAAGGAGAAAAGGAGCAGGAAGGAGTGCCGGAAAAGGAACAGCAAGGGGAGGGGGAAGGGGAGAATGGAGAGGAGCAGGAGAGGGTGGAGGATGATAGGCAGGATGTGAGTGGGTCAGGAAAACCACCAGTTGAAACGAGTCGATTGACAGATGCTGCCTCGTGCTCTCCCTCTGCTCCTTCTCTCCCGGAGACCGCGGCAGATGCCTCTCCGACTCCTGCTGTTGCCTCCGCTCCTGTGGCTATAGCTGCTGGGAGTGCTGCGGCGATTCCCGCAGCGAGTGCGGATACAGAGGGGATTCGTGGCATTGCAGATGGGTACGGTGCAGTGGGTGGCGGCAGGGAGTGCACCCCGCTGGTGGCAGAGGCAAGTGAGGAGCAGCAATCTCACACATTGCCAGCGAACACGCTGCACACACAGTCACAGACAGAGACATGCGAGCAAGCGGCAGGCTGCCTTGTCCCCACCGCCCCAGAGTCGCCTTCCCTCCTCCCAGCCTCACCAGCAGCTGCTGCCGCCTCTCCTCTCCCTACTACAGCCTCTCTCTCCTCAGCCACCCCTCCCTCCGCCACACCTCCTCACCCCTCTTCTTCTCCTCTCCCCGCTTTTCCATACTCCCTTGCTCCTGCAACCCTCCCCTCTGAGAATTCCTCTCCCCAGCCAACCCCCGCCCCTTCAGAGGCGTCCCCCCAGCCAGTCCTTTCCCCCGCTGCAAGCACAGCACCTGGCACCCCAGCCGCCCCTGCACTGCCAGAATCATCATCATCAGCAGCAACAGCTGATTCCCCCCATGGGGTTCCAGACGCAGAGAAGGGCATTCTTGGCAAAGGCTACGGACCCCCTCTCACCCTGCCCATGCCCATACCTCTGCCCATGCCTATGCCTCTGCCTGTGCCTCTGCCCGTTCCCCCTGGTGTTAGCGCCATGCAGTGCGCGCCTGGGGGCTGGGCTGGTGTTGCTGCTGATGCTGCATGGCATGCCATGCCTGCTGGCATGCCCGCGCACGGAGGGGGTCCAATGGCCGTGCCGGGAGGGGTGCCCATGCCTATGCCTCCTGTGCATGGGGAAATGTACATGCCCATGCATGCCGCTTGTGCTGCAGGCGTGGGCGCAGGCATGGGCGCAGGCATGGGAACAGGTATGGAGATGGGTATTGGGATTGGTAGGGAACCGTGCATGGGTATGGGCATGGGCACAGACATTGGGTCAGGTATGGGTATGGAAGCAGGGTCGTCTGGTTGGGGCAGGGATGTGAGGGCATGGCAGGGGCAGGGGGCAATGGAGGCCACTGGCTATGTAGCTGAGAAGGAGTGGGGGATGAGTGGAGAGGCGGGCAGAGCGGAGAGTGTGGGTATGGGGAAGGGAGGGGAGGAGGAAGGAGATGGATGGGTGGGGTCGACGATGGTGGGTGCTGAGGGTGGGACAGGTTGTGGTGTGGTTGGGAAAGGAGGCAGAGGAGGAGGAGGCGGAGGAGGTGGGGGAGTAGGAGCAGAGGGAGGAGGTAACAGTGGTAAGAGAGGAGGGAGAGGATCAGGAGGAGCAGGGTCAGCCACGTGTGCAGCACCTGTCCACGTGTACTCCTTTGAGCAGCTCAAGCAGATTGGGCTGCAATCCGTCCAGTACCAGCGTGACACGTGGCGCACCATGAATGGCAGCACGCAGCTGGCTGTGGAGGAGCTCATGAGGGACGTGGCAAGAGGGGGGGGAGGGGGAGGGGGCGGGGGAGGCGCAGGGGGAGGCGGAGGTGGGGGAGGGGGAGGGGCGGGGGAGAAGGGGTCAAGGCGTAAGGGGCGGAAGAATGCAGGGGGGCAGGAGCAGAGCGGGAGAGGAGGGAGGGGGCGGGGGAACGCGCATGGGGAGAGCAGCAGCAGCAGCAACAACAGCAACAGTAACGGCGGCAGTGGTGGTGGAGGTGGTATCTGGGGCAGTCCGAGTGGGCGTGGGGGAAGTGAGGCGATGCCAAGTACTGAGACGCACACGGCAGGCTGGGCAGCTGAGGCCAGAGGGTATGCTGCTGCTGCTGCTGCTGCTGCCGCTTCTGACGCTGCTGCCACTGTTGCAGGTGCTGCCTCTCCTGCTGCTGGCGCTTCTGTCACCAGTACTGCTGCTGTTGCAATTGCAGCCACTGCTGCTACCAGCAGCGGGGAGGGTGGTGGTGGTGCCACAATGGTGACTGGTGCAACAGAAGAGGCTTCCATTATTGGAAACGCTGACCATGCATGCCTTTCCAGGACCACAGATGATGCTACTGGCACCCCTGCCACCACAACAGCTGCTGCTGCCGCACAACCAAGGGGAGAAGAGGTGGGGGAGGCAGGGCAAGCAGGTGATGGTGAGATAGGCAAGGCTGGGCCGACACAGAAGATGGATGAAGAAGCCTTGAGCAACACAGCCGATGCCAATGCTGCTGCTGCTGCTGCTGCTGCCACTGCTGTGGGTGTTGCTTCTGCTGTTACTGCTTCTGCTGGCGTTACTGCTGGTGGCAGGTGGGATGGTCTGAATGTGTGTGGAACGACCGAGTCACAGTGCCGACCACGCCTAGAGGAGGAGCGGTGGGGGGGACAGTGGGGCAAGCAGCAGCGGGGAAAGCAGGAAGCGCGGCAGCAGGAGGAGGAATGGGAGGAGGAGGAAGAAGAGGAGGAGGAGGAGGTGCAGGCGAGGGCTCTGCCGGTGTATGGCGAACCGGACTTCTCCATTCCTCATCCCCTGGACGGGTTGGAGTACCTCCGGCGTGTCAGGTGAGGAGGGGGGGATGTACGTACTGACGAAGAGGTATGAAGAGTGAGTAGAGTGGAGTGGACAGAGGAGGTGCAGGCGAGGGCTCTGCCGGTGTATGGCGAGCCGGACTTCTCCATTCCACACCTCCTGGACGGGTTGGAGTACCTGCGGCGTGTCAGGTGAGGCTAGTGTTGGTAGTGCTGGCTGGCAAGCTGGTTCGTTTTGACACGTCTCAACTCAAAACAGACTTCTCCATTCCACACCCCCGGGATGACCTCGAGTACCTGCGCCGCGTCAGGTGAGGGGTGCTAGCAGGAGGGAGGGATTTCATGATCGTATAGCACAAGCCCTTTAAAGGTGGATGTTTTCAACAATCCCTGTTTCCAAGTCCAGGGTAGGAGAGTCTAACTTGTGCCACCACTCAGAACAGGAAATTATACTCCATTTCCCTCGTTCCTCCATTTGTTTTCTCAACTCCCGTCACTCCAAATCCCCTCAAATCCCGTCACTTCACGCGTTTCCTTTCCTCGCCTCCTCCCGCCTCCCATGCCTCTCTGGTCCGCCCTGTGCAGGTGGGAGCGGGAGCGACTTTTGAGGCGACTCCAAAGTCAACTCTTTCCTCGCCTCCTCTCGAATCCCTTCCCCTCTTCTCTGGTCCGCCCTGTGCAGGTGGGAGCGGGAGCGTGTGCCCAAGGTGGTCGTCGCAGCAGCCAATGAGAAGCCACCACCTGGCGGCAATCCCACTAGCAGCACTGACGACAGCAGAAGCAGCAGCAGCAGCGGTGCCCCAGTGGCCCTGTCTGCCCGCTACCTGCCGCGAGTGGCTGCTGTGCCTGCCTGCCCCGCCCTGCTGCTGCCCTCCCCTGAGTGGCGGCAGTACGTGCAAGCCGCCTTTGGATACCTGAGACAGGTGGGTGCTGTTCTGCTCTGCTGCGTGGGTTATGTGTTTTTACTTTCTGTGCTGCGTCAGGTGAGTGTTGCATGTGCCTGCCTGTCCCCGCCCTGTTGCTGCCGTCCCATGAGTGGCGGCAGCACATGCAAGCTGCATTCGGGTACCTGCTGCGCCAGGTGGGTGCTGTTTCCTGGGGGGATTCTTGCTGTGCTTTGCTGTGCTGTGCTGTGCTGTGCTGTGCTGTGCTGTGCTGTGCTGTGCTGTGCTATGCGGTGCTGTGCGGTGCGGTGCTGTGCTAAACTGTGCCTGCCTGCCCCGCCCTGCTGCTGCCTTCCCATGAGTGGCGGCAGTACGTGCAAGCTGCCTTTGGATACCTGCGCCAGGTGGGTGCCTTTCTGCTGCGCCAGCTAGATGTTTCCCTGCCGCCCGAGGTGGGTGCTGCTGTGCATGGCATGGTGCCAGGTGGGTGGGTGCTGTTGTGCATGGCATGGTGCCAGGTGGGTGGGTGCTGTTGTGCATGGCATGGCGCCATGTGGGTGCTGCTGTGCATGGCATGGTGCCATGTGGGTGCTGCTGTACTGTAAGGCGCCGCACAGGTGGGGGGTGGGGCTTACCGGTGGCTGATTGCCTTCGTGATTAACGGAGGGGGTACGAGGACATCCTGTGAGGGGTGAGATTAATACGGTTCTCATTAACCAAACTCTCTGCTGCCCGACTCTACACCACACCACCCCACTCAATCCCCCTCTTACCACTCTGTCCCACTCTACCCCACTTCTTCCCATCATCCCCACCATTCTTGCAGAGCCTTGAAGGCGTTGACGAATCACGAGTCGCCACGTGTCACGGCATGCCCATCCCATCCCACCGCGACCTGCACGCGTGGCACTCCTACTGCTTCGGCCGTGCACTGCCTTGTGAAAAAGGGGAGGGGGGCGAAGGGGCAGTGCGGGGAGGGGGTGTCAAACTGAAGGCGAAGAGGAGATCGGGAAGGAAGGCGGGTGGTAAGGGTGAGGGAGAGGATTGCAGAGAGGTGAACCAAGGGGAGGGAAGCGAGAGAGGAGAGAGTGAGGGTGGAGAGAGTGACGAGGAGGGAAGCAGAGAAGGGGAAGGGGATGTGGATGGGGATGATGAGGAGAAGGATTTGATTGGAGAGGAGGAGGGGGGTGCGTGGGAGGAGGACGTGGATGGGGAGAGAGGGGGGGATGAGGGAGTGGAGGAGGTTGGGGGTGGAGGAAGGGAGGAGGAGGTGGGTGGTGAAAGAGGAGAGGATGAAGCGAAGGGTGAAAAGGGAGAGGAAGAAAAGGAGGATGGTGGGGAGGGGAAGACGAAGGAGGGGGGTGAGGTTTGTTGTGGTTCGGAAGCAGAGGGTGGAGGGATGGAGGATGGAGGGAAGAGGGAGATCGAGTGTGTGGAGAAAGATTTAGGAGGAGAGGAGAGAGGTGAGGGAGGGGAGGCATGTGAAGCAGGAGCTTATGGGAAGGTGGAAGGCGGGAGTTTGAGAGAGGAGGCGGAAGGTGATGCCAGTGCGAGCGTGCATGACATGGTATGTGACACTGCACATGACACTTCACATGACACTGCACATGATACTGCACATGACACTTCACTTGACACTGCATGTGACACTGCATCGGGTGTGAGTGAGAGCGAACAGGTAAAGCAGCAGCAAGGAGAGGGACGAGGGGAAGGAGAGGCGCCCAGGGGCCTGGCGCTGCTGCTGCCGTGTGTGACTGCACAAGCGCAGAGCAAGGCACCCTCAGAAGGAATCTCAAGAGGGCTCACAGAAGGGCTGCTGGAAAAGCTGTCAGATCAGCTGCCGGAGGGGCTTTCGGTAAAGGGGCTTTCTGTGACGGACCCTCAAGGCGTTGCAGAGAGGGTGGTTGCACAAGGGGAGACGGCAGGTGATGGTGTGGCAGGGGATGATGTGGCAGGGGATGGTGTGGCAGGGGATGGTGTGGCAGGGGATGTGATGGAAAGGGGCGATGGAGGTGTGGGTTGTGATGGATTGGAGGCAAATACGGAGCTCGGTGCTACAGATGTTGTTGCTACAGATGTTGTTGCTACAGATGTTGTTGCTACAGATGTTGTTGCTACAGATGTTGGTGCCATGGATGCTGCTGCTACACCAACAGCAACTGCTGAGGATAACAGTTTGACTGATGGCGGTTATGATGTAGATGCTGATTTGGATGCCAACGCTGATGTGGACACGGAAGATGATGCTGAGGTGGACGCTGACGTGGAAGCAGCACTGGATGAGATGATCAACTACTCGGGACCCCTGCCTCTGTGGGTGCCAGATAATGACGAAAGCAGCAACCCTGGTCTTGATCCATTTGAAGACTATACTGAGCAACCATCCATGCCCGTGCCATGGCCGTCAGATGCTGACGTGGCAGCCATGGAGTGCGTGCTCCCGGGCCGGGCCAATCAGCTCGCTCCGTTGCTCGGCACAGTGCTGCACTGTGACGCGGTTGGTCGCGCCGCGCTCCTCCGCGCCCATGTGGACTGGGCCATCGGCCAATCAGCAGTCGACACGTGGCGCGGCATGTGGCTGGTGGCGTGGGCGGCGGGGGTGGACGAGCCAATAGAAGCGGAGACTGCAGCATCACTGCGAGAGCTGCTGAGGAAGTGTGCTGGGCTGAGGGCTTCGATACAGTCACGCGAGGACGAAGGGCTGGAAATGCTGAATGTGCTTATAGAGATTGCAGGGGCGTATTTCAAGCAGGGGTCCAAGGAGGAGATGGAGCAGGCTGTGTGGGAGGAGCAGGAAGGTATTGACGGGGAGGGAATGGCAAGATGGGGAGGAGAGGAGGAAGGGTCTGGGGTGGTTGGTACTGGTGGGGAGGGTGTAGAAGCAGAGCAGGAGAGCATGGAGATGATTGATGGAGGGGAGCAGCGTGTGGCAGATCCAGCAGGGGCTGTTGAGGTGGGCACAGAGGTTGAGGCTGTAGTGTAGCTGGTGCTGTAGTTGCTGATGGGATAAATTAGCTAATGTCATAAAAGGATGCTGACCAAGAGTTTTCCTGTTGCAGTTCATTTTGCCGTTTCCATCTATAGAGTGCCAAAAGGACAAAAACATGGTGGTAGATGTGTAGATTGAGGCCGTGCCAGAGTGAGGCTAGATTTCAGAATGTGTAGAATTCTTGTGCGTCTCTCAACCTGTTACGTGTGCGCGGGGAAATGACTAATAACGCGAATAACCTTACGAAGGTGCTCTGTCCCGCGGACCCAAACTGGGGAGAAGGTGCCATTTGGATTACACATCTCACCAGCAGCTCATCCGCAAGTCGTACCATGGACGATTGAATTTCGTTTCTGTTCGTAAGGTTCTCTGCAAGTATCGCCAACATTTTCCCTAACTGCACCTCCTCTTACGCCAAAACGCTGAATGGTGTGGTTTCGTGCCGCTCTCGACCTTACAAAAATTACGTCCTAGTTCTCTATTTTCCGTTGAGAAAGCTATGTTTGTCCGAATTGGATCGCGGTTCTGAAGTTCGCCCGCCATCCGAAGTAGGGACGTGTAGACGGAAGTACACGTCTGATTGGCTTCCATGCTCCAATATATCTGGAAACTTGTGTGATGACCAATGATAGGGTGTTTTTACACGTCATTGAGGGCCATTTTGAGCTGATGGCGGGCAAACTTCGCCCAGAACCGTGACCTTGGAGTTATCGAGGTGACCCCCTTGGTTCTGGATGCATTCGGTGGCCGCGCCTCCCTCATCCAAGCCTCCAGGCTTGCGGCGAAGCGCGCGGCACTCGTAAGCTCGCCATGTTCAGTGGTAGCGCTCCCAGTCCGAGCCCACTTTTGAGTCGACTCTGAAGGTAGCGCTCCCAGTCCGAGCCCTGTGTCGTCTCTTGCGCGTCGCGACAGCCATCAGCGCTTCTCGCACCTCCTGCTCCACGACTTCTGAGTCGTCTCGAAAGTACCGCGCATAACCAACCGAGATTCTCTTTTCGCCTCTCCTAGGCCCTCCTCGCCCCTCCCCGCCAGTTCCCCCCCGCTCCCCACCTCTGCTCGTCTCTGCCTCTCCACACCGATCATGCTGAGTGGGGCAGCGGGGCAGCGCGTCACACGGGCCTTCAGCGATTCTCGCTCCTGCTCGACGAATTCTAAATCGTCTCGATAGTATTGCCGCACAGCCACATCAGCACCCTCCCCGCCTCTCCCCACCTCTCCACACCTCTCCCCACCTCTGCGATCATGCTGAGCGGAGCCGCGCGTCGCAAGGGCCACCAGCGCTTCTCCCTCCTTCTCCTCGACGACGGGGACCACTACATAACCGACTGGGTCGCCACGTGTCACCTCGTGGATGGCCAGCCGCGCGCGCTCGCGGGCGGGCGGCTGCGGCTGTGCATGAAATCGCTCTTCTTCGAGCCGCAGGACCCCGCCATCCCCATTATAATGTTCCCCATGCCGCACATACTAGTCGTTTTCCACCCCGCGTCGCGCCGCCGGTACCGCTCGCAGCTGGGCGCGAAACTCGCCGCGGAGGGGCGCATCCGCGCGGAGTGGGCGGGGGAAGGAGCGGGGGCGGGCGGGGAGGACGGGGGTCGGGGCGTGGGGGGAGGGCGGAGGAACGATGGCGGAAGGCCGGGGAATGCGTATGGGGATGTGGGGGGGTATGGGGGAGATAATGGGTATGGGGATGTGGTGTATGTGACGACAGGCATGTATGTGGCAATGAAGGCGTGTGGGCAGGACGTGCCGTACGAGTTCGAGAAGAAGGAGCTGGACGAGGGCCACCTGCCTTCCACGTGGGCCTTCTCCCTTGACTACTCGCCCACCTCACGGGTATGCGTGCTTATTGTGGGTGCAGCAAGCAGGTTTATGCCACTCGCAGAGAGGTCGGAATCAGATGCTACTGAGGTAACACAGCAACCAGGGCGGTGGGGAGGAGCTGCCGTCCACCTGGGCCTTCTCCCTTGACTACTCGCCCACCTCACAGGTATGCGTGCCTGCTTCAGCAGTCCCCCACCACCCTTGTAAGACCAAACAACGGTAGCTGGGAATTATATCCCCCACGCCCACCACGTGGGTAGGACCATCAGGTTACTACCACTCGTGTAGGCCAGTCAGATGTTATTGAGGCGACACAGCAACCAGCCGGGTGGGAAGTAGCTCCACGAGGGCCACTTGTCTGCTCTGCCCTCCACCTGGGAACTTCTTCTCCCCCCACTGCTCCCCTTCCAAGCGGGTATGACTCAAAAGCAAGGGCCACACATGGGAGCGAGATGACTTTTGAGCCACACATATCTACTCGAAAGTCATCACGAGCAGAGGGATATGGATGGAGGTGTCATTTACAGCTGCTGCCGTACGAGCAGAGGGACATAGAGGTGCCACGGCACCTGACCGTCATTCTCCCATACCCCATCCCCCATACCCTCCTCCCCCGTGCTCTCCCCAACAGCTCCTAGACGAGGCGCTGCCAGTGCTGGGCGTGCAGCTGCTGCCCTACGAGCAGCGGGACATGGAGGTGGCGCGGCGCCTCTCTCCGATGGAGGCATCCCCCATACCCGCATGCGCCATCCCCCCATCCCATGTTCAGCTGTTAGACAAGGCGCTGCCAGTGCTGGGCGTGCAGCTGCTACCGTACGAGCAGCGAGACATGGAGGTGCCTGCTGACCCTCCAGGCCCTCCCTTCTTCCCATCCCCCCGTCCCTCCCTTCCCTCCCACCAGTTGTTAGATGAAGCCTTGCCAGTGCTGGGGGTGCAGCTGCTGCCGTACGAGCAGCGAGACATGGAGGTGGCGCGGCGGCTGTCCCTCATGGAGGCCTCGGCGCCCTTTGACGTCAGCCGCCTCGTCGACCTCTCCGAACACATCCTGCTCGACTGCCTCGCCTCCCAGGTGCGTGTGGCGTGAGTCAACGTGAGTCAACTTGAATCAACGTGAGTCAACGCAAGTCAGCTCAGGTTAAGTTGACTCAGGAGTACTTCCTCCTGGACTGCCGGGTCAACAAGGCACATGTGTACTGCCGTGTGAGTGAGTCTACATGACTAATGCCCAGAGCATTTACAGCGTTGTCTCTGCTGCCTGCTTGTTTACTTGGCTGGCTGACTAGTGGAAATGAGGGAGAGGAGGAGAGCACAGGCTGCCGGTTGCCGTGGCTGCCTTTCCATGACTCTACAGGCCATCTTGACTCTCCTTCAACACATGCTCTATCTGTGCCCGACCCGAACCTCACCTTCAGGTTCGGCCGCTGGTTCGGGAGCCGGGCCGCCTTGTGATCACACAGCAGCGGCTTTACTTCCAGGTGACATCTGGTGCAGGAAACATCTGGCAGGTGGCATCTGGTGCAGGTGGCATCTGGTGCAGGTGGCATCTGGTGCAGGTGGCATCTGGTGCAGGTGGCATCTGGTGCAGGGGACATCTGGTGCAGGTGGCATCTATTGCAGTTAACATGCCACTGCGTTTTGTTGTGTGGGGTAGGCTGTGTATGCTGTGCTGTCTGCTGCTGTTTTCCTCTTCACGCTTCTCCCCCCCACCTCCACACTGCTTGTTAACTTAACTCCATGTCCGCTTATCTCTGCACTTGCCCCCTTCCCTTCTTGCTCCCTCCTTTCAAGCTGCTGTGCACCTCTCACCTCACTCACCTCACTCACACATGAACGTCCCTCTCTTGCATCTTCCTTCTGCCCCTCCCTCGCATCGCACCTTCCCTCCAGCCCCATTTTCCCCCCTTCTCCTCTCTCGCCCTTCTCTCCTCTTTTTCTCCTCTCCTCTCTATCCCCTCGCTCCCCTCTCCCACTTCAACCTTTCTCAGCAGTAAGAGGGGTCCCCATCTGCATCTTTTGAGTCGACTCAAAAGTCACTAAGAGGGATCCCCTCCCCATCTGCATCTTCCCGCTCCTCCCCCACCCTCTCCTTCTCGCCTCCCTTTATCCTCTTTTTCTCTCCAACTCCCACTCCACTTTTCACCCCCCTCCCCCTCTCTGACAGCCATTGCACGCCATCAGCAGTGAGAGTCCCCTTCGAATCTTTCCCCTGCCCCTCTTCTCTGTTCTCACCTTTTTTCCCCCCTCTCCCGCTTATTCCTCCCCCTCCCCCTCTCTCACAGCCACTGCACGCCATCAGCAGTGAGAGTCCCCTCCGAATCTTCCCCCTGCCCCTCCTCCTCTCCGCTGCCCGCCGCCGCCACTCCCTGCGCCCCCGCGGCCTCGAAATCTTCTTCTCCTGCCCGGACCTATCGCAGCGTGCCAGCTCAGGGAGCTCAGGAGGAGGAGGACTGGAGGGGGGTGGTGGCACCGGCGGGAGAGGAGGGGGGAACGGAGTGGGTAGGGGGAGGGTAGTTGGGGGTAGTGGGGGGAGCGGGGGGAGTGGGGGCGGAGGGCCGTTGGGGGATGGCAGCAGTGTGTTCTTTGTGTTCAGCTCTCAGGGGGAGAGGGACCGAGCTGCTGCGCTGCTGCAGAAGCTGTTGGGGGTGAGTGAGAGAGTGTTTTTTAGCCAATCTCCAATCTCTGTCTACGAATGCTTCATACCGCTCCCGGTTTTTCACCCTCTCCTTCTCACTCTCCTTTCTCCCGCCCTGCTCTTTCTTTCTCTCCTGTTTCTCACTCTCCATATCCCCTGCTCTCACTCTCTCGAACGGTCCTTCGTATTAATAGCATCAAGGTACAGTCATTGGTACTAAGCTAGTCTAAGCAATCAACCGGCAATCAAGCAAGCCAACAACCAAACACACAAGCAAACAAACAAACAAACAAACAAACAAACAAACAAACAAGCAAACAAGCAAACAAACAAACAAACAAACAAACAAACAAACAAATACACCAAGGTACCACGGCTCTTCCCTCCCCTGTCCCCTCTCCCCACGGCCCTACTGGCCTGTGGGGTCTTCCAGCACCTGGTACAGCTGCTCCTCCCCCAGGCTGCCAAACGGGCCTTGCAGGCCAAGCCCATCCGCGGCTATGGCCTCGTGGGTCTTGTCGCGAAGGGCGTTGGCCTGGGCGCGCTGGAGAGTCACACTCCACTCCAGCGCTGCCGGTACTCCGTGAGGAGCCTGGCCACCTCCCTCGACTTCGGCGCAGCGTTGAACCGCCGCTTGCCCGCGAGCTCGGCGCAGCTGCGGAGGAAGGCGTGCACTCCCGGGGACGGGTAGCCGTACATCTCCACCGCCATGGCGTGGAAGCCTACCCACGCGTTCCGCCGCGAGTACTTGTCCTCTTTCCTGGCGGCTTGCATCCTTGCAGCCCACCCAGGCGCCTTCCGCGCAAGCTCATCCTGGTGGGAGACCGGGTCCGTCACGGTGATGTCGCACATGTGAACCTCGCCGGTGTCGGGATGGCGGATGCAAACATCCGCTTTGAGGTTTTCGACCGGAGAGTAAACTGTAGATTCCGTGTGCACCGTGTATCCTGCCTCTGCTGCGATCTTCGCACACTCATCACGAAGGGCATGGTGAGTGGCAATCCTCCCCCCGCCTTTCTCACAGCGCATGAGGTGGTTGGGAAGGCGGTGGTCAGGGAAGGTCGTGCGGTAGCGGCAGTCGCAACGCCGTGGGACAGGAAGGGGGAGGCCTAGGCGGAAGGAGGCTGCAGTGGAGTGCTGCGAGGGGCCTAGGCGTAGAGCCGGGATCAGGGGGATGGCCAGCAGCCAATCTCCTGCCCCAGGGCCGAGGAGAGACTGCAGGCGCTGAGTGTGGCCAAAGAGAGGGTTCAAGGGCATTTCCCGAGAGGCGTCGAGTAGCTCAATGTAACGGGCGGTATGGACTGCCAGCGACAAGGCCTGCTGTAGCTTCGGACCATCAGGGGTGCGCCGGCCGACCTGAAGCGCCTCTAGTCCGTCTAGGGGCAGCGCGGCCTCTGCCGCTGCCAGGCGCCGTGGCAGGGCCGAAGGTGAGTCTGCGTCTGCATCCATCAGTGGCAGCATACAGGCGATGGCGGGGTGCACCGTGTCGCCGAATGAGTGCAGCAGATGGGCACTGGAGATGACCGAGGCCAGGTACGCGAACGCCCCTTCCGTGGCTGGGCTGGTGATGCCGAGGCCGCCCAGTGTCACGGGCAGGGCTGCTTGCCGCCAGATTCTCCCCCGCTCCTCCTCTTCCCTTGGTATCGCCGTGTGTGCAGCTGACAGGTAAGTGTGCAGCAGCTGTTCCCCCCACGCCGACCAAGTATCCTCTGGCAGCACGTCTAGCGGCGTCGTTCGAACGAGGTAGGAGGCACGGCGGCTCACGCACCGTGTGAGAAGGAGCAGGCACAGCTGCGTTTTGAGACGTCTCAAAACACTTGTTCAAACACGCACCGTGTGAGAAGGAGCAGGCACAGCTGCGGGTCCATTTGAGACAGGAGCGGTAGTGGCTCTGCTGCTGCTGATAGGCGCTCCTGTACCATCTCTCTCTCTCCCGTGTCTCCCTCCCAACGGGCATCACATCAGGGTGTGTCCAGCCCAGCAGCAGCGGCAGCATCGCTACTAGAGGCTCACTCGCACGCACTGCAGGCCGTCACGGGGCTGTGGCAGGTGGGGCTGTGGCAGGTGGGGATGGGCCAGGTGGGGATGGGGCAGGTGGGGCAGTGAAGTTTCAACATAATTGTGTGGTGGTTGGGGCAGGTGTGGCGGTGGGGCAGTGGGACAGTGGCTGGCACGGCTGGGGCAGGTGGGGCAGGGATGGATGGCATTTCAGCATCATTGCTCAATTGTTTTCTCCCTCTCCTCTCCCCCATACCTTGTTTCCCACAGCCAATCGTTTTTCCACCCTCTCCCTGTTCGCCCCCTCCCTCCCATACCTTGCTTCCGCGAGACAGTTATCCACTTTTGAGACGTCTCAAAACTCCCACCCTCTCCCTGTATATTCCTTCCCTCCCTCCCATCTCTGTCTCCTCATTTTCTCATTCCCTTCTCACAAACCACCTCCCTCCCTCCTCCCTCTCCGCCCCTCCAGTCCACCCCCAACTATCTCCTCCTCCCCAACCTCTCTCCCCTCACCTTCCATGCACTATTCTCACCCCACTGTCCCCTACCTCCTTCTCCACTCCCCCAGACCGGCCGCATCTCCAACCGCGACTATCTGCTCTTCCTCAACCTGGCAGCGGGCCGCACTATGTGTGACTTGGCGCAGTGGCCTGTCATGCCCTGGGTGCTCGCGGATTACACCTCCCACCACCTTGATTTGAACGACCCCGCCACCTTCAGAGACCTCTCCAAGGTGCGCCCTCTGCCTGCCTGCCTGCTTTCGCCAGTGTGTGTGACTTGGCGCAGTGGCCGGTCATGCCCTGGGTGCTCGCGGACTACACCAGCCCACACTTGAACCTCGACGACCCTTCATCTTTCAGAGACCTCTCCAAGGTGTGAGCCCTCTGCCTGCCTGCTTGTCGCACCATGCGTGACTTGGTTTGGCGCGGTGGCCCGTCATGCCCTGGGTGCTCGCGGATTACACCTCCCACCACCTCGATTTGAACGACCCCGCCACCTTCAGAGACCTCTCCAAGGTGAATGCCCGCCCCACCCGCCCCGCCCGCCTGCCCGCCCGCCTGCCGCCCACCTCATCTATCTGTATGCGCTGAAGCTGCACTGCAGTTAGGAGGAGGAGCAGTCGAAAGCAGCACTGGAAAGCAGCGCTCACCTCTCTTCGCCTTGTTGAGGATTCTCGTCTGTGTTGTTGTGCCGTGCTGTGTAGTGCTTTTGAGGCGACCCAAATGTAGAGTAGCCCACGGGGAGCAATGTCCACTGCCTTTCACCAACGACTTTTGTTGAGGTGCCTCAAAAGACCACTCCTTCTCACCACCCTGCCTGCCTCTCCTCCTGATTTTTGAGATGTCTCAAGAGCCCATGATTACTGCCTGTCACCACCCTGCTGCCCATGATTACTGCCTGTCACCACCCTGCTGCTCCTCCTGAATCTGCCCTCCCCACCTCTCTCCTTCATCCCCTTCCCCACCTCTCTCCTTCATCCCCTTCCCCACCTATCTCCTTCATCCCCTCCTCACCTCTCTCCTCCATCTTCTCTCCACCTCTCTCCTCCATCTCCTCCCCACCTCTCTCCTTCATCCCCTCCCCGCCTCTCTCCTTCACCCCCTACCAACATCTTTCCTTCACCACTTTTCACCTTTCTCTCCATTTCCTCAATCTCTCCCTCCCCACCTCTGCAGCCAGTGGGAGCGCTCAACCCGGCACGCCTTGCAGAGTTCAGAGAGCGGTACGACGAGGTAAGGAGTGGTACATTGCAATAAAGAGTGGTACAATGAGGCAAAGAGCGGTGCAGTGAGTGCAGGAGCAGTGCAATGAAGCAAAAATCGGTTCGACAAGACGAAACCCTCCTTTGTCCGCCGTTTGCATCCATCCACTGTCTTCCGAGGTGACTTTTGAGTCGACTCAAAAGTCACCTCGTTGTGAGTCGGCTCAAAAGTCACCTCGTTGTGAGTCGGCTCAAAAGTCACCTCGTTACCATGGCCCAGTCGTTACCACTGCCTTGCAATATCTCCAAGCTCTTGAGTGGACTAAAAGCTCATCTCCTACCGCTCACCACCCCACCAACCCCACCCACCTCCCTCCCCTACCCACCCCCCCGCACACACACCAGATGCCTCGGGACAAGAGTGGATCAGAGCGCACCAAGCCTTTCCTCTACGGCACTCACTACTCCACTCCTGGGTACGCTGAGTCCTTTCTGCTGTTGCATGTGTGTTGATGAATCACCAGCGCCCTCCACTCCAGTCCAGGATAGCTTCACATTTCTTCGTAATGATGACAGCCTCCTCAACGGTACACTGAAAGGCTGGGGTTTACCGTCACTTCTCTTTCGCTCCCTGCTCTTTCGCTCACTTCTCTTTTGCTCCCTGCTCTGTTGCTCCCTGCTCTTTCGCTCCCTGCTCTTTCACTCCCTGCTCTTTCGCTCCCTGCTCTGTTGCTCCCTGCTCTTTCGCTCCCTGCTCTTTCTGGTTTCGCTCTTTCGCTCCCTGCTCTTTCTGGTTTCGCTCTTTCGCTCCCTGCTCTGTTGCTCCCTGCTGTTTCGCTCCCTGCTCTTTTGCTCCCTGCTCTGTTGCTCCCTGCTCTTTCGCTCCCTGCTCTGTTGCTCCCTGCTCTTTCGCTCCCTGCTCTTTTGCTCCCTGCTCTGTTGCTCCCTGGTCTTTCGCTCCCTGCTCTGTTGCTCCCTGCTCTTTCTGCTTTCGCCTTCTTTTGCATGCAACCACCGGCCAGCCATGCCATGTCTACCGCTGCATTGCATGTCCCATGACCCTTGTATCCCCAATCCAACCCACATGTGTCACATGTGCCCCCAATGCATGCATGCAGCTATGTGCTCTACTGGCTCGTCCGCTCTGCACCAGCACACATGCTGCGGCTACAGGCGAGTCGCCCTTATCTCTCTCCACCGCGCACTTAACTCCACACTGTCGCTTCCACACTCTTACACAGTGTGAGTGAACTCCTCCACACTCCCACAAACGCCTTGTGTGTCGCTCACAAAAACTACAGGCAAACTGCGTAAAGAAAGTGCTCATGTCTCACAGACTACCGCTCAACTACAGCTGTGAAAAGAAAGTGCTCATGTCTCACAGACTACCGCTCAACTACAGCTGTGAAAAGAAAGTGCTCATGTGTCACAGACTACCGCTCAACTACAGCTGTAAAAAGAAAGTGCTCATGTCTCACAGACTGCCGCTCAACTAAAGCTGTGAAAAGAAAGTGCTCATGTGTCACAGACCACCTGATTGCACTCCTCGTTTACAGCTTTCCAGCTCAACTATCGAGTTGACTTTTTAGTCGACTCAAAAGTGAACTGGTTTACGATCTTCCAACTCAACTATCTTACACTTACTTGTTCCGTAAGGTGAACTCTCAACTATCAACTTTGCCACGAACCGGACTTGCTGCAGTTGGTTAAAACCTTCATGTTCTCTGTTCAACTCTCCATTTCTAAATTCCCTGCCTTTCCACCACCCCAACACCCCCACCTTCCTCCACTCCCCCTTTTCCCTCTCTCCCCATCAGAACTGTCGCTTTGACTCACCAGACCGGCTGTTCACGGTAGGGATGAGCAAAAAAACGAACACCTGTTTGGCTCGCCTCGAACACGTTCGAGGCGAACCGAACAGGTTAAAATTTTGGGCTTAAAGTGTTCGCCGAACAGTGTTCGATGTTCACCCGAACATGTTCGTGTTCGGGCCGCTGCTGCAATTTGCCCCTAGACGAACACGAACGTGTTCGAGGTTCGCCCGAACACGCCTTCATAGGCGAACGGCGAACACCTGTTTTTGCTTAAGGTGTTCGCCGAACCGAACAGTGTTCGGTCGCCGAACAGGGGTGTTCGTGCATGGGCGAACGCGAACACGTTCGTGTTCGCCCCTTGCTCATCCCTAGTTCACGGGGCTGCAGGAGTCGTGGGAGAGAAATTTTCAAAAGCCCCTCTCTTCTCACCACCCCCTCTCCTCACCCCCCCTTCCCCATCAGAACGGGCGCTTTGACTCACCAGACAGGCTGTTCACGGGGCTGCAGGAGTCGTGGGAGAGTGTGCTGTCCAACGCCCCATACCCTCCCTTCCTGTCCCCCCCTCTCCTCCTCAGAACGGCCGCTTTGACTCACCGGACCGGCTGTTCACGGGGCTGCAGGAGTCGTGGGAGAGTGTGCTGTCCAACGCCCCATACCCTCCCTTCCTGTCCCCCCCTCTCCTCCTCAGAACGGCCGCTTTGACTCACCGGACCGGCTGTTCACGGGGCTGCAGGAGTCGTGGGAGAGTGTGCTGTCTAACGCCACTGACGTCAAGGAGCTCATCCCCCACTTCTTCTCTCTGCCTGCGCACTTCCTCCGCCTCCCGTGAGTGAACCTGGGCCTGCCTGCCTGCCTGCCTGTGCAATGCCTTCTCAATGTATTTCTTTCGGCGCCTGAAAGAACGTCAAGGAGCTCATCCCACACTTGCCAAGGGAATGCCAAGGAGCTCATTCCCCACTTCTTTTCGTTCCCAGCACACTTTCTCCGCCTTCCTTGAGTGAGCCAACCTGAGCCTACCTGAGCCTACCTGAGCCTACCTGAGCCTACCTGAGCCTACCTGAGCCTACCTGAGCCTACCTGAGCCTACCTGAGCCTGCCTGAGCCTACCTGAGCCTACCTGAGCCTGCCTGAGCCTACCTGAGCCTGCCTGAGCTTCAGAGCCTACCTGAACCTACCTGAGCCTGTGCTTCTTGCTTGTGTTATCCCTTCTTGTGTATTCTCCTTTCTTGCATCCTCACCCTTCCCTTTCTCCACCACCACAATGCACATCTTACTCTTCACACTTGCACACGTGGCATAACATGGCATTGCGTAGCTGAATATTGCTGCAACATGATTACATAACACGCCATGGCTTGACATGTCATGGCTGCAAAATGCCTGTTTGCTTGATTGAGCATCCTCTTTGCACCCTCACCCACCCTCTCTCATGTACACCACCGCTTTCAGCCCGGACCTCAATCTAGGCACGCGCCAGAACGGAGTCCCAATTGGCGACGTGGAGCTGCCTCCGTGGTACGTAATTATGTTATTCTAGGCGCTTATAAATGCCCTTTACGAAGGCACGGGCACCTACGAAATCCGCCTCAGAAGGCGCCTAAAGACCTGTCGTCCCAATCGGTGATGTGGAGTTGCCTCCTTGGTACGTGCGCGTGTCAAAAGCCGTCTCAAAAGGGATATAGTAAGTTATGGAACACTGTAATTCAATTCTGTATTAACAATTAAGTCAGTGCCTTGGTGATGCCTGTTGTGGAACTAAGAATCGACCACTATACGTGGGTTATGAGGTGGCGCACTGTGTTTGCCTGCCTTTCCTTCATTGTTTTTTGTGTGCATCTTTTCCAAACTTCAAGCATCTTTATTTTCGCACACTCCCTCACCTGGCAATTGCCATTCGTATTGCGCTGGTTTTCTCACGCCCTCTCCATCCTATGTAACTGCATCCTTCAATGACGCCCTATTCTTCTCCCCCTTTCTCTACCCCTCTATCTACCGCACCACCATACTCCACCCATTCTATTCTCCAAGGGCGAGCGGTGCAGAGGATTTCATCGTAAAGCACGTGCAGGCTCTGGAAAGCGAGTGGGTATCGGCGAATCTCCACCATTGGATCGACCTGATCTTCGGATACAAGCAGCAAGGCAAGGTGCTGCTCCTGCTCTCTCATATTGACTCCCCCATAGCCTGGTCATCAGATCATATACTATGTGCCCTTGCTTTAGTTTTGAGGTTCCACAAAAGTAGCTTGGTCATCAGATCATATACTATGTGCCCTTGCTTTAGTTTTGAGGCGCCTCAAAAGTAGCTTGGTCATCAGTTCATCTACTATGCCCTTGCTTTAGTTTTGAGGCGCCTCAAAAGTAGCTTGGTCATCAGTTCATCTACTATGCCCTTGCTTTAGTTTTGAGGCGCCTCAAAAGTAGCTTGGTCATCAGTTCATCTACTATGCCCTTGCTTTAGTTTTGAGGCGCCTCAAAAGTAGCTTGGTCATCAGTTCATCTACTATGCCCTTGCTTTAGTTTTGAGGCGCCTCAAAAGTAGCTTGGTCATCAGTTCATCTACTATGCCCTTGCTTTAGTTTTGAGGCGCCTCAAAAGTAGCTTGGTCATCAGTTCATCTACTATGCCCTTGCTTTAGTTTTGAGGCGCCTCAAAAGTAGCTTGGTCATCAGTTCATCTACTATGCCCTTGCTTTAGTTTTGAGGCGCCTCAAAAGTAGCTTGGTCATCAGTTCATCTACTATGCCCTTGCTTTAGTTTTGAGGCGCCTCAAAAGTAGCTTGGTCATCAGTTCATCTACTATGCCCTTGCTTTAGTTTTGAGGCGCCTCAAAAGTAGCTTGGTCATCAGTTCATCTACTATGCCCTTGCTTTAGTTTTGAGGCGCCTCAAAAGTAGCCCGGACATCAGATCATATGCCATGCCCTTGCTTTATCTGCTGTGGCTTTCTCTGCTATCCTCTCACTCGCATCCCCTTAGAAAGGTGAGCGTCTTCTGTTTCATCTCCTCACCTATGAGGGCGCAGTGAACGTCAACTCACTTAGCAGCTAGTGGTGATTAACTGTTTCACTCACTCCTCACTCTCTCATTCACTCCCTCCCTCCCTCACTAACCCACCCACCAGGCAGCAGAGGAAGCAGACAACCTGTTCCATCCCCTGACCTATGAAGGCGCAGTGGATTTGGACTCGCTCAGCAGCTTTGTGGAGAGGAGAGGCTTCGAGACTCAGGTGCGCTGTGGGAAAGCAGCTCTGATGTTGAGTGAAACAATCCTGTTTTGGGGCACCTTATAAATAGGTCGATACAAGTCAAGAATCGACTGGAAACTCGTCTCGTTTAACATAGATTAATTTATGCTGATACAGGTGCCACTTCAAATCATACACCAATTTTTCTGCAATCCCTGCTGAACTTACTCAGCCATGTTCCCTCTTTCTCCTCCCCCTTCCCCTCCATCCTCCCTCCCATTCTGCTTTTCCCCAAATGCCCTTCTCAGATCAACGAGTTTGGTCAAACGCCAAGGCAGCTCTTCATCCATCCCCACCCGCAGCGCTCCCCACGTGCCACACCCAGCGTTGAGTCACTGCCCTTCTGTGACCCCTCCACTGCCGTCCACCTCCTCATGCGCCTCCTGCCTCTCCTGCCCTCCGCCTCTGCTGCTGCTGCTGTCGTGCCTGCTACTGGTGATGCCACCGATACTCTTGCTGCTACTGCTCCTAGTGCTGGTGGCAGCACGAGTGTTGATTCTAGTGTTTTAGTTGGCACTCAAGCCACCAGTGGTAGTGGTGGCATTGGTGCTGCTCTGACCTCCAATGGGTCTGATGTGGCTGGTTCATCTGCTACCAGCCGTGATGCTTGCAAGGATGCTGCTGCTGCTGCCGCTGATACCGGATGGGCTGTAGATGGTGCTGCAGCATCAGCAGCAGGAACAGCAACAGCAGCAGCAGCAGCGAGTGCTGCACATAAAGACCGCAGCGATGTGGAGCGGGGTGCGATTTTGCCTACAGTAGCACTGGCAGGAGAAGAAGAGAGGGCAGCAGGCGCAGGTGCTCCTGCAGAGCCAGGCTCAGGAGCAGGGGCTGCAGGTCCAGGCGGTGTGGGCTTAGCAGCAACTGAAGCAGCAGCAGCTTCATCATCAGCAGCAACAGGAGGAGCGGCAGTGGAAAAAGCAACCTCACTAGAGCCACCACCACCATCACCACCAGCACAAGCTGCAGGTTCTAGTACCAGTGCACTGCGCCAGGTCAGCGCCACGTCAGACAGTACAGCTGGCGCGGCTGCGGATGGAAGCAGTGAGACAGGGGGCACAGGTGGCATGGCGAACAGTAGCGGGATGGTGGAAGAAGACGAGACGGGGAGGCTGAAGGCGCTGCAGGGGGCGGTGGGTCTGGGAAGCTTCAATGCCAGGCGAGCAGCGCAGGGCAGGGGCTCTATGGGCTCTGCAGGTGCTGCGGTCAATGCAGTCAATGCGGTCAATGCAGTCAATGCAGTCAATGCAGCTGGTGCTGCTGGTGTGACAAGAGCCGCAGCAGTGAGAGAGGAAGAGGAGATGGCGGCGCTGAGAGAGTGGCTGGTCGAGGCTGGGGTGGGGCGAGGAGGGGACGAGCATGCCTGCTCGCCTCCCTTCTCCCCCACTGCGCCCTTCCCTGCCTTTCAGCCGTCACCTGTAGTGGGAAGCAGCGATGTGAGCAGTGCAGTGAGCATCAGGGCGAACGGCAAGGCAAGCAGAACAGAAGGTGGTGTGGGTAGCAGTGAGACGAGCAGAAGCAGTGAGAGGAGCAGGAGCGACAACGATGGCAGTGGCAGCGGGAGGAGGAGGGCGAGAGTGCGGCGAGTGAAGGCGCATCGGGGGCCGGTGGTTGCGGTGGCGCTGGCAGAGCATGCAGAATCGCACGACTTGCTGCTCACCACAGCGGGCGCTGATGGCATGGTGAAGGTGAGGGGGCCTCATGGCATGGTGAAGGTGAGGGGGCCTCATGGCATGGTGAAGGTGAGGGGGCCTCATGGCATGGTGAAGGTGAGGGGGCCTCATGGCATGGTGAAGGTGAGGGGGCCTCATGGCATGGTGAAGGTGAGGGGGCCTCATGGCATGGTGAAGGTGAGGGGTCCTCATGGCATGGTGAAGGTGAAAGGAGGCTCTTGGTGTGTTGGGTGAAGGCACATTGTGGGCGGTGGTGGCAGTGGCCCTGGCAGAGCATGCATAGTCATGCGACTTGCTTCTCACCACTGAGGGGGATGATGGCATGGTGAAGGTGAGGGGGGCTGATGGCATGGTGAAGGTGAAAGGATGCTCATGGCCTGTAGTTGGTTGTGGGGTTTCTCTAAAGCAGATGCGGTATGGCAGAGAGAGCATGCAGAGTCAAACGGCTTTGTCGCGTTATTAACACTTAGCTGGCAACTAAGTGTGAATATCACAGCAGCCAAGGTGAGGATGTACTATAGTTTACCGCTTTTGTACTCTAATTTCATTTGTGTGCTTGGAGTGTATTGTACTGTACTGCAGAGCCGAGTAGCTGGGGAATTTGAGGTGGTTAGTGGGAGGCGAATTCAAGGAGGTTGGTGGAGACGAATTCAATTCCAGCCTGTGAATTCAATTTCGAAGTCACCAGGCTGGAAGGCGAATTCAATGCCAGCCTGGGAATTGAATTCGAAGTCACCAGGCTAGAAGGCAGTGCATGCCTAGTGGGCCCAGTGGGAACACAGCTAGCACCTTGGAGACCTCGCGAGCAGCCCGGCTGACTCGCTTGGTGCACAGGAGCTTGCTTGTGGAGGAAGCAACCTAGGCAGGGGGTGGGAATAGATGTAGGCAGGAGTAGCACTCGGGCTTCTTGCTTTTTGCTTGTATGTTTCTCATTTACTGCAATTTGTTTTCCTAATCCAGAGGGAACTAGCAGTAGGAGAAGCTATAAGCAATTTGACGGAGCCCCTGAGGGGGAGTGTTACGCTTGCTACATACAAGCAAAAAGGTTGTTGACTGTCTTAAGTACAGGAGATAAGCTAGTAGCCTCGAGTCGCTCACGGTGATGCGCCGTGAGGAATGAGTAGGCACGATCAGGAACTGCACACTCATCAGCTGCGCTCGGGACTCCGTTTCCCTGCAAGGATGATGGAGGGACAAGGACTACCCATCAGGACACCTGGATTCCGTGCTGAAGAGGGCGATGCTAACGCGCGCGGGGGTCAGGGATCAGATCGAGAGAGGGAGGGCGACCGACAAGGGGAGCCGCCGCCTAGCGCTACTGGTGGATCAGTCGCTGGCGGGAGTGGAATCGGCCATGTGAAGAGTGGATCTCGAGGGGATAATCCTGCTCAAGGAAGAGAAGAGTTTCGGGAAGAACGGCACAGTCAGTGCGGGGAAGATGAACATCACGAAGAAAGACCGTCAGAGAGGAGGAGAAGCGTACCACAGCTTTGCGGCGGGTGGATACGAGGCTACTGAAGCTAGGCAAGGTTGTCGGCCGGTGGACAGCGGGGATAGAGGGAACACGAGCTGGGGGACGGGCCACACGATGAACGCAGCTCTACCGAAAATTGAAGTGCCGGACCGTTTCTCAGGGACATCAGGGGAGGAGTCCACGCTCAAGAACTACTTGATGATGATAGACGACCTGCGTTACCTTTGGGAGAAGGAGGGCTTAGACCCTATCGAGTTCTTTAGAGGTTTGGGACGGACTCTGAAAGGCGAGGCCCTGACTCACTACCGCGTGGAAAGGCAGGGGCTGTTGATGCAGTGCAAGAGAGGCGATTTCTCACCAGCAATGATAACGGACCGATTTCTGGAGAGTTTGCAGGAGCAATTCCCGGGGCACTCGGCGGAACGGATGGCGGAATTTCAGAACTTCGTGCGTGCCACTTCGGAGTCGCTGCTAGCCTATTACAACAGGCTGCTGGAGCTGGCAGAGGACATGGGGTGTATGGAGGAGCGCCTCTTGGTGACGAAATTTGTCAACAGTCTGGACAAGGACCTGATAGGCGACATGAGGAGTCAGCTGTACGTCCTGGGAGTACGCGCCACGCTGCGGCAAGTCTACAAGGTGGCGAAAGAAGTGGAGGAAGGGAAGAGATTTTATGATGGCATGCAGGGGTCGAGTTCCAGCCGACCGAACGAGCGGAAACGGCCGGCCTGGGCAGCTATGGAAGGAAGAAGGGGAGAGGAAGAGCGGAAAGAGAGGCCATCGGAAGACCCGAGACGGTGCCATAAATGTTGAGAGCAAGGACATCTTCGGAGGGATTGTACGGTGGGAATAATCTGCGACACCTGTGGAGCAAAGGGACATTTCAAGCGTGACTGCCCCAAGGCGCCGACCTGCACGGGGTGTGGGAAGAAAGGCCATACCGAAGCTAGATGCTACAGCAAGGGAGACAGGGCGAAAGGGAAAACTGCAAAGGAGCTGCAGTTAGAACGAGAGTTGGTGAAACTGAAAGCTCAGATGGAGAAATCAGGGATTAGTGAAGACCCCGAGAAAGCTCTGCTGGCTTGGGGGGATGACGAAGGGGAAGATTCTGAGGAAGGGGAACCAGAATACGGGACCATGGCTATGCCGCCAAGGGAGAGGGGAGACCTGGGGGCTGCGCAGCGGAGGGGCAGATGGCAGAGCGGAGCAGAAATTACAAGAGCGAAGAATTTCTAGGCGGCAGGAGAATCAAGGGAAAGTCAGCACCGCACGGCGTCACCCCGAGGAAAGGCTAGTCTGTCAGCCCACAGCCTTAGTGGTGGAACCGAAAGCCGTGGCGGTCAGAGGAATCTTGGTAGAAAACGCGGTAGTGGATACAGGAGCACAGAGCGTCCTAATCGGGAAGAAGCTGACGGCACAACTGCGAGCGCAAGGGAACCTAGAGACTGTAAGCAAGGGCATACTGATCATGACAGCAGAAGGAGGGGCCCCCAAGTGGATGCCATGCACACGGGACCTGATAGAGATAACCTTACAGCCGGGAGAGAAGGGGGAGACCACTATCAGAGTGCAGTGTGGGTTGACAGAATCAGAAGACTATGATATCCTACTAGGAATGGAGCTGCTGTTCAAGATAGGCACCACTATCTGTACTTGGCAGGAGCAGGTGCTCTACCGTTCGGACTTTTGGGAGGAAGGGAAGGAGCTGAGTGAACTACCAGTACGGTTTGTTAAGACAGAACCCAAGAAGGCGTGGAGAGCAGAAGGACTGAGGAAGAACAGTAGGAGGGGAGGAAGTGTGGGGAAGAGCAACGGCAGCGCTCACCTGGATCTGTATAGCATTACACTAGTGGAGCTGTTCGGGGGAATAGGAGCGGGCTTGGCAGCAGCCTTGGAAGCAGGCCTGAGGGTGAAGAAGTGGGTATACGTAGAATTGGACCCAGAGGTGAGGAGAAAGGCATGGAAGCATGCTCAAATGTTACAGCAGCAGTACCCCGCGCAGCTGACGAAAGAAGTACTACGGGAGGCCATGCAGAATAAGAAATGGGACGTGGGGCAGCTCACGAAAGAAGACGTGAGCAGCTGGGGTAAAGTGGATTTGTTAGTGGCGGGATGGGAGTGTCAGGGTACTTCTAGGGCCGGAAAGGGGAAAGGCTTACAGGACGAGCGCACGGGGATGGTGACCAAGCTACTCACCATAATGAAGTGGACGAGTGAAGTGAATGGAGAATATGCTTACATCCTGGAGCATGTGGATATGAGGAACGACGTACGCGAGCCGGTCAGGGCAGTAAGGGAGCTGGTGGAGGCAGAACTGGGGAGAGGAGTGAGCTGTGATGGGGCACAGTTGGGGGCACGCTGTCATAGGGTGCGGCAGTACTGGCAAAACGTCTTACCAGACGGGGAACTGAGGGCAAGACTAGCAAGAGTGGAGAGGGACGAAAGCAGGATAGTAGAGGATATTTTAGAACCAGGGAGGGTGGCGGCCCAAGTGGTAAAACCAGATCATCCGCGGCAGTACCAGTGCAACCGGGTGGGGGAAGCTCGCAGGGCATGGCCTACATTAGTGGCATACACCAGGGCACAAGGTTTCATCGAGGTGGACGGAATACCAGGACCAGGGATGGTGTACGATCACCGGAAGAAGAAGTGGGAGGAACCGACGGCTTTGGAGCGGGAGTTAGCCATGGGATACCTGCCAGGAGCAACCGCAGCAGAAGGGGTAGAGGAAGGGATGCGCAGAGCAGCTTTAGGAAGAGCCATAGACCAGCATTCGCTGAGATGGTTAATCAAAGAGATGAGGAAGGGGGCAGCTGATAAAGGAGGAGAGACCGGAAAAAGGCAAGGACAAGGAGAGAAGCAGGCGGCGTATGCAGCTGTTGAGCAGGGCACGGGAGGAAAGGAGAATGTTGCGGCACTAGCAGGGGGCAAAGAAGCTGAGCAGGGTAAGGAATGGAAGCTAGGTACGGACATCAAGGAGCAGACGGCAGAAGCAATCAGAGAGGTGCTGCACCAGCACAGGAGCACTTTCGCCTATAACCTGCAGGAATTGGGGAGGTACAAGGGAAGAGAGCTGGAGCTAAACCTTACCACAGAGATACCCACTTACCAACGAAGAAGGAGAATGAATGCAGAGGATGCGGCTATCTGCAAGGAGAAGTGTGAGGAGCTGCTAGGAGCAGGGATTATCCGCCCGTCCGAGTCAAGCTACGCAGCAGCCACAGTGGTAGCTGCCAGGAAGGATATCACGGGTAAAGTGCTGGCGAAAAGGATGTGTGGAGATTTTCGGGAGCTGAACAAGATTACCAGCCCGGACAGGTACCCCATGCCAACAGCAGAAGACATCTTTGATCGCTTAGAAGGCGCCATCATCTTCACCACCTTGGACCTGCGACAGGGGTTCAACCAGATAGCGATCAGGGAGGAAGACAAACGGAAAACGGCGTTTCACGGGGTGGATGGGCTGTATGAGTACAATGTGATGCCCTTCGGGATACGCAACGCCCCTGCAGTGTTCCAGCGGGCCATGGATCAGGTGCTGAAGGGGATTCCAGCAGCAGCCTGCTACATCGATGATGTACTGATTTTCAGCAGCAGTGAAGAGCAGCACGTGCAAGATCTGAAGCAGACGCTAGAGGCTATAGCAGCTGCGGGTCTGACGTGCCATCCAGACAAGTGCAAGATAGCAAGGCAGACCGTGGCTTACCTGGGCTTTGAAGTGAAAGGGGGCCGGCTGGCGATACAGGAAGCAAAAGTTAAGGTGCTGGAGAACCTGGCAGCACCAAAGGATAAGACCGGGCTGCGGGCGTTACTCGGCTTCCTGAATTATTACAGGAAGTTCGTACCGAACTTCAGCCGCCGAGCCTACATACTGAATCAGCTGCTGAAGGAAGGGAGGAGCTGGCACTGGGGAGAGCTGGAGGAAACGGCAAGGCAGGACCTGTTAGAAGCAGTACGAACGGGAACGCTGCTGCAGATACCGAGGGCAGATGCCCCTTTCATCTTATACACCGACTGGAGCAGCACAGGAATGGGGGCAGTGCTCTGCCAAGAGATAGAAGGAGAGGAGAGAGTGGTAGCCTTCGCCAGCCGCAGCTGCAGCCCATCCGAGGCTAACTACTGCTCTTACGAGGGGGAGGGCCTGACAGCTGTATGGGGGATCACTCACTTCAAGGTGTACCTGCAGGGTCGGCGCTTCACACTTGTGACTGATCACCAGCCGTTGCTATGGTTGATGACTCATCAGGAGCTGACGGGAAGAAACGCTCGCTGGGCCATTAAGCTGCTGGGATTCGACTTTGAGATCCGACACCGGCCTGGGAAAATGCTGCAGCACGCAGATGGGTTATCAAGGAATCCGCCACCAATGCAGCCGGTAGCGCAGCTGGCAGCCCTGGCTCAAGTAGCAGCGATACCCTGGGGGCAGGAGAAAGGAAAGAAGCGGTTAGGGGATATATGGGAGGATGAGGAGACCCTGAGCTGGATCAAAGGGGAGCCACTAGAAGAGGAAGGAGTGAGCGAGAGAGCCAGGGCCCGAGGGCAGCATTTCAGGTGGTTTCAGGAACAGCTGCAGCTGAGAACCAACGAAGGGTGGAAGGTGGTGCCACAACCACAGGAGAGAGCCAAGATTATGGGGAATGTGCACGCGAAGCTGGGGCACTTCGGCATAACCAGAACACGGCAGCTGCTGAGCACCATGTACTGGTGGGTGAGCATGGGAAAGGATGTGGCAGGATTAGTGGCGAGCTGCGAGGCATGTCAGAGGAATAAAGCAAGGCTAGAGAAAGAGAGAGATGAGCTGCATTCTTTACCAATTCGCGGGTTGGGCTACAGGTGGTCGTTGGACCTCGCGGGAGAGCTGCCACTATCGAAAGGAGGGAAGCAGTACATTCTGGTGATGGTTGAGCACACAAGTAAATGGGTGGAGGCGCGAGCGTTACCAAGCAAGAACAGCGCACTGATAGCTGACGCTTTTGAGGAGCTGGTGCTCACCAGGTATGGGGCATGCGGGGAGGTACTCACTGATCAAGGGACGGAATTTCAAGGGAGCTTCGACGAGCTGCTGGAAGAGATGGGTATCACGCACAGGGTCACCTCTAGGTACCATCCTCAATCAGACGGACTGACCGAGAGGCTCATACAGACCTTGAAGAGAGGACTACGGGCCTACAGTGAGTCCCACAAAAGGAGTTGGGACCGAGATCTCTGGTGGGTGCTGGCGGGGTACCGGTTCGCAAAGCAGGCGGCTCTGAGAAACCTATCCCCATACCACTTACTGTTCGGGCGGGATCCTGTGCTGCCGGTCGATGCTCCGAAGCTGCTTTCTGCGGTTATAGAGGCAGATGAGCCAAACATGTGGGCGGAGTTAGCCCAGAGGAGAGCAAAGTATTTGAAGGAGCTGACTCCGGCAGCTCTGGATAACCTCCATGTGGCGCAGCTGCGTGACGCAAGACGATACCAGCAGCGTAAAGCATCAGGGATAGGGGGAAAGGGTGATAAGGTGGAGGCAGGGCAGGAGGTATACCTTCGCAAAGCTAAGCGCGACACGCTGGACTTAGCGGTGGGATCGGAGCGATGGAAGGTGAAAGAGATACGAGGCTCGGGAGTGTTAGTGCTGGAAGATATTCGAGAGGGAATCATCAAGGAACACATCACCAACGTGGCCAGGGCGGGACAAGGGAAGCCTCAGGCAGTGGGTCCCGTGACTCAAGCGGCAAAGATGGGCGCTGAGACACGGGAGGGGGCAGGGAAGCCTGAGGTACCAGGAGGAGTGCAAGACAGAGTGATTACATACGCCAGGAGGAAGAAGGGATGAACCTGATCAGCAGTACGGGTGGCAGGGAAGGAAGGAGGGAAGGAGAAGTCAGCAGGATACACAGGGGAGAAAGGGAATGAGGGTGGACAGAGGAAGATTCACGACAGCTGTCGCGTTATTAACACTTAGCTGGCAACTAAGTGTGAATATCACAGCAGCCAAGGTGAGGGTGTACTATAGTTTACCGCTTTTGTACTCTAATTTCATTTGTGTGCTTGGAGTGTATTGTACTGTACTGCAGAGCCGAGTAGCTGGGGAATTTGAGGTGGTTGGTGGGAGGCGAATTCAAGGAGGTTGGTGGAGACGAATTCAATTCCAGCCTGTGAATTCAATTTCGAAGTCACCAGGCTGGAAGGCGAATTCAATGCCAGCCTGGGATTGAATTCGAAGTCACCAGGCTGGAAGGCAGTGCATGCCTAGTGGGCCCAGTGGGAACACAGCTAGCACCTTGGAGACCTCGCGAGCAGCCCGGCTGACTCGCTTGGTGCACAGGAGCTTGCTTGTGGAGGAAGCAACCTAGGCAGGGGGTGGGAATAGATGTAGGCAAGAGTAGCACTCGGGCTTCTTGCTTTTTGCTTGTATGTTTCTCATTTGCTGCAATTTGTTTTCCTAATCCAGAGGGAACTAGCAGTAGGAGAAGCTATAAGCAATTTGACGGAGCCCCTGAGGGGGAGTGTTACGCTTGCTACATGGGAAGCCTGAGGTACCAGGAGGAGTGCAAGACAGAGTGATTACATACGCCAGGAGGAAGAAGGGATGAACCTGATCAGCAGTACGGGTGGCAGGGAAGGAAGGAGAGAAGGAGAAGTCAGCAGGATACACAGGGGAGAAAGGGAATGAGGGTGGACAGAGGAAGATTCACGACAGCTTACTATCACCACGGCAGGTGCAGATGGTATGGTGAAGGTGAGAAGCGATTATGGCTTGGTGAAAGGAAAGGTGAGCTTGGGGTCTTATGGCGTGTATGTGGTTCAGAAAGCGTTGATGGTTTGGGTCATTCCATTTCTATCAGTGATTCCACGGTGGTGAAGGCCTCTTGCTGCATCAGCCTTCTAAATAACTTCTTTCCCTTCCTCTCCTCTCCCCCATTCTCCCCTCCTAACGTCTTCCTCTGATCCTTTCTCCCTCAATCCGCCCTCCACCAATCAGGTCTTCTCAGTGGAGTCGCAGCAGCAGCTGAGGTCAGCGCGAGTTGGCAGCCTCCCATTGGCCAGCATGGCGCTGCTGCCGCCCCTTCCGTCCCACTGCTACCCAGTTGAGACTCCTCTCCCTTACTGTGCTTCCCTCCTTTTGCCCTTTGCAATGCGTAGGTAGGCTGTTATTCCTCTTACTCGCATGTCCCCATTCCCAGCCGTCTGAGAATTCAGGAGTTACCAACCTTCCCCATTATGCTCTGCTCTCCTCTCTCCCTGCGTATTCCTTCTTGAAAGAGCTTCTGGGTATGCTCTTCCCGTGGAAATCGCTTTCGAGAATGCTCTTTTGAGAATTCTCAAAAGCGATCTCTCCCTGCGTATTCTTTTTCAACGTGCTTCTGGGTATGCTCTTCCCGTCTGGCCTCCCCAATGTCACCCCGTGCCTCTCCTTCTCAGAATCCCAGCCACGCCTCATGTCATGTCATGTCATGTCATGTCCCACGTCATCCCACGCCTCATGTCATGTCATGTCATGTCATGTCCCACGTCATCCCACGCCTCATGTCATGTCATGTCATGTCATGTCCCACGTCATCCCACGCCTCTCCTCTCCCCATGCTGCTTCACCAAGAGCATATCTCTCCTCCTCAGCTCCTCTCGTCACTGCCAGTGCCTCCTGCTATCATCATCCAGCCCTCCCTCTCCTGTCTTCTCAATCCATGCCTTCCCCTGTTCTTCCCCCTCTCGTTCGGATGCCTGCCGCCCTGATCGAACCACTTTTCTTCTGCCTGTGTGATTCACCACTGCTCCACTTCTCCACACCCGGCCTCTCTCACAACCACCAGTCAGTGCTGCTGGGCTCATCAGATGATTATGTGTGGCTCTACTCGCCTGACTTCGGTCGATGCCTCTCCAAGGTACGCCATGCCGCTGTGTGCCATGCCCTTAACAATAACAATAACAATAACAATAACAATAACAATAACAATAACAATAACAATAATAATAATAACAATAATAGTAATAATAATAATAATAATAGTAATAAAAATAGAAAAAGCTTTTGTCTCACTTCCACTCTTTGAAAGCTCCCCTTTCCCTGTCTCCCGGACCTTTGCCTCCCACCCCGTCCCTCCTATCCCTTCCATTCCTCCTTCCCGCCTGCTCTCCCCACCCCCTTGCCTCCCGCCTCCTGCCTCTGCATGTGTGCCACCAAATGCACACCATGATGACAAACACCAAATGCACACCATGATGACTAACACCAAATGCACACCGCTTTCCTCACTCATTGTGTCATATGTGCCCGTCAGCGAAACAAACATAACCCCTTGTCGCTTCCTCACGTCCACCACCTCCTTTCCCGTCCCTACGTTCCCTCCTTTCCTCCTGCCCCACTGCTCCCTGCCTGCCCGCCTGTGTGCCATCACCAGATGCATGCACACGACGACACGGTGTCATGCATTCAGGTCAGCCAGTGGGGCGCTGACACGTGTCTGTTCACAGCATCATGGGACGGCAGTGTGAAGCAGTGGAGCATGGCCCACTCGCCCTTCCTCTCCGCCTCGCCCTTCGCCTCCTTCTCCTCCTCCTCGCCCCACTCCCATGGCGGCTCAGACACATTAGGTGAGGCTATGCAATATATGTGCGCCAATTCGCTCCACCTTGCCTCCTCCTCCTCCTCCTCCTCCTCCTCCTCCTCCTCCTCCTCCTCCTCCTCCTCCTCCTCCTCCTCCTCCTCCTCCTCCTCCTCCTCCTCTCCTCCTCCTCCTCCTCCTTCTCCTCCTCCTCCTCCTCCTCCTCCTCCTCCTCCTCCTCCTCCTCCTCCTCCTCCTCCTCCTCCTCCTCCTCCTCCTCCTCCTCCTCCTCCTCCTCCTCCTCCTCCTCCTCCTCCTCCTCCCCCACTCCTATGCTAGCTCAGGCACATCAAGTGAGGCTTTGCAGTGAAGCAGTGGAGCATGGCATGGCCCACTCGCCCTTCCTCTCCGCCGCGCCCTTCTCCTCCTTCTTCTCCTCCTCCTCCCCCCACTCCTATTCTGGCTCCGACACTTCAGGTCGGTCCATACCGCTACGTCTCCCCACGATTCCACCCGTCTGTGATGGAGCTTCATCAGATGAGGTTACTCTTGAGTCGACTCGACTTTTGAGTCGACTCAAAATTCACTACCTCTCCCCACGATTCCACCTCTCCGTGTTGGAGCTCCATCAGATGACCAATTCACGCCTAAATCGCTACCCATTCCTTTGTATTCCCTTCTCTGTCTCCCTCATTGCACCTTCCGTACACCTTCATCCTCCTTCCCATCATCTACTCCCCACCAGTCCACCCTCCTCCTCTAGCGGAGCTCAATCAGCATGACGCACCTATCACATCGCTCCAAGTGGCCATCCCTGCCACGTCAGCATGGCCCCTTGCTGCCTCAGGGTCAGCCAATGGTAAGAGACTGACAGCTCAGCGACAAAACAAATCTAAGTGATGGCAAACGCATTCGGGGTTGTAAGCGCTTGCATTGAAACATGGAATGCGTTCGCCATCACTTTTGCAGCCTCAAAGGGTATTCAGTCACTGAGGTCGTTTTTGAGGCGCCTCAAAAACAGCCTCGAAGGGTATTCAGTCACTCATGGGCAAATGTTATCTGACCCTAACCTGTGCTCATGGGCAAATGTTATCTGACCCTAACCTGTGCTCATGGGCAAATGTTATCTGACCCTAATCTGTGCTCATGGGCAAATGTTATCTGACCCTAACTTGGATTTATGGGCAAATGTGAACTTGTGCTCTCAAACTCCTCCTTAAAACGCTTACTTCAGCAGTGTCTATGTCCTCATCTGCGTGCCATGGTGATTCGATTTCATTCAAGTGTGTGAGATTCAACAACTTGCTTTCGTCTTCACCACCACGCTTTCCCTCCTGTGGAATCCCCCTCCTGTATTTCCGTCCCACTCTCTCTGTCCAACAACCCTTCATTTCCAAGTACTTAATGAGTCGATTTGTAATAGCTTACAAGTTAACTCCGGTATCTCAACTCCATCCACTCACTCTCCCTCGTACCCCCTGACAACCCCCCCCTCCCGTCTCCTTGTTCCCTGAACCTATCTTTGACCCCCCATCAGTCCCTCATCCACACAATCTCCCGCCCCCCTCCACCTCTCTCCTCTCCAGGTGCTGTGCTGCTGTGGGACATGCGTGCGCCCCCCTCGGCATCTGTCCCTTGGAGCTGCCGCCTCTCCCCTCTCACCAACACCACCGCCCCCACGTCGCCACTAGCAGTGACAGGGCTGGTGTTCTCGTATGGGGGACTGCACGTCACTGCTGCCGACTCCACGGGGGGGCTCAGAGTGCTGGAGGTGAGGCTTTAAGGGCTTTAAGTCTCAGAGTGATAGGGCTAAATGTTCTTAAAGCCCCTCAGAGTGACAGGGCTAATGTTCTTTAAGTAATAGCGCTTCTCCTCACGGATGTTGACTCCACAGGGAGTCTCACAGTACTGGAAGGGCTTTAAGGGCCGGTCGTTTCTTACGGGGAAAATGCACTGTGCCACTGCTGCACCCCACCCACCCCATCATGCTTACAAACGCAGTAAGCTTATCCTCTACTCATCCCATCCTCCCCCCTCCGCCTCTGCCATCTGGCTCTCAGATGCGCATGGGCGGTGCTGAGCTGGCATCTCAGCACTGTCCAGGTGGCGGCCTCACGTGCTGCCAGCCTCTCGGCGATCAGTCTGTCCTCGCTGGCAGGTGAGGAGAGGAGGAAGTAGGAGTAAGCAGCACTTACTGTAGACGTCCGGCCCTCTTTCCTCATTTTCCCTCCAACGCTCTTTGAGCACTCCTTGTTTTTTCGAGGCACCTCGGAAAGGGCCTTCTTGCCTCGTTGTCTCTGCAACGCTCCTTTGAGCACTCTTCCGTTTCCACACCTTCCCCTTCCCCTGCCTTCCTCTCTTCAGTGATTCGGGCGACATTGTTGCATGGGCGTGGGCATCTGAGCTTGAGCTACTTCACCCTCATCTTAATGGTGCCATGCGCCAGGGTGCAAGGAACTATGGAGGCCTCTCCGGGAGCGCAGCAGGGCAGCAGCATGGTGTACAGTCTTCGTCAAAGAAAGCGCAGGGCTTGAGTTTCTTTTCTGTGCCGATTAGCTCGTCTGGTGTGTCCTCCCTTGTTTCTGCTAGTGGTGTGAAGAACTCGAGGGTGATGGTCGTGGGTTGTGAAGAGGGTTCCGCAGGCGTGGTATTATGATATGCCATGAAAGCAGAGGCATACGGTATTGCTGTACATATTGTCTCTACCATTCTACAGATTCCTATAAGGATTCAAAAGGTTAGTCCTGACTCCTTCCTGAGCCTAGTTGGGGCATTCTTTAGGTGGGGAGCATTTTGGTAAGGGTGTATCAATCTGAGGCCAATTTCTAGAACATCACAACAAACATGGACGTTTTGACCTTGACTAATTCAACCGTATTACACCGTATTACTAAGTCCCGCACCTCGCTCCCGTTTGCCCCTGGCTCCGTGGTGGTTTTTGAGCTGGTCCGCCAGGTCTGTGTCGGACCCACATGGACGTGTCTCAAATGAGCGAGTTCACGAACCGAAAAGGACCCGACGGACCAGCTCGCAAACCGTTGCGTGAACCAGTGGTGTACGGGACCAGTAAGGGTATTACACCCCTATTGTAGCGTTCGATCTAAAAAAACGGCGTGACTGACTTGGTCTGCACGCCAGACCGCGATTTGTCCGTAGATAAGACCAACCAGCTCACCTTTCTCGAGCTCAACATCAACGGGCTCGGCGGCAGCGGAAAACAAGAGAGATGTGTCAGGTGGTTAAGGAAGGCAGCGAACATGGCGGTCCTTACAGACACCAGGATCCCGGCAGACCATAATTTCTGGACGCAAGTTAGATCAGAAGCTCAAGCAGTGGTGGCGCCGTCGCAGAGGGCTGGAGGATTAGCTGTCTTGGGCTTCCTGCAAGGGATGAGGTTCACAGAGGTAGTTCGTCATGAGTCAGGCAGGCTTATGAGTCTCATGGTGAAGTGGCGGGACCTAAGCTGCAGAATAGTAGCGGTATACTTACCGGCACAAGCTTCTGCAAGGGGGGTGTTTTTCCGCGATGTACTGACCCCTTTCGTACAGAGCCTTGGCGCATCGCCTCATACGATCCTTCTTGGGGACCTCAACATCGTGGCTGATCCGGAGTTGGATAAATCGTCGAAGCTTGGCACTCCGACGGAAAACCAGCGATTCCTGCAGATCTGCTCGAGATGGGACTTGCAAGATGCTTTCCGCTACCTGCACCCAAGCCGCAAAGAATACACTTTCTTTTCCAGATCTGCAAGGACGAGTACACGGATTGACAGGGTCTTAGTTTCTCACTCGCTACTCAGCTACGTAACAGAGGCGAAACACAAGATGGTGCCTTATGGCCTCACCGACCACTGGTTTGCGGTGTCAGTCACACTTAAGTTGGCGTCGGCAGGGGATCATGGGCCTGGTCGCTTCAGGCGTCGCAGGCGGGCGGAGAAGGAACTCATAATATCATAGCAGCGGTGCTGGAAGCACAGGCAGACCAGCCGACTCAGAGCTTGGAGAGACTTATGTTGCATCTGCGGGCAAGCATGAGAGCACACGTAGCGGAGGAAAGGAAACGGGTGAATGCGACCATGCTACATCTGGAACAGAAAGTGGAATCCCTACGGTGGAGGGTGATGACAGACCCATCGGCACAAGACGCGTACGAAGAGCTGGTAAAGAGTGAAGCGGCCCTAAAACTTTACCATGATGTTAACAAGGAGCGGCTCCAAGTAATGACAGGGATGCTGGCGGAGCTGGCGGGGGAGACACCATCGGCCTTCCTTTCGGGCCTGGTCAAATCGAGAAAAGCGAAGACAGAGATCAGCGAGCTTTTGTTTAAAGGCACACGTCTGAAAGGGACAAAGGAGGTGTTGCGGGCGGCTTCTGAGCATTTCCGAGAGGCATACACACGTTCACCGGCTGGGATCACCAAGGAGCCGTGGCCGATCGATGAAAGGCGGAGACTACAAGAGGCAGACCGGGAGCTGTTGGGGAGAGAATGGTCGGAGCAGGAGGTGAAGCTGGCGCTCAAGGGGCTCCCAGTGGGTAAAGCCCCCGGTCAAGATGGGCTGCCGAAGGAGTTTTTTGAGCGCAATTGGGACCTCCTCGGGCCAGCTGTGATGAGGGAGGTCAAAGAGTTCGAAAAGACGGCGCGGCTATCCGAAGCTTTCCTGACAGCAGTTACGATCCTGTTGCACAAAAAGGGGGACAGAGACAACTTAAGCAACTACAGACCAATCACTCTACTGTGTTTTTTCTACAAGTTGGTGGCGAAAGTGTTGGCAAACAGGATCAAGACGGTCTTACCGAAGGTGATATCGGAAAATCAGTTCGGCTTCCTCCCGGGGAGAAGCCTAGCTGACGCGGTCTCTCTTGTAGCTGACACGATTGATGCTGCGGTGGAGGAGGATGAGGACTGGCTGCTGCTTCTGGTCGACTTCCAGAAGGCATATGACTCGGTGTCGCGGGAATACCTGTTCAAGACACTCGAGAACATGGGCTTCCCACCAGGATACTCGGGATGGGTGAAGGGTCTTCATGATGGCGCTGCCACTAGGATGTTGCTAAACGGCTGGGTGGGGGACAAGGTGGAAATGGACAAGGGCGTTCGGCAGGGCTGCCCTCTCGCCCCTTATCTCTTCCTCTGCGCCGTAGAGCCACTCTGTCAGGAAATCGAGAGGAGAAAACTGGGATTCAGGAAGAGGGGGGTCAAAGGAGAGCTGGCCTACATCGGCTATGCAGACGACACGACCCTGGTCCTGAGAGGGAATGAACAGGTGGTATCGGCAAAGAAGCTGTTAGATGATTTCGCGGAGATATCGGGGCTGAAGGTGAATCAGGAGAAAACATCGCTGATGCCGCTGGGGAAAAACAGGAGGAGGTTGCAGCCGCTGGTTTCACCCTTCACCAGGGTAGACAAGGACAGAGCGGAGAGGCTGTTAGGGATCTGGATTACATCTGGTGGGTCGCCGGAACCAGCTTGGGACAAGGCTTTCGAGAGTGTAAGCGCGGTGCTGAGTTGCTGGGAAACAAAGCACCTCAAGACGTCTGCACGTGTCACCATTATCAACAGCTACGCGATGCCGATCCTGCTGTTTCAGGCCCAAATATACGCTCCGCCACACGAAGTCTGGACGAAGGTGAAACGACTCTGCCACAACTTCATCTCCGGGGGCAAAGCACTGTTGGACAGACATTTCATCCTTTGGAGCTATGACCTGTCATGCCGGGAAAGGAAAGAAGGTGGCCCGGGGGTGATCGATCTGAAGCATAGAATAGACAGCAGCGTGATCCAGAATCTGGGGAAGGCCCTGGTGGAGCAAGAACCGTTGAGAGTCTGGTTGTGGGAGAGGGCGGCAGGTTTCCCGCTCGGCCTGGCGACGGTCTACGCACACCCCTCAATTCTGAACCACTGGTTGGGAGGAGGGACAAGATGGAAGGCAGCTGTTAAAGCCCTCTGGGACTCAAAGATCTTGACCATGGGCGACCCCGTGCACAGATGGGATGCGGAGGAGGAGCAACTGCTATTCAACCGGAAAATATTTTTCAGAGGACGGTCGCCCTTCGGAAATCAGGCGGGCTCGCACTGCTTGAAGGGTGTTCGCTTGGGGGACTTGCTGAAGAAAAACCGTGACGGCAGCAGAACTGTCAAGTGTGACGCCACTCTGAAACAGGAGCTGGGGGGAATCGACCAACGAAAGTGGAAAGCGTGGGAGGCAACGCCGCAGAGCTGGAAAGACATGCTACTCACTCAGCTGACTGCAGAGGAGGTTTTCAGGGAGTCACGGCTGGTGCGAATACCGTCGTACAGGCCGAGGGAGTTTTTCTACTACACACTAGAGTACACGGTCAACGGCGTGCTATATGGAAAGCGGGCGGAAGTTGACAAGAAGGGTCACATATCAGCGTTAGAGTACGCCAGTGTGGTATCGGTCGACCATTTGAGAGCCACACCTATGGCGGTCATAGAGGGGAGGTTGCGTGGCTTACTAGGAGACCCGAGGTCACGACTGCTGCACTCGCCAATCTGCGATAAGGGGGAACGAGCTGAACTAAGACAACTGCGAAGGGCAATGAGGCCTCCACCTGCTCAGCCCAAACAACAACTGCAGTGGGAGGAAAGGAGGGGGAGAAAGATTGACTGGAGGAGAGCCATCAAGATTCGTGACTCACTTGCGACCCCAGCCAGGGCACGGGAAGTGGTGCTGAGAGTGCACAGCAACAACCTGCAGGTAGGGGAGAGGCTTCCGTTCCTGGGCGCGAGGGCACGCTGTGTTCATTGCGGGGAGGTGGAGTCACAAGACCATTGCCTTTTCAGCTGCCCCACGATACAACCAGTGGTGGGGGTGATGAAGAGGGCAGTACGATGTATGAACCCGGGCAGGTGCATGGAGAACCTCGGAGACATGATGTTCCAGAAAAGCAGCACGTCGACGGGTTTTCCGGAGGCGGCTTTCATCTCGATCACAGCACACCAAGTCTGGCTAGAGAGGTGTAACGCGGTTTTCAGGGGCAGTCGGTTCCAGCCAAAAAGGGCACTGCGGCGCATAGCGGTGAACTTCGCAAGACACGCGAAGATCTACAGCCGGGCTCGGAAAAGGGTGGCTGGTAAGAGGACTCCGGAAAAGTCAAGTGACTGGAGCCATTTGGCAGCTGACGAGGCGGATGTCATGCGCAAATTGTACTAATGCGAAACTTCGATGACGTGGAAGGTAGGCTTCAAGGCAGTTTGGGAAGATGGTGGGGTGGCTTTCCAACCTCCGTAGAGATGAAGAGGGGGGAAATGTTTCTCGAATCATTTAGCCCTCCTAGAAACAGTTACGACTGCGGATGTATGGATGCACGTTGTATACTTATATCCACCAAAAAAAAAAAAACGATTTGTCCGTAAACAGTAGTGGCTAGCGAAACCTTTTCGTGATATTGCATTTAGCACGGGTACTGTAACTCGATTTTTTCGAGTGCGCAAGGACATGGACAAACCGAAACGCGACAGATTCTTGCCCATGGCTGGTTCACTGCTGGTCCGCAAAATGGTTTCGTCCGACCAGCATGTCGGACCAAGGCTTAAAACATTTGTACCGGACCATGTCACATATGTTCTTATGCTTGTGCATGCAGGACAAACATAGATGCTCCGTCAGATTCTTATTGGTAGCTATAAAAAGCCTGCTCTCTGGCGAGAGATCTTCAGGGCCCGCAGAGAATTCTCAGCAGACGTTTTTCGATTCCTTCATTCGATACTCGCACGAAGTTGATTTGATTGTTCATCTTCGTGCAAATGGGGAACTCAGCGTCCAGAGAATCGCCGCTATACCAGCGCCTGAGGGAAGAAGCAAGGGCCAATGCCGAAACTGCTCGAGAGTTAAAAGAGGAATCGCGGGTCGCTTATAAGCGAGGGCAACGCGCTCTTGCGAAGGAGCTGCTTGACGAAAGGAAGTATTACAAGGAACTCTCGGAACGATGTGATCGGGAGGCGAGCAGGCTGATTTATGCTAAACGCAACAACGGCAGACACCTTCGGTCTGCCACAATCGACGTGCGCGGATTACTCGTCCATGAAGCGTTGGAGCGGGTCGCGGATCGCCTCTACGCAGCAAGGGCAAGGAACGAAGAGGATTTTTGGGTTATAACGGGGCGCAGGCTGAGGCCTGCGGTGATGGCGTGGGCTGCGCGAAAAAAGCTGGAGTGCGTTGTTGACCTTCATTCCGAGAATGAAGGTGGTTGTGTGAGAATAATTCGTCACACAAACGAGGATTGCTGCATGCTTTGAGCGATTTTCTTGGCCAAAAGTGCATGCAGCAGTGTTCTTGCAAATGTCCAAAAAAAAGAACAAGCATATCTGGTTCACTGCTAGTCCGCCAATGGGTCCGTCGGACCAGCAAGCCGGACAAATGGGTCCGGCAGACACCCTCGGTCTGCCACAATCGACGTGCGCGGGTTACTCGTCCATGAAGCGTTGGAGTGGGTCGCGGATCGCTTCTTAGCAGCGAGGGTAAGGGACGAAGTGCGATTTTGGGTTATAGCGGGAAGCGGGACGTGCGGTGGTGGGAGGGCCGGGGTGAGGACTGCGGTGATGGCGTGGGCTCCGCGACAAAATCTGGAGTGCGTTGTTAAGTACAGGGATGAAGATAATGTGACAATAAGGGTGTCTGCTCGTCGCACAAACGAGGATAGCTGTTGCATCTCTTGAGCGATTTTCCTTGGTCAGCACTGCATGCCGCAGTCTTCCTGCAAATGCCCCAATAGAAGCATTGGCGTGCACAAGCTATTTCAATTAGCATGCCCCATTCCCTCTAGAGGCCCCTAGAGATAATATGTATATTTTCTTTTGTTCCTTTTTTAAAGGTTTTACAATAGGATTGCTCGCGTCCCAAGTTGCGAGGCCCGCAGGTCAGTCCACACGCCAGGTCAGTCCACACACACCAGGTCAGTCCACACACGCCAGGTCAGTCCACACACACCAGGTCAGTCCACACACGCCAGGTCAGTCCACACACGCCAGGTCAGTCCACACACGCCAGGTCAGTCCACACACACCAGGTCAGCCCACACACACCAGGTCAGCCCACACACACCAAAGCCCCTCCGCCTCCTTTCCTCTCCTCTTCTCCTCATTCCCACAGGGTCTCGCACATTAGGTGAGGCTATGCTATGAGCCTTGCCTCTTCCTCCTCGTTGACCCACTCCTATTCTGGCTCCGACACATCAGGTCAGGTCAGCCCATCCACTCCGCACTTATGCGCCTTCTCCTTCTCCTCCTCCCCTCCCCACCCCGCATTCTTATGGTGCCTCAGACAGAACAGGTGTGTGAGTGAGTGATACTGTGCAATCTATGCACAGCGCACTCCCTTAACCTTCCTCTCTACGAGCAGATCTCATCTTAGCATGGTACGCTCGCTACTTCTCTTCTTTACTCTGCTCCTCCTCTCCCTCTTCCCCCTATTTGTATTTCAAAAATTTCACTGAATCTCCCAACCTGTCCATCTCCTTGTGATGGAGCTCCATCAGACGACCAAATCACACCCTAAACCTCCAACCCGCTTCTTTGTCTTCCCCCCCTCCACCCCCCTCCCTCCCTCATTGCACCTCCATTTTTTCTGTCCTCCTTCCCCCTTCGTTCCATACTCCTTCCCCTCTCCTTCCGTTCCGTCCGCCTTCCCATCATCTCTCCTCACCAGTCCACCCTCCTCCTCCAGCGGAGTCTAATCAGCACCGCGCGCGAAGCACATCGCTCCAAGTGGCCATCCCTGCCACGTCAGCGTGGCCCCTTGCTGCCTTGGGGTCAGCCAATGGTGAGAGAACGACAGCTCAGCACGGGATACGGCTGTGTTGCCCTATCGTATGCCTCTTCGACTCTCGTGAAACACCTTCATTAATATACATATGTCGCTTACTCTCGTGTTCTCCCGGCACATTCTGAAACAGATGGAACACGAAACACTTCATAAACCACCTGCTACCTCTCTCTCTACGTCCCACTGCCTCTATCCGTGGGAACTATGTCCTTTTGAGGCGCCTCAAGGGTCATCCTTAGTCCCTCTCTCACCATTGCTGTTCCCTCTCATCTGGCCCCCCCCCTCCAGGCTCAGTTCTACTGTGGGACATGCGAGCGCCTCCCATTGCCTCTGTCCCGTGGAGGTGCCGCATCTCCCCTCTCACCACAACCCCCAATATTATTCACTCTCTCACTGCTCCCACACATCCCTCCCCTCCCTTCCAGGCGCTGTGCTGCGGTGGGACAGGCGAGCGCCCTCTTCTGCCTACATCTCCCCCATCTCATCAATCACTCTCCCACCTTTCCTCCCCCACACATCCCTCCCCTCCCCCAGGCGCTGTGCTGCTGTGGGACAAGCGAGCGCCCTCCGCGGCCTGTGTCCCCTGGAGGAGCCACCTCTCCCCTCTCACCAACACCACCATAGTAAAACCCTCTCTCACTTCTCCTCCCGCACGCCCCCCTCCCCTTTCCAGGCGCTGTGCTGCTGTGGGACATGCGTGCGCCCCTTCTTCCTCTGTCCCCTCTAAGTGCCGCCCCCCGGCTCTTACCACCACCGCCCCCACGTCGCCACTAGCAGTGACAGGGTTCTCATAAGGGGGGGCTGCCCATCACTGCTGCCGACTCCACGGGGGGGCTCAGAGTGACAGAAGTGACGGGTGGCGGCCTCACGTGCTGCCAGCCTCTCGAGGACCAGTCCATCGTTGCGGGCAGTTGAGGAGAGGACGCTGGCAGTTGAGGGAAGGGTAAAGAAAAATCAGTTCTCATGTCTATAAGTGTCAGGCTTGTAATCCCTCAGTCCTTTGTTCTCAGTGCTGCCAGTCTATCGTCGCTGGCAGGTGTGGGACGAGTGAAGTGGGAGAGGAGGAAGTAGGACCAAGCAGCACTCTTGTATGAAAAATAAGGTCTCATTCTCATCGTTTGCATCTTATCATACGCTCTACTGTCTGCTGGAGCTGCCAACAACCTATCACACAGATGCAAATAAAGGCTGGTCACATGCAAGTTCTAGCCTTCACTCACACAGGTTTCGAGCGATTTGCCACATTCTCTTCTCTCCTCCCTCATCGAGCAATGGAGCCACTCTTCCCTCTTGCGTCATTGTCCCTCCAACGCTCCTTTAAGCCTCCTTTGTTTCTTCCCCTTCCCCTGCCTTCCTTCTTTCAGTGATTAGGTCGACGTTATTGCATGGGCGTGGGCGTCTGAGCTTGAGTCTCTTGAGACCTTCACTCCAATGCTCCTTCAAGTGTTTCTCTGTTTTCCCACCTTCCCCTTTCCCTGCCTTCCGCCCTTCAGTGATTCGGGCGACATCATTGCGTAGGCATGGGCATCTGAGCTGGAACAACTTGGCTCTCATTTTAACCAATGGAGCCATGCGGCAGGGTGCAAGAGTTTTTAATGGCCTTTCCGGGAGTGTAGCAGCAAAGCAGCACGGTGTACAGTCTTCATCAGAGAGAGCTCAAGGCTTGAGTTTTCTTTCTGTGCCGATTAGTTCGTCTGGTGTGTCCTCCCTTGTTTCTGCAAGTGGTGTGAAGAACTTGAAGGTGATGGTCGTGGGTTGTGTTGAGGGTTCTGCAAGCTTGGTTATATAATCTGATAGGAATTGCGCTCAAAAGCATATTGTTCATATTTACTTTGCCATCCTGTATAAATTGCTAGTGTACCTACCTACCACGGTTTAATAGCTGATATGATTTTGTAAAGGCGGGTTCCAGGCCCTCAGATATCAGGAAAAAAACCCTGAAATTCCTGATTTTCATGGTAATTTTTTGTACCTACCGTACCCTGATTTTTCAGTGTTCGGATTTTAGAGAGACTGATATTTCAGCCTTTTTTTCTGAGGGGACTGATTCTTCAGCCTTTTATCGAAGTGTACACTGAATGCACATTCCGAATCCCTGCTGTAAGGCCCTGTTCGGTAGGCATTAAAAAAAGGGCCTCGGCGGATGGGCTACAGTAAACCGATCACCCTAGAACCTTCTTTGATAAGCGCGCGAAGGGTTATCTTGGCTCGATATAAGCGGATCATCGCCGAGCCAGACAATAATGGAATGCCTCCCGAACACTCTATTTTTTGCAGGCGTTTTCAACTGCCCGAACCTTCCACGAACCCAGTTTCTCTGGCAAAGTGCCCATTTTCTGATCTGCCGCACCATGCGGCTTCGAGGCCCCGCACCATGCCGGGTATCAGTGATTCGGGGCCATCAAAAGTGACTGGTCAAATATGCCAGCCAATCACATGAGGACGCGATCCATCAAGGCAACTTTCGAACACCTTCTGCGAAACCCGGAATCTCGATTGATGCCATCAATCTACACCCAATTAATGCCAACCGAACACTCATACCGTATTTGAGAAAACTGAAACGAGAAATGATGCACTAAAGAATGGAGTGTGGTACAAAATATGCAACCCTAGAAATGTGTACCCCATATGGGCTACCCCACTACAGCCTACAGAACATTATCATTTGACACACCCCCATAGGCAAAGTGGGGGAGAACAAGGGGTCACAAGACCAGTCAAGCAGATCAAAGCAAAGCTTAGGGTGGATCACAAAGTCACCACACATTCCGAGCACAAGTTCAAGGCCAGAAGGCCAGTTCACATGCAGGAGCACATATATATATATATATATATAAGGCTAAACAAGCAAGAGCAGGAATATATATATGTGACAGTACAAGCAAGGTCAAGAAGTGAGCAAGTGAGGCAAGGCAGGCACAAGACCAAGCTGAGTACAGAAGCGCTGATGATCACAAGGCGCAAGTGCCTTAGTGAAGATATCAGCAGTGTTGGCCTCAGAGGCCACGTATGCAAGTCGCAACTGACCACGCTGCTGCAGCTCACGAGCAAGAAAGTAGCGGAGAGCAATGTGCTTCGTTCTGTGCTCCAGGCGCTGCTCCCGACACAAGGCCAGCATGGCCTTGTTGTCTACGTACAGCACTGGAGGAGAACGAGGCGGCTCTCCGAGGTCAGTTAGTAGGTAGGTGAGCCAGCGAAGCTCCTGAGCAGCCATGGCTCCTGCGTAGATCTCAGCCTCACAACTGGAGCCGAGAACGGAAGACAAGCGAGTAGCCCTCCACGAAACAGAGCAGGAACCAAGGCTGAAGGTGTAACCCTGTGACGACCGCTGAGTAGCCTGGTCGTCAGCCCAAGAAGCATCTGCGTGCCCAGTGAGGACCACTGGACTCTGCCCTCCAAGCACAAGCCCCATGCCCGACGTACTACACAAGTAGCGCAACACCCTCTTCGCTGCACCCATGTGCTCCGGTCTGTGTCTCCCAGGAGCAACATAGCGTGCAAGAATGCTAAGAGGGTATGCAAGGTCAGGTCGTGTGCAGGTCATCAGGTACATAAGGCAGCCAACAAGCTCTGGGTACGGGCCACTCGACTCTACGGACTCATCCGAAGGCAGAGCTGAGAGCGAGTGGCGAGTAGGCAGAGGAGTGGCCTGAGGCGAGGAGTACGTGAAGCCGAAGCGCTGAAGGACCTGCTGCACCATGTGTGACTGAGTCAGGGTAATGGTGCGGCGTGCTCTGTCCCGGGTGATCTGCAAGCCAAAGTAGCTGCGCAGTTCACCCAGGTCTGTGCACGTGTGTCTCTTCTGCAGCTTGGACTTCATGTGGGCGAGTCCAGCAGTGTCAGCAGTGGCAAAGACCAAGTCGTCGACGTACACGAGGATGTAGAACGGCGGCAAAGAGGTGTCGGTGCGCAGAAACAGCGACGGGTCGGCAGTAGAGGGAGCAAACCCAAGAGCCGCAAGCGTAGTCCTCAGTGTGTCGTGCCACTCACGCGGTGCCTGGCGGAGACCGTAGACTGGCTGCCGGAGGCTCCACTGGGTGCCAGGAGGAAAAGTCCCAGTGAAGCCAGGTGGGCGGCGCAGCCAGATCTCCTCGTGCAGGCTACCTTGCAAGAAAGCTGTGCTGAAGTCAAGAGAGTGAAGCTCGTAGTCGCGCTGAGCGGCTATGTGCAGCAGCACCCGAAGAGTGGTCATCTTCGGGGTGGGAGAGAAGGTCTGAAAGTAGTCAACTCCCTGCCGCTGACTGAAGCCACGAGCCACGTAACGCGCCTTGAAGACAGGTGGAGAACCTGGCGGCTGCTTCACCCTGAAGATCCACATGCCACTGACGATGTTCGCCCCAGGTGGGGGAACCGCGTCAACGTAGGTGCCTGTGGACTTCCAGGAAGCCATCTCTGCATCCATAGCTGCCTGCCACTGAGAGGAGTAGGGACCTTATACGGCCTCCGCGTAAGAGCGCGGAGTCGGGATCTCAAGTGCATCCGGGTCTCCCTCAGGGGTAAGCAGTACGGACACGAGATGAGGTGAAGCAGCAGCCAGACACTGGAACTCCTCCTGCGTGTCCTCAAGGACGTCCGTGCCAAGGGCACAGTCACCCCCGACGAACGGAGGACAGTCAGACTCAGACTCAGCGACAAGACTAGCACCGTAGTCTAGACGACAGCGAGCAGCAAAGTCGACGAGCTCAGCAGCTAGGGCAGACGCAGCAGTGGACTCAAAGGAAGGGTCAGTGACGACAGTAGCAAGGAGACGCGTGATAGTAGGACTGGCAGCACGAAGAGAGCCCGACTCCGGGTCGGCAAGAGCAGGAAGAGAAGACTCAGGAGGAGAAGGCAAAGGGGCATGCAGAGGAGCAGTGGACGGACGCAGAGACATCCCGTGCGTGCCAGGGACAGGAGGAGGACGCTGACGCGAACCGCGACCACTAGTGCGAGCAGCACGGACAGGCAACGCACGGCAAGACGCAGGCTCACGACGCTCAGCAAGACCTCCAGTAGGACCAGTGTAGGGAGACGGAGCAGGTAGTGGACACTCTAAGTGAGGAGGAGGACTAGTAGAGGGCGGGAGACCAAGAACCTGCTGAAGAAGCGGAACGAAGTACGGCCGAGGCCGCGCGGCGACTCTAGACACAGCAGGGACAGCACTAGCACCCCCAGCGGCAGCACCAGCGCCAACAGCACCTCCAGCTGCAGTACCTCCAGCAGCACCAGCAGCACGCGCAGGAAGACCGCCGCCAGGACTGACAGCAGTAGCCTCAGCGCCAACACCCTCAGTAGCTCCAGCTCCAGTCGTACCCGCAGGCTTAGCAGCTCCAGCACTCCTAGTACGAGCACCTCCGAGACCGGCGGCACCAGCACCCTCAGCAGCCGAAGAAGCTCCAGCTCCAGCAGCTCGCCTCCAGCGCCGGGCAAACCACTCGCGCAGCTCCTGTGAAGAGAGTGGCTCCCGCCGAGACGAAGCACCCGGAGGACCTCCAGGCCCAGCACCGCCAGACGCCACACGAGAAGGCCCAGCGGCCCCAGGCTCCGCACCCCCAAGCTCAGCAGCTCCAGACGTGGCACCCCCAGGCTCAGCACCCCCAGGCTCAGCACCCCCAGGCGTAGCACCCCCAGTAGTACCACCAGAAGGCCCAGCACCCCCAGGCGTAGCACCCACACGCTCAGTACCCTCAGAGTCAGCACCCCCAGGCTCAGCACCCTCAGCAGCACCAGAGTCACCAGTAACCT